TTCCTTACATCATCAGAGTTTCTTGCACATTTGCCCTTTTCAAAAGTTGCTTATAAGAACAAGGGAAGTCTGTTGTAATTTTTATTTTCAATGTTTTTGTTTTTTAAAGAAATTTAGTTTATTAAAAAATGTACTATAAAAATTAAAAAATTTTACAATTATTAAGATTAAATTTTAAATTTATTAAATATCATTGAATTAGCTCTGGATTTAATTTTAATTTTATTTATTGATATATATTTAATGTAATTTTGCTACAAAAATATGAAAACAAATTTAGAATGAATTTATCGATAAATGATTGATTCAATCGGTTAAAGTCGTTTTTTTTTTATGAAGAGATCTTAAGTTTAAGTTCTATTTGTGATTATTTATTAGGATCATCTCGAATGCACGATCTGTAACTATTTATCTTAAGTTGTTAGATACGATACATTTTATCTGGATTTGAAAAACTAAATAATTTATCTATTTCAAAAATTAAAAAAAAATAATTTTTTTTAACCTTTTTCATGAATAGTACCTATAAAATATTTGACCCTGTAAAGTTATTTTGAATATGAGAATTTGTGTAAAAATTATTCATATTAATCCTATCTATATAATTGGTCAAAATAAAATTATTCGAGTTCTATCGATAATCATTTATTGAGATAATCTTAAATGCATAATCTATAATCATTTGTCTTAAACTATCAGATATGATATATCTTATTTTAATTTAAAAAATTAAATATCTTATTTACTTCAAAATTTAAAAAAAAAATTAGAATGAATTTTTTTAACCTTTTTCATGAATAGTACCCATAAAATATTTGACCCTCTAAAGTTATTTTGAATATGAGAATTTGTGCAAAAATTATTCATATTAATCCTATCTGTCCAACTGGCCAAAATAAATTCCTGTCGTTATATGTGAATTGAATTTGAAGGATTTCTGTCATTATGTGCCATAAATATCTAATTACAAAGATCATAGAACTATTTAAAGAATCTAATCAAGTTGAAGAACTATCTAAAATCCTCTCATTAAAATGCAAATTTTTTTAATTAAAAAACAAAGTAACTGTTTCAACGTACAACCCCTTTATATAACAAATTCCAACACCAAGTGTTTAAACCATTATTAGGATCAATTTCCCTTCTAAAAAATTTAGAGGAAAGGGTTTTTTTTTAATTTTAAAAATTTTAAAAATTACTTTATCTCTAAAATCAAAATAAATTATCAATTCACAAAAATATTTGTTCATCCTTTATAATTTTTTTAAACTTATAAATTATTTATTAACAAAAATTATTAAAATTTAAATTTAAATATTCTATATTTAAATCTTAAATTTTAATCGCTTACTTCAATTTTTATTAACTTAAAAAATCATTGATTTGCTAATTTTATATCTCTTCGTATGTGAACTTAGCAATGAAATTAGCCATCCAATCCAATGGCAAAGTTAATGTAGGGGTCAACTCACAATCTCACATTGACGACAATGATTTTCAAAAAGAGAAAAACATCAAAATATGTCCACCACAAAAAGAAATACGCCAATCAAGAAGGAAAAAAGAGGGGTCACTTTCAAATAGCATGTAGCCGCAGAAACTAAGGGGGTTGTGCAAAAACTTTTTCTCCACGTTGGATTGTATTGCTTTTTCGGCTTCAAACATTAATAAGTTCATTACGCGTTTTATGTTTTTTTTTTGTTGGACCATCCATGTGGTTGTGTATAAAAGATATACAGCCCGCATGTGCCAATCAACAAAAGGGCGGGGCTGTTGAGATGTCGACAATTTGCGAAATTGAAAAATATATATAGGAGTATATAATAAAATATAGTATTATCATTTAATTATGATCTAAGTTTTAAACTATTCATGTAATTATTAGATATTTTTAATTTAATCACTTAAATATAATAACTTTTTATTATTTAATAGTTAATTTTTAATAATGAATTGACTTGATAATATTATATCAACTGTCAAATATTATATAATATTATTAAATTATTTAATATATCACGTGATATTATAAATTAAAAAAAAATTAAATTTTATTAATGTAAAATTGTCAAGTAACTAAAAAATTGATATATCATTATTAAAATTATCAAAATATTTATTCAAATTTTAATAATTTAATGAGATTTTTAAAATAAAATCATAGTTTAATGAACAATGATATAATTTATTTTAAAAAATGAAATTAAATTATAAATCAGGTCTATAATCAAAATATTTTTATTGGCGCGTTGATAAAGAAAGCATTTTGTCATTTATGATGATTAATGTTGTAATGCTTTTGACAAAGTGTTTGAAAAGATGGACGAGATTATTATTATTGTTATAACTAAAACTGAAAATGAGGGAAAACTTTGGTGGGATGTCGTTTTCTGAAATTTCCGTCAATAAAAGGAGGAAGAAAGCAAGATCATGTGTCTAATCATAAAATAATTATATCTTCACACATGGCAGACAGATAAGATTTTTCAAAGTGGGGAGAGAATCAGATATATTATGGAATTTCATACTTTAATGGAACTAACAACAATATTTAGTGATTCCATCCAGTGAAGGTGGAACACATAAAAGATGTATTATTTTCAGCATTATAAAAAAAAAAATGCGACTATAGCTAATCAGTATTCAGTAACGAACTCCCCAAGTCAACATATATTATCCAGAAGCCGAATTCAGTCTTTCGCTTTATTTTTTTTTATTTTTTTATTTTTCATGTAAAACAGTAAAGGGTGATGAGATTTGAATTTAAAATTTTTTAAAATTGTTGTATGAATTAAGTTAAATTATAATATATATATATTTTAATTAAATGGTGAAATTAATTTTTTTATTTTAATATATTTAAATTAGATTCTTATATTTTATTTAATTATTAAATTTAATCAAGTAGTTAACGGTCCAAATTTTTTTCACTACAATTGATGAAATGGTATTTTTATTTACGTGATCGTTAGATTTTATTGATGTGTAAGATATTCATAATCAAAGATGATGACATGACAAAATTTATTAACATATTATCAAATTTTCACATCAACTTTTCTTAAAATATGCGGATTATCTCGGTATTTTTGTTAGATAATGAAATAATCATTCTAACTTAAAACGTGTTTAAATTTGATTTTTTATATATCAATTAATTATTAAATTTAAAATTTAATCTAAAATAAAAATCTTTTCAATGCAAATAGATTAAGTCGTAAACAAAGTAAATGCATAAGTCAACACGTAAATTACACTAGACTTGTCTTCTAAAATGACTTCATTTGATAAAAAATTCAATTTTTTAAAATTTCTCTTATTTTTCTTTTTAAGTCTTGTTTAATGAACTCGTATTTTTAAAAACCAATTATTAAAAAATTTAATGATTGAAGAAAAAAATTTATCCTAAAAACCTAAAAGCTGTTAATATTTAAAAATTAATTGTCATTGAATTCTTAAAATATTTTCAAAGCAATCTTTCTAAAAATTTTTATACTTTTTTATATTTTTTTAATTTTTAATTTTTTTTGTTTTTACTTTGGTTTATTGACTTTTACTGACTAAACAATAAAAATAAAAAATAAATAAAACACTTTTTGACTTTTAAATTTAAATTTAAAATCTAATTTTACAAGTAAACCCAATTAACATGATTTTAGAACTTAATATCGAGATAAAATTTGAAACCCATTTAATATCAAAAAAATTTTCAAAATAAATAAAATGTCTACAACTGCTTTTATTGTTAATTGTATATCTAGATTTGTTTATTATCAATTTCTTTATCTAACTTTTACATTTATGTCATTTTAAATGTTTTTTTATCTTTTATCTATTTTTTATTTTTTATATTTTAAAATTATTAAAAATAAAAATTAACAAAAAATGAAAAAAAATAAATAGAAGATAGAGAAAATATGTAATTTAGTTTATATTGGGTTTATAATATAATTTGAGATTAACCAATTTATCAAATCAAGTCCAATTAATAATTCAAAATTTCAAAAAATTTTATCTAAATATGAAAAAGAAAATGTAACGATCGACATAATAATTTATGCTTTTTTATATGTTATTTTAAGTCAAATCTTAAATTTAATAATTAATTGATATATAAGGATTAAACGTAAACATATATTAAAATAGAAAGTTTAATTTCACTATTTAACTAAAGCATAGAGATGAGTCGTATAATATAAAAAAAATTAACGTGAAAAAATAATGACGTGTTAAAAAATTTTGTCACGTCAATAACATTAACGGTAACGTAAATAAAAATATCACGTCAAAAAAAATCAAAATGCCATATAATAAATTTTAACAAAAAAAAATTTTAATCGTTAACAAATTAACTAAATTCAACAATTAAATGAAAGATAAGAATCCAATTTAAACACATTAAGATAAATAAATTAATTCCATCACTTCACTAAAGTACAAATATCTCTTGTATAATTTGACCTATGAATTATTGAACTAAACTTTAATTCATTCCTCGCACCTCTTTACTGAATTCTATCACTTAATTTTACTTAATTTTTAATATATATTAAAAAATCCAATTGTATATTGATGCAAAATTTAACTAATAATTTAATAAAAAATTAGTTATATGAATCAATTAAATGAAAAGATTTAAATTTTTATTTTCTTGTCATAGTTTTCACTGCAGGTCTAAACTCTTTTAAGTTTGGGTTTCTTGTTTTTGACATGAAATCAAGCATTCTTAGTCCATCACAATCAGGTTACCTACAATTGAATTTCAAGCAATGTGAATCTGTTATCAACCACATTGAACCAACAGGGTTTGGGCCTTTGTCGTGTGTCACTGTCAGTGGGACTCCATTAATCAGATCCCAAAACACTCAACAATTCAAACCACTTTGCAGTCCAAGAATTAGAATTTCTTGATGCATCAGACAAGGCTAGGAATGCTCTTCCACCATCTTCAATGGCTCTTTATTCTGATAACCTTGGACCTCAAATCTCTGCCTATTCTATTACTTGGCAAGTAGTATTAACAAGGGCATTTCAACATGCAAGATGGTTTTTTCAAGAACGAAAGTAACTTCCATCCTTTTTAAATAATCAGATAGAAAACAGTCAAAGAACATCAATTCAGGATTTCAGGTTTATATAGATTAAAGGAGGGAAACATGACCAGACAATCAAGAAACATCATGGGATTGAAATCTATTTGCCTAGAATAGTTTGTAAAGAGTCTCAACTCCTGCTGTTGAACTACTGTAGGAAATGATGACCATCTTTAATGTTTTGGATCTGATATGACATAAGTCTGCCATCAGATTTATATGCTGGAAGGCCATGGTAATTGTTTGCAGCAATATGTTCTGAAAGATTATAGCTTCCTCCAGAAAACTTGACGGCTCCTCCGTTCATCCTCAAACCCAGTGGTTTGCTATTTTCCTGTGAAAGAGATTGTGGATTGAGTAGTCCTGGAATGCTTAAACCAACATCTATACCCTGATGAAGTGGGACTGGAAATCCAGTTCCAATACCTGAAGTTGGGGTGTTGTTCTGATTAACGGATCCCATATTTCTGGATCCCATTAATGTGAAGCTTCGAACTCTTTCTTCTGGCTGGATAACTGGAAATGATCTTTGATTAGAACTTGGTTCCAGCATTTGATTCACTCTTTCTGAATTCACACCTCCTTTTGTCTCAGCAACTCTTGGTAGAAAATAGTTGCATAATGAAGCATGAAGCCCGTGATTTGCAACAATGGGCTCAGTTAGAACGGTGGGTAACTTTAAATACATCGAAGAAGGTGCCTGACCAGAGGGACTAGATAGAAAATTTTGAACAATAGATGATCCCAACTTTTCTCCGTTAGTATCGGCTACCGCAGTTCTTATGGTTTGGTCATGACCACCTTGATCTTCAGGTACTTGACTGTGATCTCTGCGATCAACTAACTTCTTGCCTTTTGAACTTCTCTTCAAAGATCCACCCTTGCCTTTTTGAGCTTCGATAGCCAAAACAACGCTCTTATCACTCTGCACTTGAACATATTGGTCAGAACTTGTTTGAAGAATTGGCTTCGAAGATATTGAGAGGCTATCTCTTTTGTTCTTGTTTGATGAAGTAATGAACTCAGTTACTTGTCCAGAGTCAACTCGATCTCCTAATGCATGAAAGTAATCAGTAGAATTGGCAGCAATAGTACCTTCAGGAAATCTTACTAAAGAGCTACTATTGCCGTTCTGAGTTATCATGCCATATTTGAAGTCATTCTGATGCTGCCTGTTAATGTTCTCCAACTCTTGAAGCTGCTGCACCTGCAGTTTGATGTTCTCCTGAAAGTTGTTTTGCTGTTGCGCAAAGACTGTTTCCTGAAAGTTTGTATGGTATTGGACTTGGATACTTTTCTCGGAGTTATTCGGATGCTGGAATTGAATGCTCTCCTTGTGGGTTTTTTCATGTTGCTCTTGAACTTTCTTAGATTTTTTTATTTGCTGACCACGTTTTTTCCTTTTCCGCTCTGGAGTGGTATCATCTGCCACCAATTTTTGCATTTCCTCCAACATCCATTTCAATAAATTTTGTCTTGTAACTTTAAGATCCTTTAACAAGGACTCCATGAAGTTTTTAAGATCATTCAATGGAGCAGGATCATCATGAGCACTTGTTTCATCCTTCTGCAAATCAACCTCTTCAGGAGAATCCTTCTTCATTTTACTGTTCTGTAAGTTGTTACTTACATTCCTGGTTTTGCGTTTCTTAGCTTTCCCAATATTCCTATGACCACCTGTTCCAGGATTATCATTGTCCTTCTGCTTAAGTCTACTAGTTTCACTGGTTTCATCATCACCAACTGAATTCAAGCTTGATACCAGCTTATGCTTTTTGAAAAGTTGCCCGCTACTTGATTTTGAATCATCGCATGAAGAATCAAGGTTGTCGTCTTCGTTCCTCCTGAACTCCCAACGCTGCTGAAATTCCAGTTCTCCCATCTATGCTGGAGGTATCACTACAACCTGAACATTGCAAAATCTTAGGACCATAGAAATAAAACGACTAAAATCACCAATATATCATATATCCAGCCCCTAGCAGAATCTAAATGCAGACAGTTGTCGCCACTTGTCCTCAATGTAGGAGGACATTTTGCTAGAACTATATATGATAGCTGTTGGAAACTAGATGTAGAAGTGCTGCTCATCTCAAGATCGAATCTACTAGTTTCTGTATAACACTGTTTTACAAGTTATCTGATTGCTATAACACAGCAAAGAACAATTGAAGATAAATGAGTTAAAAGGGCAGATTTGATTTAATACCCAAACATAAACTATTTCCCAACCAAAAAGTATACGAGAATCCACTAAACCAGGGAAAAACCAATATATGGGAAAACTAGGAAAGAAGTAACAGAAAAAAAAAAAAAGGAAACAAAGACTGGGAGCATAGACTTCATAGTAAGCGTTAAAGTTCAAAAATATCAATCATATGACTACATGAGTCAAAACAGGAATTGAATTTAACTTTGACAGATTCCCTTACTCTAATTCTGACAGGAACTTCGTACAACTAAACTCAATACGCTAAGAACAAATGGAACCGAGATGTTAAAGCGAGTGCAAAATCCAGTTCCTATAAGACTAAATACCTACTTCTATAGGGTAAGCTCAAATTTCTACATAAACTCCTGCCAGACAATCAAGTGATTCAGTGAAATCCAGAAGCCTCAAACTTTTACAGTCGAAAAAGCTATAAAAGCAAATATATAAAGTTGCTCCACAAACTACTCCCTCGATTCAACAAAAATGGATTCAAAACCACTGTCATCTATTAAGAGTGTTATCAATCAGTATTGAAAAAGGATTAACGTTAATATTCAGACCCTAATCAAAAGTAACTCAATTTATAAGAGATTTCTTGTTTTATGACTTTATGGACCCAGAAATATTTGATAAGAGATACTACATATGGACATGATCAACGTGAAACAATCAAATTAAGAACTATAACAAGTTACAACAAATAAAAAAACTGGTAAAGTCAAATGCTTAGGTTGAAGTTACCTCAGCAACGAAATACATGATGAAAAGAATTCCAAAACAATAAAACCAATCGACAAAAACCTTTTTTTTCTATAGTTCTGTTTAGGAGAGAAGATTTTTCCTCACCATATATCAGTCGATAACACTGTGTTCAAAACCATGATGATTCATTTCCTCTCCTCATCAATCAGCACAGCAACTCCGTGTGTCCCAACTTACTACAGCTTCTACCACTCTCTTCTCACTCTGTGCGTTTATGTCAATAAGTCCCTCTGTGAAAAGAAAGAATTATGCATTTTTGTCCTGTTCTTGCTGTGTCATGTTGCACAGAGAGAAAAAATAAGAAAAGTCAGTGAGTTGGGTGAGGAATGGCAGAGAGAGTTGTAGGATAATTTTCCTTTTCGCCCCTTTTACAAAAGCTCAAGTGTTTGAACACTTGGGGTTTACCAGCATTACTTAATATATATAGTAAACAATGCAATTATTAAGCTTTTTGGGCATCAAAATTAGAGCACCAGTTGGCTTTTTCCTGCCTTCGCTTTCCACCAAAACTTTCTGTTTTGTCTTTGATCTGTTGGGAATTAAAAGATCTGCCTACCATGTATAATCCATGCCTTCATTGGAGGTTTTACTCTCTTCAACTGATTCCCTTTTACAGGACTTGGACTAAGGTCAAGTTCCAGCTGTAATAGATTTTATCTTTTCTTAATCACACCAATTCTTCATGCGTGAAATAAATGAGTTTTTTCTATTCTTATTCTTGATGAACATAGCGGATAATATTATAATTTTCTACACAAGTATGTAAGGATTTTCCGTTAACAATAAGAATTTGCTTTGATTTTCTCCTATCTATAGATTTCTATTTATTTCTCCAATTATGGAAACGTTTTCCTTGGATGGTAAGTTCAAAGATCAAGTTTATATTGAGGTTTAAAAAAAAAACCATAATTACAATTTTTTTTTTAAATACAAAAGAGATTGTAACTTGAAAATAAAAAAATATATATTATAAATATTAAATTTTGAATTTCAGATTAATTGAATGTAATTCAAGTACAACCATGCTGATTACTTGTAAAGATGAATGACATCTAAACGAATGAAGAAAAAAAGGAGAAATAACAGGAATGTCTGTTATTCTGGGAACAACCTGATTGACAAACTTGATTGTTCATCATTTTTGCTTTGGTAATAAATTCTTATTTATAATTTAAGATACCTAATATGCTATTAATATATCAGCCCGCAAGGTATTATGTTTTTGTTTGAGTTTTAACCGTAACGTCAGTTGAAATGGAAATAGTTTCAGGTATTTCGTGGGTTCCAGCATCCAGCTTGGCTGCAGATTGCACCATGGCATTGAAATGCATTAATATCTAAGGGACTGGACTGGAAACTCCTTGATCCACTGCAAGTACTTGCAGCATCTTGCGTATCTACCAATAATTAGACACAACTATTTTGCGAAGTAATATTAAAGCACAGCTGATTAAACCCAAAAAGAAGGTAACCAAAATATCAAGTTGGTTCCTAATTCAGGGTTTTTTTTTTTTTTTTTTGCAAAGCAACATTTTTGCTTGGTTGTTCATACAGATGCACCTATATTCCATCCAAAATAGAAGAAAAGCAAAATTGAAACATCACATTCATGCCTTTTTTTTTTTTTAACAAAACCAACCAAAAGATCAGCCTTATTCAATTGGAAACAAACTATAGCTTTCTCTAAATTGCATTAAACTCGTTACACACTTATTACTTTTTCTTCATGATTGGCAACAAGAATGACATCAAATCATTAAAAAAACCCATAACTTTAGAGGTTGTTCAACAGAATAAACAAGCTGCACCACACTAATCTGTAATACTATTTAGAAAGTGCGGCATCCAGTTAAAGGATCTGTTATCATTGCACGATTAGAATCCAGAATTTTACATATACACACAAAAATAGCCGTTTGGCACACAAAGGTGTACCTTCATATCTGTTAAAGGACCCATTTCTTTCAGCAGCCCTTGGAATGATATAAAAGCCGGTAAAACCTAGACAAAAAGAATTTAAATCAAGAATAACATATTAGAAGAATAAAAGAAACAAAAAAATCAAGAATTACTACTAACACACCAGCCATGAACCAAATTCTGCTTTTAAACAAACAATACAATCTATTCCCTTCCTCCCCAATCTCCAGCTTTGAATGCATTGCAGTCTATAATTCTTGGTAGGGAGGATAGAAAAGGGTAAAGATGAAAAACTTGTTAATCTAATGGTTAAGCTATAAAATAGGAAAGTGGTTATGACTTTTAATCATTGGATTAACAAGTTTTCCATCCTTAGTTCTTTGCATCCTCTCTATCAAGCAAAGTCTAAAGGAAGTAAAGGACTAACTCAAAACTTACATCCAAAAGAAGTTGTATAGAATTTGAACAAAGTTACATATAAACTTAAGAGATTGCAAGGTGGAGTTCTTACCGTTCTCTATTTAGTCAAGGACTCTGTCAATTCATGCTCTCAAACAGCTTATACGAGTGCCTTCCACCAGATTAGCAGCATCCTCATGTTTTTCAGTTATAATATTGTCAAAGGCCCAAAATGCAGGATTTTGATCCGGAGGTACCATTCCACGCCTACTCTTAACATCAACCTGTATCTACACTCATGGAAATTAATGACTCTCTGGCAACCTGCGTAGAAAAGGCAAGAAAGAAATGAACAACTTTATCATTCTATTCTTCCATTTCATTTTGCTAGGATTGTACATAGCATCACATTTGACAAAGCTATACAATCCTTATAATTCACAAACATGATACACAATTCCCCATAGGAAATTGTTCTGACAAGCGACATAGGTCAAAACTTAAGTATTCTTCAATAATTATGCAGAATTAATAGAGAATGAACCTACCGCCATGGGAATTCACTGGTGTCTATTCCTGCTTGGTGGAGTTCATCGACATATTGCAATGCTTCCCGGCATTCCTCACAGTCATCAAAGAACTCTTTTTTGTCACCTTCAATCTGATATGTTTCATGGCCTTTACCAGCAATCACCTGCAATACACAGTTAGCATCAAATTAGAAAATATACACGTCAACTTGTTATGAGAAGAACAGAGCATGAGTAAGGACAAGCATAAGCTACATAATTAACCCATGAAAATTCAAGCCTGGCACACATGACAAGAGAAGGAGATGACTAACCTCATTGATAAAAAGATGACATAGCAGAAAGGAGGAAGTGGAATAGGAGGAAAAAGTAAGAAATATTTTTCACATGGTTTATTCTCCAAACTCTTAAGTTCAACAGAAAACCTAAATGAAAGAACACATTTAACTTTTCAACAATTTATATATATGTAGGTAACGTGCAACTCTTTGTTGGTGTATGAGGACTGCAGTTATATAAGGTCCATTGCAGAATTGTAAAACTATTCATTTCCAAAACACATAACTATAGTCATTAAGATGTGGGTTTTCTACATTACTAGGAATATAGAAAACCAGTTCACTCCAAAAAGGACATCCAAGCTCCAAAAAACTTACAACCATATCGCCTTCTTCACCCATGGCAACAGCACATCGTACAGCTACCCGCCTAATATCATGCAGAAAAAGTCGATGACCATTTGGGAGAGGTGGGTAGTAATCATTTTCTCCATATTTCAAATAATCCTGCATTGTCCACCCCACACCAGCTAACATGTCATCCAAGATGTCCACTGATCAAAAGATGAAACACATAAGTAATTAGCCTCATGTTTATAAGCAACTGATGTTGCAACTTGTGATGATTTTACCATTGTCTTATACTTACATGGATCTTCACTCTTGGGATTATCAGATGTCAGCATTGTCACTTCACTTTTATCTGTTGAGATTTTTGCCATCATTGGTCTTTTACCCCGATCACTCTCCCCAGGACAACCAATAACTTTACAAATGACATAAATTAATTAGTTAGAAGGAAAGGGGAAAAAGAAAATTAAAATGTAATGATGTTCAATTTGGAGGAAGTATGGTTTCATTTGAAGTAGGAGTTAAAGAAAAAAAAATAAGAAGCATACCAGTAATTATCCTCTTTGGTCCAAGCTCCCTTACAGAATCAAGCAGCCTAGAAAGGGCATCAGGAGTGTGAGCATAGTCTACAATTACTCCAAACGCCTGCTCCTCATCTATTAACTCACACCTGCCTGGTACAGCATCAACCTCTTCGATCCCTCTAACAATGTCCTCCAAGGGTGCACCAACTGCAATCCCAACAGCCACAGCCGCAAGAATATTATAGATATTATGCCTTCCAAGTAAACCTGATGAAATCTCCAATATCCCATGTGGCGTATTAACCAGGACCTGTGTCTCAAATAACGACAGCTCAAATTTCAGGGGATGAACATCTGCATTCTTATTCTCCATTGCAAAGGTCACCACAGGAACTTCTGGGTTACCTTGCGCAATAAAATAAGGTGCATGTGGATCATCAATGTTAACAACTTTCCTATGCCTCTCAGGATCCACCATCCACGCAAACAACTTTGCTTTAGCATCCCTATACTCTTCCTCGGTCCCATGAAAATCTAAATGATCCCTAGTCAAATTAGTGAACACTGCAATATCAAAATCAACCTCATTACACCTCCCTAAAGCCAGTTCATGAGAAGAAGCCTCCATAACAACTGCCTCAGTTCCATTATGCAACATCTTAGCCATCAAATTCTGAACCAAAACAGCATCCGGGGTTGTATTTGGTGATTCCAACTTATTATCACCATGTACATAATAAGCAACCGTGCTTAGCATCCCAGTCCTCAAACCCATTGCCTTGTACATCCCTTTTATCAAATAAGACGTGGTTGTTTTACCAAAAGTCCCCGTTATCCCAATAACAGCCATATTCTTTGAAGGATACCTATAAAAAGATGCAGCTAACGCAGGCAAAACCGAATTAGTATCCTCAACAATGACCAATGCCTTGCATCCCAAGGTATCCTCAATATCAATCTCTTTACTTGCTACGACAGCAACAGCTCCTCTCTTATCAGCTTCACTCAAATATAAATGCCCATCAGTTCTCCTCCCAACACAACAAACAAACAAATCCCCTGCACTAACCACCCTAGAATCATGCTGTATCCCTGTAATTTCAACCTCTAAATCCCCATAAACCGAAACCGGCACCACCTTACTTTCATCTAAAAGCTCAGCTAAACTCATTTTAAACTTGGGTTCCACAATTCCAACTTTACTCTTCCCAAGACTATCCAAATCTAAATCAAAAGACGAATCCAACGAATTAATTTTATTTTTTTCTAGTTTTTTACCTTCAAAATCACTCAAACCGACATCGAATTTAGACGAATCTTCTTCATCTGAATCTTCATTTTCTCCATCATCCGAATCAGAAACAACAGTCAAACCTCGTAATTTATCAATTTCTTCCAAGTCAACAACTTCATCTGGACCCAGCTCATCATCAACGGCTTCCGCTTTTTTAGGAGATTGTGGTAACAAACCTTGCTTAACAAACTCTTGCCGTTTCATTGCAATGGCTTTATCAATTTCACTGAACAAATCATCCCCGTCATTGTTTCCCGTTTTCTCTTTACTCAATTCGTCATCGTCCACGTCGGCAATGGCAGAAAGGTAATTTGACTTGTGCTTGTTAAAGTCTTCTTCTTGAAGCTTCTGGGCCCTGGCTGCTTGGCGGTAGATTTGCTGGAATTTGTCTACGCCGTGCATGGAGTCTTCGGGGGCTTCGGGCGGGTCATCGTCGGAAGGGTTGGGATAATACTTTCCATCGGGGCCGATAGCAGGAAGGCGGCGGAGAGAAGGGAGGCGAAGAGGCTTGAAAGGGACATGACGGTGGCGGTGGTGGGGTTTTAGAGAGAGAAAGTTGGGGATAGAGAGAAGAGAGAAAGCCATTGGAGACAGTTTTGCGGTGAGGTTTTAGTGTGAGGGATAGAGGTTTTAGGATTGGGAAATTTGATGGTACACGGCGTCGTTTAAGGTTGAAACTTGTACGTTAAAAATGTTTCGGTTTTGGATTTGAAAACTATGGATAATCTTGGACCTTTTGCCCGTTTAACATTGGGCTTAAAGCCTATAAGTTTAGAAAAACGAAAAGAAGGAAGCCGAAGCATAGAATTGTGAATTTGTGTTTCTAGGACCATTTTTTCATAAGCGGATTAAAATTTTTTGCGTTTTTTATCATATAATAAAATTATATATACTCTTACTTATTGGGATGAAAGTTTTTTTTTTTTTCAAATTACACTTATAATTAAATATTATATTTATATAATTAATTAATAAATTATAATTTAATTAAATAATCAAACTCACACAATAAACTTGAAACTACAACCTTAATATTTTAGAATTTCCTTTTTACCATTAAATCAATGACTCGTTAACTTGAGATGAAAGTTTTGAGAACATATTACACTAATCAAAACGAGATTAAGGTGAAATATGCTTATGTTAAAGAAGTATTATTATGTATTTATTAAATATTAAATATTAAATATTTTATTATTTTATATTTAAGTTGGTAATTTCATTTATTATAAATTAATTTTAAATTAAATATTTAATATTACATCATAATTTTTATTCAATATTGTTGTTTTTATCTATTACTCCTACCTGATATTTCTTCAAAAAAATTTGTCATGATAATCTTTTATTTCTGCTTACACTTTAAAAAGTTTATTACAGTAGACTTTTGTTTTTGTTTACACATTATGAAAATCTATTAAAATAATATTATTTCATATTTATTAAATATATTTAAGTTATATTTTTTATATATTATCGATTAATTTTAAATTAAATATTTAATATTTATATTTAAAATTAAATAAATTTAAAATTGTACTTCAATTTTATTGAATTTTATATTTTTAAAATTTTGTTAATTTTTTTAAAAAATAACGAATCTATAGATGCGTATATAAAATAGTATTCTATATATTAATACGTATATAAAATGTTACCGTTCGAATTAAAAATTTTTATCAAATTTCCGGGTATCCCTCAATTCAAATTCAAGTGGGAAAGTAATGGTATTATGTTTATTTATTGCTGTTGTTGGAAACACTATGGATTGGGTACAGTTTCTGGGTTGCTATTAAGGTCGGTAACAGCAGGTGGTCCCTGGTGGTTGTCATGTAGGGGCCCAACTCACACTGTCCCCAAACCAAGCCCAATTGGTGGAGATGTGAAGGCAACTGATTTCCTATTGGAAAAGCAACCATCCGCAACGCAAAGCTGTTTTTCAGGCCTTCAGCGTCACAAAATCTTGTTTGGTGACTCAAGATATTCGAATAACTAACTAAATTTCTTGTAAATCAAACAATAAAAAAAGCATAGGTTGAGAATCTTTCCATGTATTAATATCATGTGATAAAGATATAGTATACAATGACAAATATTATTTTAAAGTATAAATTATATCAATAATTAAAGTATTAAAATCAAGATTTGTAAACCCATAATTTATCTTCGACAAAAAAAAAAAAATTTAATTTAATTAATTTATATAATCATTTTAAAAAATTAACATCTAACAAGTTTTATATTCAAATTTTAATATTTTATAATTTTTTTATCACCAATTTGCTGTCTTTTTTATAAAAATATTATACGCATGAATTTTATTAGATTCTTAACTTTCAAACGAAGGATCAACTCGCTGTGATGCACTCTTAATTTCAAGAAACGCATAAGAATTATTTTAATATATATTTTAAAATGAAATTGATGCAATCAGCATGAAAACGTGGATGATATTCATTGACCAAAACTAGCAATCATGAACCATTGCCAATTACAACTATATTAAATTAAAATTTAATAATATTGAATTATTGAATAGCAATATTGGATTACAAGCTAGTTTTGCTAATTTAATATTTCTTTTTTTTTCTCCAATAAAATATTTCTTATTTTATTTTTCAAAGATTATGTTTTCATATTGGCCAAACCAGTGATCATGCATGAACTTGATTCATGTTGCCCAATGTACAGCATGACTTCAAAGTTGATCTTTCTATAAATATTATATAATTGTAGGATTATGCTCCAATAAAAAAAATTTTATTGAATAAAAAAACACTTGTCAAATAGCTTTTTTTTTTTTTTTTAAGTTACCTATAAATCAACTATCGTGATAGAACAAACATGCTCAAAGATTTACACCATTCATAATTAAGATTGACAGGCATTAATATTTACTAATTGAGCCAACATAAAGAGTGACAGCAATCTTTGATGTTTGTCCATATAAAATTACAAATATATAATATCACACTAAGGCAGTCATTTTTCTTTTCATTATTTTTTTTAATGCTTTGCACAAGCATGCCTTCTCTAATCATGCATATTTAACAGTACATTTCAGACTTAAAATTTACTTTATACTAGTTTTAAGCTTGTACAATGTAAAGATATACAATTATATATTAAAAATCCAATTATAAAATAATTAATAAATTTTATATAAAAATAAAAATTTTAACATAAAATAAGTAAAATAAATAATAAATAAGTATTAGAGATCAATATGTAACTATAATAAAGTTATAAATAAATATGTTTTTTTGTATCATATCTTATCTTATCTTATCTAACATGTATAATGGAACAAAATCCAATACTATTTGATTTCAAACAATTGAAACTTACTCCATGTCTCCATTTAAAAATAATTTTTCATATTTCTTTCATGGGAGATTATTTTATAACTTGGTGAGATGAAAAAGACTGCAATTGATTTTTGAATGTTTCTGATTATTTTTGAAAGTGTTATTCTGCTTGATGATTGGATAAATCTAAAGGTAAAAATGAACAAATAGATAAAACAATTGTAAGTGATAAAATTGAATATTTATTTTAATTGAAACAAAACAAATAGGTTACAATTAAAAGATTCATTTAGAATATAGTTAATATAACTTTTTAAGACATGTAAATTCCAATGCTGGAATTAAGGTTTTATTAACTTTTATATGAATTCAACTGGATTAATTTAATGTAAATAATAGTAAAAACATAATTAGATGCAATTAGTTTAGTCTTTTAAAAAATAATTCGAATAAAATAAATGTCATTCATTGGAAAACACATGATAATCTTTATGATTGTTGCATATCAATAATACAATCCATCCACATTAAATATTTTTTATTAAAAAAAATTTAACGTTTATATATTTAAGTCATGTTTGATATATAGGATGATGGATAAGATATGATAATAATTATCTTATATTATTTTAATTTGAATTTAAAGAAAAAGATAGGATTGTAAAGAGAATTAATTATTTTGTTAATATAAAATGACTCAATCATTCTAAAATAAAGAAAATTATTTTTAATATATTAGATTAAATTTACATGTCTTATTATACTTTTAAAAATTATATTATTAACTCAATTTGTATAAACTTTAAGAAAATATAATTTTAATTAATAAATAAATTATTTTATTATGCTATTTATACACGTCAAACAAAAGATGGGATGGTATTATTTAATATAATTATATTCATAATATTATTTTATCATATCCAATCATAATATTATATGTCAAATATATGGATATTATATTAAATATAATATCTGAATATCTAATTTAATAATTGATACATATCTTTTTCTGAAAAAAAAATCAAATATTTTGTTTTTCAAATAAAAAATACTTCATATATATAAATATATATTTTATATGCTTTTAAAATAAATACTGAAATAGTTATTTAATATATATATTCAAACATTATAACTTATAAGTGAATGGCAATTTAAAATTGGACTTCACCTCATCAAAGATGGGCAGTCTGTTAACCAAGGGAAACGACGAACTTCATGAATGATATCTACCAAGTTTTGAAATCATCTTCAAGTTCGTTGGGCATATTGCTTTTTTCTGCCGCTGAAAATATATTTACAGAAAATTGAAAATCCAAAAGGGCTTCAACTCAAGTAAAGACAACATTTTTCAAAACAAAATTTAACGTTCAGACAAATCTTGACAACCAATCAGTGTAACTGCGCCTTCCCCTGACAGCAACGTCTCTGCTACAAAATCCCGTGTCGTCCCCCACTCCCCCCATGACGTCCAAAGCGCTGCCGTTTCAAACACGAATCCTCTCCTATCAATCAAAATCACCGTACTTTCGAAACAATCCAACTTCCATTGTAACTGCTAAACGTAATCTAATAATAATATCGTAGTTTTAAGATTTCGAGATTAACTTTTGACATATCCAATAACTAATATCTTAAGACTAAGATATCATGAATGAATGAAAAATTAAACATAACAAAAAAAAAAAAACTTGAGCTCAAACAAAAAATAAAATATTTGAATTTAATTCAATAAAAGAAAGATTTAGATAAAATTGTTTAATTAAAATTTTTTTATTAAAAAAATTAAATAAAAATTAAAATCGATATATTAAAATATTTTATTATATAAATCAAGTATATAAAATTTTAAAAAATAAACTTTAATATATTTTTTAGACAAATATTTTTAAAAAATTGACAAAATTTATACCGTTAAATAAGTATTTATTAAATTTGAATTATAATTAATTTTTTTACATATTATTGATTCTCACATTAAATTTTATCAATTTATCGATCTAAATTTTTATTATAATTTTTATTAAATCATTATATTAAAAAAACTTAATAAATTTTATCTAAAAATTTTCATTTAAATTTTATCTTTAAAATAATATTTAGTAATTTTGAAATTTAAATCTTAAGATCTATATTCTTTTTCTTATTTTTAAAATAATATTTATAAAAATCATTTAAAATACGCTTGATTGTATTAAAAATTTAATATACGTATTTATTTCAACCACAATAAAGATTAGTGAATGTACATTTTTATAAGAACATTAATTTAAAGTTGATTTTTGAGTGTGCAACGAATAGGAGGGATTGACCAGTGAGTGGATTGGTGATGATAGTTGACAGATGGATTAATTGCAGAGAGAGAAGAAAGAGAGGGAGAGAGTGAAAAGAAGACAAAGGTTCTTGCTTCATTTGAAAGTTTACCTCCACAGTCATTAAGTGTGGTCTACCATACAATATCTCCAACCTTTAATATTATATTTCCAGTCAATGTCATAATAGCTCTCGGCCATTCTTCTTCCTTAAACCAAATTTCCCATTATTTTTTCTTTGTTCCCTCTCCTTCATGGCTTTCTTTAAATCTCCATCCTTTTTCTTCTTCTTCTTCTTTTCTATAGCTAGTCTTTAATGCCAGAAAGACTCCTGAACCCAGTGCCAGAAAGGAACTATAACAAGAACAGGTCAGTGGTTATATATTGACCAAAGAAAAAAAAAAGTGGTCATTTGGGTAGATGAAGAGACGAGATTTTGTTTTGTTTTGATTTAACTTTTGAAAATGGTGATCAATGCATGAAAATGGGTTTTTTTAATTTTTTTTTAAATGGTTCGGATATGAACAGAATGCCATACTTTTTACCATATTGAAACAGGGTGGTTGATTTTTCTTCTTCTTCTACCACTTAAACACAAACCATTTCAGGTACTCTCTCTCTCTCTTCTGTTTATGTTTCAAAATATGCTTTTAAGTATTCATAAGGATAGATTCCATTATCTATTGATTTGTTGTGTGCTTTTGGAATTCTATCTTAGCTGATTCAAATGGGTGCTGAAAAGAAAATAGAGGTTTTTTCATGGAAGCTTTAGACTATTAAACTTAAACCATCTGACTGAAGTAAACTCATTCATTACCCTTCTTCATCAAAGTAGCAGATTTTTACCTTTTTTTTTGTCATTTTCATATTCTGGGGTCTTAGGTGGCTTTGAATATCGTATTTGGTGTTCATTATCAGTACAATCATACATTTAAGGGTTTTTTTTTTAACCAGTAGCATTGTTCTTCCAGCTATATTCTTTGCTGGGTAAGAATGCATGCTGTAAATAACACACCTAAAATTTAAATTCTATGAGATGATGAAGATTACATCGTATTCAAGTAGAATTACCTCAGCAAAAAAAAAAAAAAAATCAAATTTAAGTGTTGTTGACTTTTCTGTTTATTTCTGATGTCATGCAATATCTGACTGACAATTCCTGTCACTTCAGCTGATTAAATTTTATAGTCCATATTTTTTTCCTGTTTCTCAAGCTCAGGTGTCAATGCGATGCTCTTTCTTCCATCAAAGAGGTTCTGAATCAACACATAATATGCGCCATAGTTAGTAATCATCCACTCAAAATGGATAGGAGATTGCCTAGGAGCCCGGCACTTAAGAGCCCTGTGCTCTCACCTAAAAGCCCTGCAATCTATGAAAAGTACAAGTCAGGATGTGCGTGGGGGTTAATTCACTTCTTTGATTTTCGCCAAGGTCATTCACATGGGAAGCTCATTTCTGATAAGAAGCGCGCGAACAGACAAGCGAAAGGTAAGAACGCCTCATCCTTGTTGAGAATGAAATATAATCTCATTCCCATAAGAGTTATATGTATTTTCTTTAAAGTAGATTAATTGCTGCATTTATTTTTATAATGCTCACATGAATTTTTTAAGCCTCACACCTGTCATGTCCAACTAAGTTTAATTATATTGATTTTTAATCTTCAGGTGATGGTTATACAAGGAACAGGCCTAATTTTCTCTCTAATGAGAAGGCCCAGGACATAGATGTGAGTTTGGTAACCTGCTTTTATGATCAAATTCATTGCATATTCTGAGTCCCATTTTTATGAAGAAGGAAATAATCTATGCATTTGCTAATCCTATTATAGACGTTGGTAATTTGTTCTTTCTTTACAATTAAGTGCAAAACGATTCTAAACTGCAAGCTTTAATTTTTTCAGGATGCACTTGATAAGAATCTTGCAGTTAACTCTAGGAGGCCAGAAGTTAAAAATGGTATAGAAGAAGAGATGTCTGTGAAGCATCAGAGAAAGAAGAAAAGGGCAATCGGTGAAATGCAAAATCTACAGTTTAACTCCAATCTTTTTGGCCTTTCAAAAGACCATAGGAAGGCAAGCAACAGTTCCAAGAAATCCCGTCGTTTTCCTGCTCGTGGTTGTGATGCAGCAACTGAGGGGTATAGGCAGCCTTCTGATCAAAATATGGTAGAAAAATCTTCAAATAACAACAACTTGGCATTAGTGACAGGAGCATCTGGCAATGATGTGCATGCTAGCAATGGAGGGAATTATAGTCGTAAAAGCATCAGAGGTAGGAAACATGACCATCACACTGACATTAATCTTCGAGTTCATATGAATGAATCAGTTGAAGCTTTTGTAAATCAAAAGTTAACTGATGGGGAGAACCTTAGTAGCAATGAGGTAGCCAACCGGTCTAAGAACTTTATGGATGCATTGGAAATTTTAAATTCCAACAAGGAATTATTTATGAAACTCCTACAAGATCCAAATTCACTGCTAGTGAAACATATTCAAGATTTACGGGATTCTCAGGCAAAGAAACAACCCCAATTTTTCTCCAAAGCTAAAATATCACAATGCCAGCAAAAAGAAGCAGGCGAATGCAAAGGGCCAGCCCATGCTCAAATGTTTGAATCTTGTGATAGATGCACGTCAAAGGGAAGTGACATGTCCCAACCCTTGGACACAATAGTAGTCCTGAAGGCAGGCACACAAAACTGTCCTGATAGAATCAGTAATTGGCCACCACCACAGTCTCGCTATAGCTTGAAGAAAAAAGAGTGGAGTGTTAAGCCAGCATTCTTGTCTTTTGAACACATGAAAAGGAAGTTAACGCATGCTATAAGGGTGAACAAAAAAGAGCAGTGCCAGATGCCCCTTGATGGTATTCATAAATCTTTTCATGACTTCAAACAGTTTGAAGATGGTTGTAAAGAAATGAGCAGACAGGCAAATAAAATAATTTCTGCTAGTAAAAGCTATCTTGATGCTGGAAAAATGTCCGAATCATCCCATGAGGTCAATAGAAGAGATGGGATGAGCCAAACAGTGACCTTTGGTTCAGGCATTGGAAGCAAAGTTGCTTCTTCCACAGATAGTTGCCATAGGACCTCAAACTTGTTAATGGTAAGGCATCTCAAAGGAAAATTTCACCCTAGGAAACATCCTACAGATATGTTAAATAGTGGAAACGAAGATTTCTCAAGAAGACAGACACTCAGAAATTTGGATAGATTAATGTCTTTGCCTGAATACAACTTGTTGCCCATGCTTACTCCAGTAAGGGACAAGGAACATGGGTTTGCTTCTCCACAGATGAGATTTTCACCATACAGCAATTTTTCAACCGCCAATGGATACAAGTGGAGGGTTCAGAAAGAAAGCAAGAGCTGCTGCTTAAGTTCTTCTACCATGAAAAATTTAGGGGCACAGCTTGTGTCCGAGAAACCAGATGATCGATTGCAAGGTGCAAAGAAAATTATCCCTGGCAATTTATCTTCTGCCACCAATGTGCTTCAAACTGTCTATTCCCTTAGTGATGATTTGAGTCACAAAGGTATTTCTTGGTTATGAAAGAGAAAAATGAAATTGCGATCCACTTTTTTTCCTCATATAATAATTATTTATCTTATCTGAGCAGTTAATCAAACTTCTGTATGTCCTGGGAAAGTCATGGAAAGAAATCATGCTGTTAGTTGGGGTGAACACGAAATTAATGCTTTAGAAGTTGCTTTGGGATCAAATGGTGTACAGAGCAACACCAGCCAAAGAACTGAAGCAGTCAACATATTTGGAAAAAGTGAATATTTTGAATGCTCAAAACTGGTAAATGGTTTTTCTTTTGTTTTTTTATACTCATTTTCATGTTTTAGGTTTCTCCAGTGCATCAACTATTCACCTCTTTAATTCATGTGCTGTATTTTCTCTTTTTCTTTCTTGTTCTCCTTCTGTTTAATTTTGTTGTCTTATGTGCTAAAATTATGTTCTATCCTGTTTTGTTGGTTATTATCAGGATTCATTTTCAGGGGATCAAACATCATCTTCTTCAATAGATGTTTATTCATCAAGTCCTTTGCGTATTCAGAAAGCAGAAGATTCTGATAGCATGATCGATAGAGCAGAGCAACCAAGTCCTATATCAGTTCTTGAGCAGTTCCTTGTAGAAGATGACAGTAGCTCTCCTAGCACCGTATCTCTAGCAGGTGAATTTTGATACTAGAAATTACTTAATTACTTAGAATATGTATTTTTTTTTTTCTGTTTTCTTTAAAGCTGAGTTAACATCTCAATCTTGTGCAGCCGAGCCACCTGTCCAACCATTTGGCATAGATATTGGAGAACTCTATGTATCTTCTCTTACGGTGTCCCATTTGGATTTGAATTGTAATGCTTGCACTTCCATGGATAAGCAAGGATCTTTGTCTGAGTGCATAAGAGCAGTTCTGCAAATTTCAGGTCTCAATTGGGATGAACCCTCTAGGAAATGGCATTTGTCAGACCAAATGCTTGACGTATCCTTGTTTGATAATGTTGAAGTATGGCCTGACAAGTCCTGTACTGATCGTAGGCTGCTTTTTGGCTACATCACTGAAGTCCTCTTGCAGATATATCAATGTTACTTTAGATGCTCCCCCTGGATATCACTTCTCAACCCAAGGCCTCAATTGGCTATGTTATCAAAAAATATGGTTCATGAGGTGTTGAGACGTGTTGATCGGCTACTCCTTTCAGAGATGCCCCAACAAACATTAAAGCAACTTGTTGAAAAGGATTTGGCCAAATCTGGCACATGGATGGATACCAGACTTGATACTGAGGAAGTTGTTTCTGAGTTAGTAGACAACATCCTAGAGGATTTGGTAGTGGATGCTGCAATTCGGCTGCAAACTTAAAACAGTACATGCTACTACATGTGCTTTTTCCTAATCTCATCAATGCAGGGCAACAAAACTAGTGTTCCATGGTTGATTGAGATGTGATCAGCCTCTTTCCATGTATACCTTATATTCACTCCTAAGTCCTAACTAGGAGGTTTTTTGCTGCTGGCAAGTGGTAACCAGTCTGGTGCATGGATTCAATCTATGCCATTCACACTCCCTATATAAATGGTTTATACTAAATCCAAACAACTGCTTTCAGTTATGGTTTTGATTTAATTAGTCTAATTTTTCGGTTGGAAAGAGATTTCCAACTTGACTGGATGAGCCAATATACACAAATACAGCAATATTGGCTTGTAAATCCCAAGTAATCATTCAGTCCACTGGTTTAGATATTTCAGATAGTTTTCTTCATGCTATTACCAGTTCTCTTTTTTCCTTCTCTAGATAAATGTTTTCCAGCAAAAAACCTATTACCTGTTTTTCTTTTATGGTCAAGTATAAACCAATTCGAACGATGTAGAAGAAAAAAAGGATAGACCAAGAACACAAATATTGCTATATCAGCCTTGAATGTTTGTTATTCCGAACAAGGAGAATCTTGAATTGTGTGGCAATAAACTGCAATTTAAAGATTAGAAAAAAAAAGCAACATAAAGAAAACTAAAAAAAAAAAGGAAGTAACCTTGAATTAGAAAGGATAAAATGTAATAAACAAACAAGAAAATCCAACAAAAAGTGGGTTGATGATTAGAGAGGAAATTAGCAGAAGACAAATGATGTACTACTCATGGCATGGGTTATTCAATTCAATTCCCCACGAAATATTAAATAATGTCCAAGCATAAAATGCACAAAGGCTTCAGTCATCATGTAGTTTATTTCAAAAAAATAGCTAGATATGTCAGTAATTTTTCCTCCTTTTGGCTAGAAATCTCCCAAGAAGTTGATGTCCAACTCAAAATGATATTAGGTTTATTTTAGGTTTTATTTTATTTTATTTCAGTGTATATGGTATGTTTGATGTTCTTGGTACATGAGTTGGCTCTATATTTAATGGGTATGAGCTGAATCATAGTTGGCTTCTTTCATGTAATGCTTTCAGACTATTAACCCTAAATAATGATTTATGGTAAGCAAGTTATTTGTCAATGGACCCTTTCCATTTGTGATGTGTAAATGTCTAATTCTATGTATTGAATGTAAACTTACCAGCAATTAGTAACCAATTATAACAAATTAGCATTTACTTTCTTATACAAAACTGTGAAAGTCATGACTTTTCATGTATATAAATGGCTGGACCTTTGCAAGGAAAGCAAAAGAGAATTGAATTGTTCCTGGCAGAACATGGAAGCAAGGTTCATGATGATGGCTGCAGGACATTCTAGGAACTTCATATTAATGTTAATGTTGATGCAAGTGTTTGCTGTCTTATTAGGAGTACATGCAGTTGAAGAATGGAAAACATTATCAGAAGAAGAAAACCTGGAGATGGAAAGACAGCTAAAAGTTATCAACAAACCTCCTATTAAGAGTTTCCGGGTGAGCTTCAAATGCCAATAAACTAATTAAGAGGGCATTGCATTAGTTTGCAGCTCTTGACTTTATGATATATTAGTTTGTCACCTGTGCCACGGAATTTTTATATTTTTATAAAATTATTTTAATTAATTAAATTTAATATGATAATATTATATTTTTTTAACTAAATTTATATGTTAATATTGTATTTCTTTCAATATGAAATCAAAATATAAAAAATTCAAAAGCATATTTTGTTTTTATTTTTTCCGATAATCTATATATTAGGTTTGGTAACTTAGAATTAAAAGAAAAGATTTGGATTCTCGTGTAAAATATGTGATAAAGCACATAAAAATATAACTTTAATAATTCATGACTCGACAATCATTCATTTTGAAATAAGTTATTTTAATTTTTATGAATTCATCAATCAAACAAAAATATTAAGAGAATTTATAATATAAAAAATATATGTTAAAATTAACTTTAAAATTTTGTTTTTATATGTTAAAAAATGTAATAATTTGATTGTAGTCAATCGATTGATATTTATCTTTGCCAATTAACTTTTAAATCATAAAATTAAAAGATTTGATTAACAAGCACATTTATTTCATATTTGTACATATCACTTTTTTTCGCTAATTTATACATATATTTTAATATTATTTTAAGATTATATTTGAGGCTAGATTATAAATATAAAATATTAGATAATGTAAAAATAAAATCAAGAATACGTAATACAATGTAGGATAAAATCTATCTAAATAAAGAAATTAAATTAAAAAATTTTTTTATAAAAAGTATATAGTTATTAATTTAAATACTATATAGTTTTCAAATTTTATAAGCTTTTGTTTGAATGTCAAATACTTGATAGAAAATAATTTTTTAAAATATGTTTTTTATATGAATTAATTAATTAGAAGTAACACAAATTCTTTTCTCATACCATATAAAAGAAAATTTTCATTTAATGTAGTATTAAATTTAGAAAGACAATATATAAAATTAAAATTTGATCTTCTAGTAATAATTTAAATTTAAAATTTTTCAATATTAATTATTCAATGGTAATACATCAAAGCAAACTCATTTTGAGAATGGAATTTAATTCTGAACAATTTAAGGCGAACAATAATGAAAATTAAATTTTAATCACAACTTGAATGGCAACTTATTCATAAAAAACAAAAACATTGGTTATTTATAAGAAAATTATTGTAATATTATATTTACTGTATAAATTAATTTTTAACTCTTAATCTATTGAAGGTTTAATCCTTATTTAACTTTATTTTGTCAATAACACTCGATTTGATCAATCTTAATACTATCTAAAAACTTGATTTTTACTTTAATTTTTAAAAAACAAATTTACCCTTAAAAACTTTATGCCTATTAACATAATTTCTTATTATTGGATCAATTTTTTCAAACTGAGTAAGTAACATATCTCTAGTAATGCAATAATTTATTATCTTTATTGTTCAATTTACCTTAATAAATGTCAATACATTTCTAACACATTTCTCAAACTTAAAAGACACCAACACCAAATAATTTAGTTAGATGTAATTGATGAGATTGTACATTAAGTGATTAAAGTGAGCTTCAATTTTTGTTTGAATTTTCAAAAGAAATGATCAAACAAATCAATTAACATAATTCTTATTATGTATAATAATATTTAAGAAATCAATACATTTATAATTTAGATAACAAATTAAAATTTTGTTTTCATTTATATGTATAAGATAATTGAATTCCATTTGGTATTGGAATAATTGAAATTTAGAAATTATTAATCCCATGCAAGAGTAATTAGTGTAAGGCATCCATATTTGTTTGGACATTCCTTTGCATATCATATCCTATTTTCTTCATGGTTCACTATAGTATTTGAGATCAAACATGTTTTTGGTAACAATTTGTTACCAATTAAAAAAGCTAATAAAACTTTGCAATCAATATTAATCTCATTGCATACATATATATATATATATTTGCACATAAAAATTATAAATTACTTCATTAAAAATAATATAAAAATAAAATAAAGCAAGCCATTTTATATTGTGTATAAAATATTTAGATTTATTTTAAGGTATATCAACATATTTGAATATTATACTAATATTGTTTCAAAAACTAAAAGCAGATTAGGTTTTTTTTTTTTTTTTTGCTAAAAAAATTTTAATATTAAAAACAACAAAAGAAATCACACTTTAAAATAAAGAGAAATAATTAAAAAAAGGAAGAAAAATAAAACTATCAATGGAACAAAAAAAAAAAAAAAAGAGAAACAAAACATAATAGAATTATAGAACAGACGTCCAATACTATTATCTCTAATGGACAAAAACATATTATTATTTATAGTGTTGAAGTTGGTGTGAAAAATTAATAATAAAATTTAATTGAAAGTTATTTAAAATAAAAAACACTTAACTTTAATTACAAAATGAATTGAAACTTATTTATATAAGGTAAAAGTAATGAATATTTAAAAGAAAATAAATGTAATAATCTAAAATAAATAAATTTACTTTTTTTTTTATATTATAGATGAATCAAATCAAATTAAGCATATTGATTTTTTTAATTAAAAATGCATAAAATAAAATAAAATATATTTATTAGATGACATATAGCATTTATTTATGATTGTAGTTGTGTTAAAAATAGAACATCAACATTGAATACTTTCTTTTTTGTAGAGGGTTTTAATTTTTATATATTTATATAAAATAAAATATAAGATTGATAAGGTGTTCAAGGTATTTAATATTTATTATAAGAAGTTGACTAAAAACTAAAAATGAAAATAATGAGAGTAATTTATGAAATGTATAAAAATTATCATTTAATAAAAATTTAATTTTATTATCATTATTAATTTCAAAATCTCTTTTTTTTTTCATTTATCTTATGTATATTGAATACACATTATACTTGACTATTCTAATTATTAAGCATAATTTACTCTCAATTTAGGATACTATTTCTCATGATTTGGTTCTTAATTTATTTTAGTCAATTAATCATTTAAAAATACATGTTAATAAGAATCATTGAATGTTTTTTATAATAATGGAAATAAGATATTTTATATTAAATTTATTTTACCATTAAATTTAAAATTTAAAATGTATGATTAATTTTGAATACACGTCAATTTTTTAAGTTATCCATATGTGTACACTATTTGCATCAAATTATTTTTTTTATTAAATACTTTGGCTTTCATATATTTATATAAAATATATTTTAAAAAAATTTTACTATTTTTTCATGTGAAACAGACCGAACATGGGGATATCTTGGATTGCATCGATATGTACAAACAACACGCTTTCGATCATCCTTTGCTCAAGGATCACAAAATTCAGGTTAACAATCTTTCTCTCCTTTTTGTCCCTTTCAATTTTCATAAGACATTGTATAATATATGTAGTAGCAATAAATAATCTCTGTTGATATGTTTTAACTATGATTTTAATATAGATGAGACCAAAAAGGATCCCAAAGGAGATGAAGGGAGGCAAATCTCCACGCCTTCTGCCCAAGAACATTAGATGTCCACCTGGATCAGTGCTCATCAAAAGAACTACAAAGGAGGATCTAATCATGGCCAAGAAAATAAAAGCTTTAGGATTGAATTATCCAACAAGTTCCCGTTTTCACAACACCGGTGCTGCTCCAAATGGCTTTGGTACAAACCCACGTAACATTGTTGTAAGCAAATCTACCATAAAAATTTTGTTATATATATTTCGCCAGTAAATTATTTTAATAGATATTTTATGGTTCTCTCTATTCCTTTATGTGAATACAGTCTGCTTATGCTGAATATACCAAGCACAATTTTGGAGCAAAAGCAACCATGAATGTGTGGAACCCAAGAGTTTCACCTAACCAATTTAGCTTTTCTAATATTTGGATTGCAAATGGCCCTTTAGAGACAGTCAATGCTATACAGGCTGGGTGGGGAGTAAGTAACTGTTGCAAACTCCATTTCTTGTAGCCATCATATCAAATTTCATAGACAAAATTAAGGACCGAAAATATTAGTTCCTAGATTACCATTTACCAATGCATATCAGAATTAATTTTCTGAATTTTTTTGCTATGGTTTCTGCTTTTTACTTCCAGGTACAACCAAGTCTTTTTTCAAGCAACTACACCCGGCTAATAACTCTCTGGACTGTATGTTTTCCAACTTTTGTTTCCCTTTACTCTCATTTCCTTGTTTGCTAATATTGTTCATGTTTTTGATGTTTATCCAACAGGCAGATGGTTACAAAAACACTGGTTGCTATAATTATCTTTGTCCAGGATTTGTACAAGTTAGCAGTGAAATAAGCCTTGGTCTTGTTCTGAAGGAGATTTCTACTTATAATGGTACACAAGCAGATATAGAAATCAGTATATTTAAGGTAAGAAATTATTTGAAATTCTAAAACTTAGAATATATATGAATCAGGCACCAGGAAAATGGATGATTGTATCCAATTATGTGGCCGGTATTTGTTAATGCGGTTTTACCAATTAATCATGTTAATCTTTTAGCAACAAATACTATTTCCATTGTAGGATGGAGAATGGTGGTTCACGTTCTTTAACAAAGTTGTTGGGTACTGGCCAGAAAAAGTGTTCACTTACATGTATGGTGGTGCCAATTTTGTTTTTTGGGGAGGGCAGGTTTACAGCCCATCAAATGAGCCTAGTCCTGAAATGGGGAGTGGCCATTTCCCACAAGATGGCCATGATAGGAAATCTGGCTACTTCAAGCAGCTGCAACTATGGGACAATGTAAATTTTGTTTATCCAGATGGCAACTTTGTTAAGGTCAATTCTGATAAACCTCAGTGCTATAATGCACAGACTACTCCAGATGGTGATGCTATAGATCTTTTCTATGGAGGTCCCGGCCAATGTAAGTTTACAATGAAGTAGTAGAGTTTCATTCATCTTTGATGTCAAAAGTATAGTGAGTAGTTTCACAGTTGAAAGCTTCATTTTCAGAGAAAAAAGAGAGAGAGAGAGAACATTAAGAAAATAAGTGCTAAACAACAATGTTCTTTATTCTAGTGTATATGAATGAGTTGCTGAACCCAGAAGATTTCAGGAAACGCAAGGGGTGGAAAATTCTTACTGGTGCAATTTCCTGTTCCACAAGTTTTACATATATGGTTTGTCTGAAAATTACTTTAAGACCTTGGAATGTATACCAAAATAATAATGCCGTAATCTGGCAGAATGAATGTATAACAAAACTTCAAGACCGGGCAATTAGTGCATCCAACAAGGACCAGCTTAAGCTCTCACCGTTGCATTTAATCCGAAAAGGGCAGTAAATCTAGGATTTTCCTGCAATGGAAATTCAATAACGTTCATATTAACTCAATGACCAACTTAAAAAATTGAATTCCATTCTTACTCAAAAGATGATTCCTACTTAAATATTTGGTAACAAATTGTGTTAACAGAAGGGATTAAAAGGCCCGGTTTTTAAAATATTTGAGACTTTTATGTTATTTCAATGAATATCAACATGATTTCACAATCAATATTAACAATTATTAGCTCAAATTAGCCACAGGCCCTAATATCATGAGAGATATCATTCCTACCATTTACTCTAAATAGAAAAACAGTATGATTCTTTTTTTGGGACTGTTGTCTTGATTTCTATAAAGGGCAAGTTTCCACATTAATATCATTTAGGAACACATTTATTGCTTATTGAAAAATGTGAGGGTGACAGCCAATCTCTGCTAAGAATTTGATAAAGAAGAGGCTGGGTCTTTCCAAAGAGACAGTGTAATTAAAAGCATATTCCTGTTATCATAATTCATAAAATCTTAAAACCTGATGAAAACATATGCATACTAAAACATATATATATATAAATTTATATCATGACATGGTATTAAAGAGCTATTGTAGTGTTGCGGCCTTTTGATAATTTTCACTTTTCTTTGAAATGGAACCTCCATTCATGGTGGTGGCTGCTGCAATATTAGTAATGCTGGCAATATATATATATATATATATATATATATTGGTTATTAAGAGAGGACATAACCCTTACAAAGACAGAAAACAAAGAGATTTGATTAGAAATCAAACTTTAATGTTCTTATAAAACCTTCGTGACCACTGAGCCAAGAGATGGACCCATTTTTATCATATATAACGGTGAAAGTTTTCAGGTAGGCTTAGCAAGCTCGGAACGTACTATCTACTATGGGAGCCAGGACGCTATACAGGCTTTACTTGTGGTCAAAATGTGCCCCAAAAAGTATCTGACATTTGTGCTTCTATGCCATGATAAAAAAAAAAAAAAGAAGTCATTGTCGTATTTGATTTTCAGTAGCATTACAATTTGGATACAAGGATCAAGCAACAACTCTGCCTTCCAATTGCATTACCTAATTTGCAATTGTATACGCCTTCGACCCAAAAAAAATTCAAGCCCAATTTTCCCGGAAAGGTCCAAAAAGTGTCCCATTTTCAAAAGGAACAAAATCTCCCATTTTAATAATTTATTAAACCCAAAAAATAAAAAGAAAACCAGTTACACCATTCTACTTCTACTGCTACTACTACTAGTATGGAATATATAAGTTATAGCCCACTTCCCGCCAATCCCAAAACCCTAATTCCCTCAGCCTTCTTCCTTAAACCCTGCGCGTTCCCACCACCGCTTCCTCCATATCCAAAGAAAAGAAAACCCTCCGGCCGCGTCAACCGCCACCACCATTGCCCTTAAACCCTAAAACCCTAATGGACCCAAATGCCGTAAAATCCGACTTAGTCCTGATCCTTGATTTCGGTTCCCAGTACACCCATCTCATCACTCGCCGTATCCGCTCACTCTCAGTCTTCTCCCTCTGCATCTCCGGCACTTCCCCTCTCTCCTCCATCACTTCCCTCAACCAAAAGTCGTTATCTTTTCAGGCCGACCCCATTCGGTCCATTCGGATGATTCACCTTCTTTTGCTGATGGGTTCATTGAGTGGGCCCTGTCCAATGGGGTTTTTGTTCTGGGTATCTGTTATGGGCTTCAGTTGATTGTTCAGAGACTTGGTGGTGAAGTTAGGGTTGGGGAGAAGCAGGAGTATGGGAGAATGGAAATTGAGGTTGAGAAAAGTTGTGGTATTTTTGGTGGGAAGAGGGTTGGGGATAGGCAGGTTGTTTGGATGAGTCATGGGGATGAAGCTGCTAGGTTGCCTGATGGGTTTGAAGTGGTGGCTAGGAGCCAGCAGGGAGCCATCGCCGCGGTTGAGGATAAGGACATGAGGTTTTATGGGTTGCAGTATCATCCAGAGGTAATTTGAGTTTCTGGGTTTTGTTCTATTTGTTGAGTTGGGTTTTATTTTGCGTTTATTAAGGTTCGTTTTGATTGTTATTTTTGCTTTTTTTTTTTACTTAATGACTAATAATGAACAAATGACTTAAATGTAACATCAATTCCAACGTAATTGTTTTATGCTGCATAATTAAAAACATGCATTCCATTCCTCAAACAAGTTTGATTTTTAATTTTTGAAGAATATTAGCTTTTGATTTAGTATCTACATGCAATTCTTGCATCTTGAGAGTAACAAACAAATCGGATCAAAATTTTATTGTGAGTTTGGTTTTAAGAAAATTTTGGGTGGTGAGGGGCAGGTTGTTGTGGTTTTGATTCTTTTGAAGATGTTGAATAATGTTTTGATTTGTGTTCATTTAGGTTACACATTCACCAGAAGGGATGGAAACTCTGATATATTTCTTGTTTGATGTTTTTGGAGTGAATGCTGGTTGGAAAATGGAAGATGTAATGGTTGAAGAAATTAAGGTGATCAACAACAGAGTGGGGCCTGATGATCATGTTATATGTGCTTTATCTGGAGGTGTTGATTCCACAGTTGCTGCAATGCTTGTTCACAAGGCAATTGGAGACAGACTTCACTGTGTTTTTGTTGACAATGGGTTATGAAGGTGAGAAAGCATTTTTTTTTTATCACATTGATTTTTTTTAATTTTATGCAGTGTTTGAAAAGAATTTGGGAATTGCCAAATGAACATTTTTGTATAGCTTCTATAATTGTCAAATTCAAATTTACATTTTTTTATAGCTTCTATAATTCATTACTTGTACACGTGTTTTATTTCTGGTAGATATAAGGAGAGAGAACGTGTGATGGAAACCTTTGAAAGGGATCTACATCTACCTGTTACTTGTGTTGACGCAACTGATCAATTTCTTAGTAAGCTAAAAGGGGTGGTAGAACCTGAGATGAAAAGGAAGCTAATTGGAAAAGAATTTATCTGCATCTTTGATGCTTTTGCTCCAGAATTGGAACATAAATTAGGAAAGAAACCTGCTTTCCTGGTTCAATGAACTTTGTATCCGGATGTGATTGAATCTTGTCCTCCACCAGGAACAGGAAGGACTCACTCTCACACGATCAAAAGTCATCATAATGTTGGAGGGCTTCCCAAAGATATGAAATTAAAGCTTATTGAGCCACTTAAACTTCTATTCAAGGATGAGGTTTTGATTCTGTTTCCTTGTCGTATGACATTTACTTCTATAGAAGGCCTTTTCCTCTTTTAATTTATTTTTAATTTATAAAGGTTCGCCAACTTGGAAGGATATTGAGAGTTCCTGACCCATTTTTAAAGCGCCATCCATTTCCTGGACCTGGCCTCGCAGTAAGAGTCTTGGGCGATGTAACTGAAGGCAATGCCTTAGATATTGTGCGTCAGGTATGAGGTGTTTACATAAGAAAGTGCAACCATGTTTATAATTTGATACCTTTTAGCATGTTTTTCACTCATGAACTTGTTTTCCCAGGTTGATGAAATTTTTATTCAGTCAATCAAAGATGCTGGTATTTATGACTCAATTTGGCAAGCTTTTGTTGTATTTTTGCCTATAAAATCAGTCGGAGTTCAAGGTGATCAAAGAACACATTCTTATGTTGTTTCTTTCTGAGCTGTTACAAGTCAAGATGGAATGACAGCAGATTGGTAAGTTTTCATTGCTCTGCATTGCTTTGCTGTCTATGGCCATTGCAAAATTTATATGCTGAGGCCAAGCCAATGGCATACAGTAAACAAGCATAATCTCAAATCTGTCTCTAATTTGGGCTGAGTTAAAAATAATTTCATGCATGTGACATGGCTATTTACAAGAAGGGTTAATGATTCTGCTGAAATGGGTAGGTAGGACTGAATGATATGATTTTCGTGACTTGCAGTACTAGAAGCAGTTTAAGTTGGAAATCATTAGGACATATTTAGCATTCTACAGTATTGATTCTAAAATGCTGGATAAAATGGGATGACTTCCTACTTTAATAAAAATGGATCTCCCTCCATCCTCTTGTGCATTACATGTTGGCAGAATATATGTGTTGCATGTTACAAGTTTCTCAGTATCGAGGAAAACTGCTTTTTCGTTTGTCTTATCAACCATGGTTGTGTGGCTAAAAGCCTAAGAATTAATCTTTCGACCCCATTTTCTCTCTCTTAACTCCAAAATTCTAAAATTCTCTTTTTTCCTCATGCAATTTTGGAATTCCAGGTACTCTTTTGAACGCCAGTTCCTTGACGATGTTGCCCAAAAAATTTGTAACAGCGTTCGTGGTGTGAATCGAATTCTTCTAGACATTACATCGGAGCCCCCATCAACAATTGAATGGGAGTGATGTCATGTTGAATGTTAGTAATAACTTTATACTTGTGTAGCGTGAAGGTGATATTTCATTTTGTCATTGCTTTCTGCTCAAGAAAAGAAAATTAATCTAGCAGGATTTCTTAACATGAGTTACTAGATGATTTCTTAGCATGAGTTACCAGATGTGTAAGGTCTTTGCCCATATCTATATTGCTTATTTCTCACAAGAAAAGTTTTGTCACACTTACTATAAAAAAATTCTGTAAGAACTTTAGTCATTTTAAACAATATACTACTTTTGGCAATCGTAGTTTCGTTTTCCTCAGTGATGAACGCTTTATTGTTTTAGCCAAATATGAAGGGCATACATCTCTGAGTGTGTGTGCTGAGAGACTTATGCTCACATGTGTTTTTACGTCTGTTTTGTCTAAAGACTGTATCATAGAGTGAATTGCATAAGATATGACTTGTCATTTATGGAATTTCTTGCCCTTGTGTTTAATTAGCATTTGATAACACAGTGCAAGTGTTTGGTTTGTCCATGTGCACAATCATATTCTTATGCTTGTTAGTCTGTGGCCATTTTGTTGTTTCTTTATGTTTGTAACTTGAAAAATAAAAATATTGGTAATAGAAACTGCATCATACTAAAATTCTTTTGCTGATCATGCCATGATGTCTCTTTGTCTGCTGAAATCATTTTCTTCCCTTGGATTCAGTGGATGTAAGCATTGGGTTATATCATAGTCTATATTATTTGCATAATACTATTATTAAAGATTCTTTTGATCTGTGGTCTCCACCATTAGGTGATTATGTTTTAATTTTTAATTGAAGTTTGTTTGCAAAGGATAGCTACAAAACTCACTCTCTACCCACCATCATTTTATGCATAACCAATCACTGTAAGCATTGTCGTGGGTGTTGCCATTTTTTCTATGATGCATTTTATTATAATACTTAGTGGTGTTAGATAATGCCTAATGTTCACTTAGCTTAATCATTTCTGGAATGTGCTAATCTATAAGCAGATTCTTCCACCCTACATCCTATATGTAACCAACCTACAATTCCTAGATTGCAATCCAATTCAAGGATCTTGTTTTGTTTCCATATATAATAATGTCTGAACTGCTAGATTCTATACAGCTCCCTGTGTTAGATCTAACCCAACCTGCTGAATCCTCATTTCTATCTTCCCTCTCACAAGCCTGTCAGGAATGGGGCTTCTTTTATGTTACCAACCATGGCATCTCCCAAAATCTGTTTAATAAAGTTCGTGCACTTTCAAATGATATATTTAGCCTTTCTCCAGATACTAAGATCAAGCTTGGTCCATCATCCCGTATCAAAACATACACTCCTCATTTCATAGCTTCTCCCTACTTCGAGAGTTTAAGAGTTAGTGGACCAGATTTCTTTGCCTCTGCTAAGGCTTCTGCTAATGAACTCTTTGGCCAAGAGAAACCTGAATTTAGGTAATAATTTTATTCAATACTTAAAGTCTCCTGTTACCAGAATTGTTTTAAGTTGATTCATTTGCATTCTATTTGTTTTTTTTTTTTTTTGGTCTGAACTCTTCCATTTGTAGCGAAATATTACAGGAGTATGGAAACAATATGATGAACTTGTCAAAGAGAATCACTGAGGTCATATTAAAGAGTTTAGAAGATGGTTATAAAAGGAAGTTCTATGAGTCTGAATTTGGTAACTGTCATGGATATATGAGGATAGTAAATTACACAGCACCAGATGATGTCGAAGAAAAGGAAGTCGAAGGACTGGGGATGCACACTGATATGAGTTGCATAACAATTGTGTATCAGGATGAGCTTGGCGGGCTCCAAATGAGATCGAAGGAAGGAAAATTGATGGATATATGCCCGTGTGAGAATTCCTTAGTAGTTAACATAGGAGATCTAATGCAGGCTTGGAGCAATGGGAGGTTAAGATCATCCGAACACCGGGTTGTTTTGAAGCAATCCAGAAACAGGTTCTCTCTGGCATTCTTCTTGTGCTTCGAGGATGAGAAGGTAATATTGGCACCGGATGAAGTTGTGGGAGTAGGAAACTGCAGGATTTACCATCCATTTGTTTGCTTGGATTACATAAAGTTTAGAGAAAGTAATGAAGTTGGTAATTTTGAGAAAATAGGATACACTGTAAAAGATTTTGCTGGGTTAAAAACTCGGAATTGTAGTGATTAGTCATAAATTTTGCAGTACTTCTTTTGGTTGGTCTGCTCCACGTATCTGTGTAATCCATCATTAGAATTGTGGTGTTAACAGTTACCTTATCTGATTGTGAATCATGTGATGCTGACTACAGCAGCATACTAATGTATTGTTCTTTTGTTTTCTTCCCCTGCTTGTTTACTCTTTGAAAATGTAGATTTATAGATAAATGATAGTAATAAAATTCTCCATTTCTCACCGACTTTACAGCAATCTCTACAAACTAAAGCTGTTCCCTTTTTGAGATTTACAGGGTTACCTGACTAATACGATAGCATGAAAAGACAGTTGGGGCCCAATTCGACCATCTTTGGTCGAAATGTCTAGGGGTTTTCAATTGGACCGCTAGCTGCTGCCAGCTTAAGTAGTACTGTACAAACGCTTTGTGGGGGAAGATCGAAACATTGTTTCAGATCTGACTGAATCTTTGTTTCTAGTTCAGTTCAAGACAAGAAATATTGCCAAAATTTTATATTGTGATTAAGACTGAATTACCACTAAGCTAACTGATTAGACATAACTAAAGATTTAAGTATCTTTTTTTTTTTAGTGGAAATTTGAAGGGAATGATGGCCATCTTCATGATTAACAACACTACAAAAGACCTTCATTTCAAGGCCCACACTTCACTTCAATTAAGCTGTTAATTACTTGATTAGGCACTCTTGCATTGTTAGTTTGGGTTTTAAATGAATAAAAAAATGGTGGATATTTTCAAAAGAATAAAATGGAGGTAGTGATAGAATATTAAATTTTTAATTCAACAATCAAAATTCAAATTTTAATAATTTTAATTAAAAAAATGGGTGTAATTTGAATTGATTATATGATGGCACCCATTAATTTACACTTAATTTTTCATTTTGTTGGGGGAAAAAGGGCACTCAAATCATTGATGCCCCCATCTCTTTTTCCTTTCTTTTTAAAGCTTTTGATGAGTTTTAAGTGAAACTCTTTTTCGTTTGCCACTATTATAATTTTTTCGATGAAGATGCTCTTTGCCACCGAAAATTTTTTTCCTTTGTCACTTCCCAGATTTGGTGGGCCAATTCTTCAATCTTGTATTCAAATCAAAGCATCCTAATTTTGCAGCCAAGGGGAATACATACAGAATATACAGTGAAAATACAAAGAATTATCGTTAGTTTGACAAGATTTATAGTATTACTTTATTAGCAGGAATTAAGTGTGTTATAATGTCGACCTGAAGCTGAATAATTGGAACATTTGTTCCGTCTGAAGACCCAAAAACCAGTCATGATTCAAGTAGTATTAAACAATATGGTAGCTGCTCTAGGGATGATCGTGGTTCCTGTCAGGTTTTATATTATACCAAGGGATGTTTTCCTTCTATCATTTACCTGACCCTAAAATTTGTCATGTCTTTGCAAACTTTTTCAGCCTTTTTCTTGTATTGTTCATTTAAAACTCACCTCTTTTTAGACCTTTTTGACTATCCAAATTAGCCCTCTTCTTACTTTGCTTAAAGCTACAATACTTCACTTTCTTGGCCAAAGCGAAGTCACTATTTGATTAGACAAAGTTGCATTTGTTTACCTAACAGCACCACGTTGCTACTTATATTAAACTTTAGCACATGCAAATTGGCAATTTGAAACTGGACTGACATGACATCTTTACCCCTTTAAATATTCAATGAAACTTTGTTTTTTTTTTTTTTTTAGGTATAAAAATTTTCAAAGTAAATAAACTATTCAATCAATATATTATATTTAATAATTTAAAATAAATTATTATAAAATTATGTATTCGAAATAATCTCGTCAAACAATCACCAATAACTTAAAATTTTTTGGAAAAAAAAAGATGAATCTTAACAAATTAATCTAACCACTTATTGATTAATGAAACTTTATTATACATTATCCAGCAGCCTTTAATTAATACCGCCTTCCAATTTGATAGTTTTTTTCAAGAAATGCAAGCAACAAGAAAGCAGCGAACCTGAATTTGTCCCGTAGCCTTTATTAGTGGCATGAGATTTTTTTATCACAAGTTTTGCAGCTCTTCTTACTGATAAACCTTTTATTATTTTGATTATTTAAGCAAGGTAAATATATCGTGCTTGATAGATGATATGCTTAACGTCCCTTTCCTGTTATAGTTACAAGGAAAAGTTGATTTTCTTCGGCACATAATGGAGGTGAAAGGTTGGTGATGTGAGAAGATTATTTGCTTTTATTTATGTTCCATCTATATCTGCTATCCTCAAAGCATTAGATGTCTCATTTAACTAGTCAAAATAGCAAGGCTTCTTACGTTGCAAGAAAATTGATTTTTCTGAATGTTATACAAAGGCGAAAGATTGAAGTCACAGGTCAAGCTCTGCTACTCGTATGCACTAGATTTTAAGGAAAATTACAAGGTTCCAAACTAGGTTTATTTCCCTTTATTTTACTAACCTACATGGAGGAAAAACCTTCTTGTTTGTGGCACCAATCATAAACAGAACCTTCCATGGCACAGGGATTTTACAAAGGAAGCTGGGAAATCTGTAACAAATAACTCTATGATTGTCGGTCAGAAGACAATGCTTCAACATTTCCAAGCAACTCTTTGCAAAGCTTGCTTGATTGTCCCAACTTTTGCAACAGTTGATCCTTTGTACTGCAATAAGCACAGATAATTTTGTTTGGAGTCAGTTGCTCAAAATGCTCATCAAGAAAAGTTGTACTTAAGCATTCACGAACGTCGAAAATCATTAACAGATTTGGATTCCTAAACATTTTCTTATGAAGCAAAACTAAAGAGTCTTACCTTGGATTTTATAGTCAGGGAGAGAATTCCCTCAGTGGTAGAAGATTGAACTGAGTGGCAATCCAAATTGAGAATGCTAAGTGCATCCATTATCTCGAGCAAAATTCCTTCTCGAAAAGGACACCTAAACTCAATTAGAAAATCCTTGTTGTTCGTACTGACAGTTACATTATCAGTTGAACCATCTTTAGATATAACATAGTCAATCTCCTGCTCTGCTTCATCAATATCACAGGCTTTCCTTTTACTTAGGGATGATTTCTTTCCGTTGGTGATTTTGTTATTGCCATAGTTATCAGATGTTCGCTCTACATGATCCTGAGATTTTCTTTTCATTCTTGCCTCTAACTCTATTAACTCTCTGCAAGATTCCAACTCTTCAACCCTTCTCTCGAGGTCTTGTAGGTATTCTATTGTGACATCTAGTATAGAAACTTTATCAACCTGCATAAAGAAAGCCAGTTGATTAGTAATGGTCATATCATGAATAACTAGGGGAATGGAAATTTAACAACCTTGCTATTTGAAGGGACCAGTGATTTGAGAATCATAAATCGTTCATTTATTTTTTCCCTCCGCCTCCTCTCTGACAGCACATGGTTTCCGCAAATTTCATCAGCCTCTGGTCTCCAAGCTGCATCTCTAACACCATTATCTTCAGGAGATTCAAGCAACCCTTTATCATGCATCTGAGGAACTTCGAACAATATCTTCTTCAATAACTTTTGAGGGGTTTCATCTCTTGCTTTCTGAGACTTCACCAAGACATTTTTCTTCCAGCTGACAAAGCTGGATTCCTGGTTAGAGTTTCGAAAGTGTGGTCCCAAAATCAACTGGTGCGAGCTCTTTAATAGGGCTGAGAGAACTGTTTGGTAGTGCAGATCATCACTTCGAAGATCTAAAGAGGTCAATTTTGTCTTATTGCACTCTTCAACATCTTGCAAACCATTGTCATTATCTTTTTCTCCCTGGCAAAGAGGAACTACATTTCCATGATCCACAAAGGTTTGAGATATGCAGTCACTGGAATTTAAGGAATGGTGGACACAATTGCTGAACTCCTCATCCATGAATTGCCAACTTTGTACTTGAGAAGCTCCACCATTTATCCCTTCAATCATGAATGAATCTTCTGCTGGGTGGTTAGGCTCAAAGCCATCTGAACTGTCATTGGGAGAAGCCATTTCTAGTTGTTCACAGTCTAAAAGTGGACTAAGTTTGGTGTCAAGGATCTGAGGATCAAGAGCTGGACAAGCAAGATCTTTATCATTTCCTGTTCTTGCAGCAACAAGAATGGATTTATTAGAACCAATTGTCTGTGGAGCATCCAAGAACGATGTTTTAATGCGCTGAATGAGGCAGAGGTCTTCCAATACCTACAGAAAGCAATCAATATAACAGCATGACTTAAACTGAAATAAAACAGCACTGAAAGCAATTTTTTCAATGACAATAAACAATAGAAGTATCAGAAAAGTTACCAAATCAGTTACACCAAGCTCAATCACACCTCCAGAAAATGGAAAGCACACTACGGTCTGAAATCAAGACAAGCGTAAGGATTTCACTGAGAAACATTTACAGAGATCTAATAATTCTAGCCCTTCAAGGTTTTCCATGTCTAAACATGAAGTATTTTGATTCTTCATTCACTAAAAGACAATGTCACTTGTAACCTATGTCCATAAGCAGTTAGATTAAGTTGGTGTGAGAAGGAATCACTGAATACTTCAGACTTGCTGTGTCACCAAGTTGCGGTAAAATTATCAAACCAGTTCAAACAAAATTTGTCTGATTCATTAACACAATCTTAAAGCCTCTGTTCACATATGACCTCTTTTCCATATTGAAAAATGAAAATAAATTATGGTGACGGAGAAACTGGGTCAATACCTGAATAGATGCACTCTGAGAAAGCCGGTTCCCAAAATTTCCAGCCATGAAAACATAAACCAAACTGTCATTTCTGAGCGTATTAACTAATATTGGTTTAGCCAGAATTAAAGCACAGGCACCTACCTTTGCCAGCAGCGAACGACTGAACACTTTGCTCTCTGCATGATGAGCATTGAAAAGCCAAATAGATTGACCACTTGACAATGTTCTTCCCGGCAATCTAGCAACAATTTAGAGGAATAATTTACAATCTGAAACATTGATGGTTTCAGTTTAAAACTGAGAACAAAAACTACGAAGAAAGATTACCCTTGGCCAATGTTGAATACAAACGACATACAAACTAAGTAATACCACTCAGTATCTGTGAGATCTTCAGGAGATAATGCTGCTGAAGGTCTTCTAGCCTGAGGACTGCTGTCACCAGCCGAGAGGGACTCATAAAGTTCTCTCAGTTGCTCACTTCTCTGCAAACCCAGTTGGTCAGCGTTGAGCTCTACAGCTTGAACTGTTTTCCTTGTCTTTATATCTCCATTGTAATAACCATCAGCCCACTCCAAGACCCTTCTCATTGATAGCGAACGAGAATAGGCATAAGAATGCATTAGCAAAATACCAGATTGATAATAGTAATTAGAATAGTAATTAGATGGGGTCGACTTTACAGAATGTTAAAGAAATATTAACATTTGTCACAGGGAAAAGCATAAAAGAATATTAAGAGAAGAATCTCAATCTTTTAAAGGTGATTTAGCACCTTAAAGAGTTTGACTCTGCATTTTTAACACTATGGCAAAATCCAATGATGGCGAATACTTGAACTCTAGAGAAAAATTAGTAAGAGACAAAAATATTAAGCAGAAAAGTTTCAGAAGCAAACCCAGTGTTTTTAAAATGCATAGCTGAAGTTGCTCGTAAGAAAAAAAAAAAAAAAAAGATGGGGCAAATATGGAACATTTTGTACCCTGGCCGCCTAGCTGAAATGGACCAGAAAATTGCATAACCCCACTGGATGTCTCTCACAGCAAGAGCAAGCTGTTTCTTCAGGTTCTTTGGCACACTCTCTTGATTTTGAACCCCAGTAGCCATTTGAAAGATATCTATATTTATATATTCACCACCAAGTAGATCAGATGCAAAATCAATTCTTACTCTAGTTTCTGACTCTTCATTCACCGACACCAGCTCCAATAAACTTCTAGAAATATCTTTGGTTGTGGAATATTCCAACCAAAGTATCAACAAAAATATGTGCTAGAGCTCAAGTTCATGATTCTTTTACCCCAAAACAGCAAAACTAGATGGGTTTGTCTCACTACTGCTGCTGTTTCCTTTACCAGAAACAACCCAGAGCTCAAAACCAACATAATTTTGTCAATGAAAAGAAAAAAGCTAAAAACTTCAGTAGCAAAGACCAAAAGGATGGTGTTTTGAGGTACCTATGAAGTCCGAAAACCAGGGGAAAATGGGTATAGAAAGAAGCTTGCAATGATCATTAACAGATACTCAACTTTAGTCTAGTTGCAATCAATTTCCTGTTTGCGTACGGAATTAAAAAAAAAAAAAAAAAAACTCACTTTGATGGATAAGAAAAGGAGGAAAACAAAAGAAGAAAAGAAGAAAAAATTAAAATATTTATGTATTAATGTAATATCTTACGCCATTATCAAGAAAAGGAAACTAGTTTTAATGAATATTGAACATGAAAATTCAAGCAAGTACACAATAATGGCACGCACACACAAGCACAGTTATTTCATTACTTTCTTTGTTTTGATGATCTTAAAAAACAGAGAAAACTGAAATGAAAAGAGAAAAGAGTGCTATAAAGATCTGGGCTTCCAGTTTTCTCTCTGACCCAGAACAAAGAAAAACACTTTGGTCCTACAACCAGAGCCAACAAGGAAAGACACCACTTTTTCCTTTTTTCCTTTTTTTAAATTGATTTCAAGTGGAAATATTAATTATGTTGAAATAAAAATGAAAAACCCAGTTCAGAACTAATGATAACTAAAGCTTTAATGGGAAATAAATTCAGACAGATATACGAAGAAACAAAAGTAAAACAACTTTCTTTTTAAAGAACTTCAAAGCAAACAGGAAAAAATACTCGATTCTTAAAATAAGTGTGGTTGTGTGGGGGACTTCTTGCTAGTTTGCTGATTCATAATCTATCTATTTTATTTTTTGAACAAAACCAAAAAAAAATAATGAAGAAAATAGCATCAGAAAGATTCTTTTTCTTTGAAATTGGCTTTGCTTTGCTTTGATCCCAAAGTACATGGCATAGAGGTAAAAAGAAATGGAGAGAGAAGAGAGAGAGAAGGCTGTGGCAAAGAAACAGTGGTCAGCTTAAACAATTTTAAGCAGTTGTCCTAGCCAATTTCATGGGTGGGATTCGGTGAGGAATAATAAAGAAAAGAACAAGAATAATTATTATGAAATGTATCCTCCTCTCCTTCTATATCAATTCTTTTAGACAATTTCTCAATGGTTCCAATTTTTTTAATTAGAATTAACATGGACTTATTACAAGCTTTGTTGTGGATTAATTTTTTTAGAAAAATATTAACAAGTTTAAATATATATAATTAATGCAATTTTTAATTTAGTGAAAATAATATATTAAATATAAAAATCATTTTTAAATAATAATTTAATTATATTTAATTAATGTCTATAAACATTTATTACGTGGACCCTTAAAACTAGTTATTGGGAGGGAAAATTAAGAACATTAATTTTGATTCTGGCTCAAATTATGAGTCGAGATCTTTGTCTACGTGCAAGAAGCAAAATGTGACGACTTAGGAGTGGCAGAAGAAAGATTTAAGGTGCCATTTGCTCTAAAATAATGCTAGAGTAACTGGCTGTTTTGAAGTTAAGAGGTCATTACCCCGATAAAAATGTTATCATTTGATTAGACTTAATTTAATTTTTTTATAATGTATATTATTATAAATTTTTTAAATCGATTTGATTTGAATTAAATTTTATAAATTTAATTCGATTCATCGATTTTTAAAATTTTATTTTTTATATTATTTTTATTAAATTTTTAAATAAATTTATATATAAAATAATTATTTAAATTTTATAAAAATTAAAAATATATATAAAATCTAATAAAAATATGCAATTTAGTTCAATTTAATTTTTTTTATTTTTTACAATTAAATTTTAATTTGAATTTAATATATATTTAATTTTTAAATTAAATTTAAATTAAAAACAACAAAATCAATACAAATTAAATTAAATACTAAAATTTCAAATCAATTTTTTATTTTTTTTATTTTTTTCTCTCCTACTTTTGAGCAAGTGCTGGAAATGTTAGTCGGCCTTAGCCGATAAGAAGAGACGAAGGCGAGCCACATGCCGCTTTAGTCAAACGTCATCGTAGACTGTACAAAATTAATTGATTGCACACGGCAATGAACCTTAATTTTTGTTTTTTTTTTTTTTCAATGTGAAACAAAATGTTAAGTTTTTCCCATTTATTAGCATTAAACATCAAGTTTTGTTAAAGTCAGTGCACATTGAAAACTTGGAATATCGTAAGGGGTACAAGTTAAGCATGTGAAAAATGGGGACGAAAAACCAATGAGAAGAAGAATTTATGGAGGAAAGGGGTATCTTCTTCTCTCTTGTTTCACACTGTCAAATTCATAAGTATATTAGGGTTTCATTTGAGAGCTCAGTGAAATTGCTTTCACCCATCGGAAAGTATATTTTAAGATTATATTATTCTTAACACTATAAAATATCACTATCAAAAGGCTATAAAAACAATCTGAGTCCACATAGTATCAAATTGGAGCTTTGCAATTAGTAGAAGCATGGCTCGAAAGATGCCTTGTTGTAGCTCAACCTCCTGCAAAACAACCCACAAATGGGATTTTGGGCAGATCCTTCGGCAAAGAATATGTCTTCCATCGTCACCATCCTGGTCTAATAATAAATATTCTTATTGGAATATTTTCCAGGGTTTGATCAATCTGTCAGGAAATAGACACACTTGAAAAAGAAAGATTCCTAATTTTGCTATATCATTTTCAGGTTTGTTTCTATGATTGTTTTCTTTTAACGAGTTTTTTTTTTTTTTCAAGGCTATTCTCTGCTCTTTTTCATGTGTTTTGCTTTTTTTTTTTTTTTTGCATCTGATCGGTAATACAAATACTCATGTTTTATTTATTTACTTGCCCAATGCGATCAAATACCTTTGAAACATATTATGACATATTCATGGACAGTAAATTTTTAAATTTTATTATCAAAATTGGTAGAATAACACATATAGTATGTATAATAAAAAAAAAAAAACAATTAAAAACCAACATTCACGGGCTCGAGGTAAACCTCAAATTAAAACATTATGACCAATCTTATCTAATTTTACTAACAAATTTAGTACAATAACTATTGTCTGTTATTTAGTTATTCTATCAAGTCTGTAGAGTTGGTGTTATGTCTCTTTCATTTGATGTCTGTAATCTCAATTCTTGTAAGACGGCTACTTTTCATTAAGGATGTCTGTTATTTTTATTGGTCACGAATTTAATTTAATTTATATATAATATTTGAATTAATTTGATTTAATGATTTATATATTTTTTATATTTAAATTCGATTCAATATTACATAAAAATATATTACATTTGATTCAACTTAAAATTAATAAAATATTTATTTTTAATATAAATATATATAAATATAAAATTAATTAATTAAAAAATAATTATATATATTGAATCAGATAAGATCGAATTTATCTAAATTTTAATTTCGGTCAAATCTCAATTTTTTTTACTATTATCCAATTCAATACAATTTAATATCCAATTTTAAAAAAAATCAACCTTAAAAAATTAAATCAAATCATAATTTATAGAATATGAATTAAACATTTTTCTATGTAACGATAGCCCACGATCAATCCCCCAGAAATTGATTTCCCCCTGCAAGTGAGGTCCATTATTTAGGACCCGATGGCTCTTTGAAATCTTAAGAGATGCATGTAAATTTAATGATAAAAATCTCTTTGGTAGATCAAGAGGAAAACTTTTGAGCAAAATTTAAAAACAATTGCCTGAATGGTTATGGTATTGGATTGAACTACATGGATCAGTACATAATAGTATAAAGTTTAAAGCTTCTTTTATATAAAAAAAATCATAATATAAAATTAACAAAAAAATTATAAATACTAAAATTTAAATTAATTAAATTTTACTTTTTAAAATTAATTATGTAAATCAAATAATTAAATTTCGAATTCAAATTTATTTTACGTGCATGTAAGCTAATAATTTTGGAGCGGATAAAGTAAAGTCCACAACTTATAAATTGTAACAAGTGAATTATATAACAAGATAAATTAAAAACTAATTCAATTAGGTAGGAAAACATATATGGTACTTATAAACTTTATTTTCTTTAATATCTCAACTGGGGAAAGTTGTGACATGAGATATGAACAATCCGCAGCCATAAAAAGGTCTAAATCCAACATTTATTTAATTTTGGACTAGAAATGAAAAACAGAACCGACACCCTCTCTACGAGGGCAAACCTAATTTGAACATATATAGAACATACATATATATATATATATATTTTTTTTTCTCGAGCTGGTGGCTTCTAATTGTGTATTATTCCATCAGAGAAACCCCTACTGATGTAGAGGTATTGAAGTAAAGTTTCTTCTTAAAGTCTCAGCGGGGGCTGGTTTGAGAATGTGTAGCCCAATGCCAATGTCAATGATATGATATCATTGATAGAGATAGATAATCAAATGATACAAGGTAGCACTGTAGATTTGCACAATTTTCATGTCAAAATTTTTTTTCACCAGCAGAATGCAAAATTTCAAAGATGCAAAAGAATTGCAATCAAAAGGAAGCTTTAACAAATTTCAAAAAATAAAATTATTCCACCCTATCTTTAGGATTTTGGTTTTTTGGGGGAGGGGATTGAATGTTTGACAAAATTACCACCTTAAATTGAATTGTCAAACCAGGGATGCAAAAGTAGGAATAATAATCATTCATTTGAGATTGAAAAGTTCAAATGCAATAGTACTGTTGAAATCATGTACAATATTGCATGAATTCTTGTCTTGATTAACTACATCCCAAAAAGGACGGTCGTTTTCAAATTAATGAACCTGCAAACAAACAACCAATACATTTAATTTGAGAGAACTGTTGATTTGAAAATAAAAATTAAAAAAAAAAAAGGAAATCAATTTCTTTAATTTTTCCTCATATTTTCTTATTGAGTATCACATTTCGAGTATTAAATATCAAAATGTCAACTTCTAAAAAAAAGTACTCCTTAAGTTAGGAATTGTGACTTTGAATTTTCAAAAGAATTGATCATTGAATTATATGATGAAAATATGAATGATAAAGCACCACGCTCAATGCCTAGAAATATAGATAGCGGAGAGTACAGATATGTAGGCCACTCTTATGTCAATCACAGGCAGCTGTCAACTTTTTTTTTAAATAAATAAATAAAGAACCAAACTTTGCTGTTTGAAGTATAGAAGAAAAGATGAAAAAAAAAAGATTTTTCTTTCAATTTCAAATTCACATATATACCATTAAAAATTATGTTGATTTTGTCAAAAAGGTATAGAGTCAGGACTCACGAGAGAATTTTGGGGTAGACAGGGGTATGCTCCCTAAAATAAATTTGAAAATACTATAATTTAGTGTTTCAGAATTTTAATATGAAATTTGAACCCTTTTTTTTTTTTTTTTTTAGCAAATCTTTTTAATTACATCAGTCATTTGCTTGAATTTTAGACCCATTTAAAAAAAAAATAGATTACTTTATCAGTTGAATAGATAGTAAGAAATTCTAAACCTTGCAACAACTATGGAAACAAACAAAAGCAGCTTTCGTGAAGGAACATTATCCTCAGTATTATTATTATTATTATAATCCTCTTGATAATGAAACACCCTCCACTATGTCAACCTTGGTGGTTCACTTTCATGGTAATTATTATGATTTTAGATATAAAATCATGTGTGAATTTATATAATTTAATTATATATTAACAATTTAACAAAAAATTATAACTCAAAACACACACAAATAAAAAATAAATTTTTAAAGGGAAAAAACAGAAAAAAAAAACTGAAATAATGATTTTTTTTTCTATATAACAAAGGAAAGTGGGGTATACTATATGAAACTGTATTATACTTAAATCAAATATGATTTTTTCTTTCTTTCTGCCTCATCACTTGAGACTAGCCCAGTAGCATGTCTTCTTCATCGCTTGGCTGTCTGTCTATCTTGGTTTGTTCCCTTCGTGGGGCAAAAATCTTGGTACTGCTGCCATTCTTCCACATGAAATGACAGTATGATTATAGTTTCAATGAAGAATGGCCGGAGCAAAATTCTTAAAAATAATTATACGAATAAAATAAGTATACTTTAATTATGTAAAAATGTATTTTTATTCATATTAATTATACATCTTAATTAATAAATAAAACTAATAAACAATTAAGAAAATGTCAAGTCTTAGTAAAAAAAAAGACCAAGAATTTTATTAAAAAGAGAAGGAATCCAAAGTAGGCACTTGATTTTGTCGCAATGGACATAAAGAAAAACAGCCAAATTAAATATAATTATTGATGGAGGGGTTAATAATATTGACAAAGATTAATTTGTACCACATAGATTATTACTATATTAATCTGCAGCATGTGATCTTTCCACTCACGTGCTGCTCCTTTGCCTTTTGTTGTGAACGAAAATTCATTTGCTAAAAGTTAGAGAAAATCAATTCAACGTCGAGGGGATCGATGCCAGGAGAGATCAAAATTCAATTTCATTGTCACAGTTTTTTTTTTTTTTATTATTTGTTTATGTAATGTAATTGATCCCACTCCCACACGAAACTTGTTTTTCTCCGAAGTACATTAAGATTTCTTGGTTGGATCTAATCATAAATAATACACATGAAAACAGCACGTTTCCTTTGGCCAAAATTTTCAACCCTAGCATAAGGAATTTGCTTTATTCTTCAAACCCCAATAAAACGTTTCTATTGGAGTTGAAGTTAGATTTTCACATGCACTTACAATGAATTAACCTAATATAAGACTAGTGTTTTGTCAAAATTAATTATCTCACATTCAATAAATATTTAATTTTTTATAATTTTATATTTAAATTAAATCTTTTCATTTACTATTAATTGATTTTAAGTGAAATATTTTATATGATATTAGAATTAAAATTTTTTTTATTACTCATCTCACCCTAGGAAGATTTATTAAAGTAAAATTTTTAATAAATATTTAATTTTTTTATAATTTTATATACAAATTGAACTTATTCATTTATTATTAATTAATTTTAAATTGAATATGCACCATGTTTAATATAAATATATCAATCCACTGCTATTATAATATAGTACAGGGATTTTTTTTTTAGTTAATGTCACAGTACAACATCTTGTAATGTGAGGTTGGAAATAGACCACACCAAACCAAAGTTATTGGTTACCTACTAGTCAAACTCAAGCCGCTCTTGATCGCCTCTTGGACTTTGGAATTGGAAGGAGTACCAGTTTGCAGATTTTGGAGAGTGGATTCATTTTAAAAGTTCAGTATTTTATTAACAATCGCATTTGATAATTAATTTCTTTCATTGCTTTCTAATCCAGATTTTTTTAATTATGCGACATGAGAAAATAATTCATGGTTAATCATTCTCTATAAACAAAAGGCTTTGAATTTTGTCAGTGATACTGTAAGAAACAAACTGCGTGCCTATGTGGTCCAACTATTTCTTGCACATTTGAAGCCAGAGAGCCAATGACGAACCAGATCCATTTTTGGATTCCGGAATCAATGCTGAACTCAATCTGACCACTTATTTTTATTTCCCTACAACCTGTCTTGTATTTAATGTTCCTATGTTTTTGAAAGAAAAATGAGTTTCATAATTGTACTACTATGTGATCAACTAGAGTCTATGGCTGAATTAGTTTAATTTCAAAGATCTCATTTTCCTCAAAAAGCCGAAGTACTGATCCCCCGTCTCCCTCTGTTCGTTTTTATTGTCATTGGCATGGGATTTGAAACTTGGATCACCCAAGTTATGGACCACAATCCATCAAACACATTAAAGAAAATGCTATGGCTCATTGGCCTAAGTTGTTATAATTCGGGTAGGATCAACCAAGTTTGGAACGACAATGGTAGTGGATTACTTTGTCCAGACCAGATTACTGTAATCATAGTTCAGAACTTCAAGTTCATTTAGGATTTGTCCTTGATAAATCCTGGACAAACTGAAGAAACAAACAAAAATTACACATGGATTTAGATATAATCAAGCATTTTTTAACCATTTTCTGAATCTAGTACCCGTGTCTATTGCTCGCATTTATTTTCCTTATTTTTTTTCCTGCTTTTCCTTCCCCTGATTACTACTTGTCATAACGAGTTGGTACGTAACCTGACAATCCTGTTGAAGTTGAAGTAGTCGATGTCATTTTCAGTTCCTCCAATATGAATGGATCAACGTGGAAGTATAGATAAATTTGTGGGCCGTGTTTCTTATCATTTTGTCACTACGCTTTTGATTTTTCCATACTACACTTACGAAGATTATATGGTACCTAATCTGCCCAATAATTAATCTAATTTTTAAGCCTGATAATCTTTTTTTCCCTTTTCACTAAAATGATTTAAATCAGGCTTAAAAATTAGATTAATTATTTAGGTACTAGCTTTATGATAGTCCTGACAAAGTGCATAACCAGGGTAGATTGTGGCACATGCAACGGTCATCCAATGCAAATTGGCTTCTTAATTATGCAGTTTTAAACACGAAAACATTGGTATAATATTTTGTTTAATTCCAATAACTTGTGTCATCGTGTGATGATGAGCAGAGTGCGTACCGCTTTGCTGATAAAGAAATTACAGGTCAAAATGCCACTTGCCATAAGATTAATTGGCCACTGCACCAAATTCTTTGTAGTTTTATTTCTTTTTATCCCATCGTTTTTATGTAAAATGAATTGATTCTACATTGACATTGTGAGCATCTCCCCGAGATTTCTGATACCCTACGCTACCCAAAACATAACGTATAAAGCCCACCATTTCAAACAAGAGACAAGTATTTGTTGCTTGCGTGTAATTACAATGGCTAAATTATTGGTACATTAATCAAACCAATTGTTAGAATATAAATATAGCCGTTGACCATTTTCTATCAGTTTAAGCTTTTAAAATGATCAGTTACCTAATTTTAATGTGATATTTAAGTTTTCGAAATCATGAAAACTATTTATTTAATATTTTTGATCTAATGCCTTATTGTTCATCAGATTGTGCGTAATTATTGCTCTGATCCTTCTTCAGCTTGCATATTTTTTATACACTTTGATCCATGTGTAAGTCTATTAATCAATCATCTGACTTACATATAAAGGGCGTGTTAAAACTTAAATATAACTATTCATATTTTTCTATCGGCTTAAGCTTTTGAAACAATCATTCACTCACCTTTAACACCAATGAACATAAAAGAGAAAGCAAGTTTTGTTTTTGACATATAGATTGAGTGAGATGCATTAATCCACTGCCCTCCCTCCCCTTTTTGCAGAGAGGGTGGCTATAAGTCAAAGGTTCATGATAAACAATATTGCATGCGTTTGTCATATGGAGCAAATTACTGAATGATTATAGCTTTTTTTTGTAAGTTGTATTTTTGTTTTCCCGGTCACAATGGGGATAAAAAAATTCGTACCAGAAAAAATATTTTTTTTGAGGTAAATATCTATTATCATAAAGGATTGTTGTCTGAGACATTTGCAGGTTGATTTTAGTTGAATGGGACTCCTCGAACCTCTATGGAGCCATTAATCATTCCACCATTTCCTTTTCTTTTCTTTGCTTCTGCTCCTCACAAAATTGGAAAAAAGGGTAAGCATTATGGGAGGCAGGATAATGTCAAACCAGCTGAGCCATGAGATTTTTTCTTCCTTTCTATTATAAGACTGGGGTAAGGTTCAGTCTTTTTCTTTTAAATGCAGAGTTTAACATGAATTCTTGTTTTTTTATTGTATCCTAGTAATCTTTGAAAAATTATTTATGTTAAGGATTTATTTAGATATAAATTAAAATTTTAAAATTTATTTGTACATATTAAAAATTAGAAATTTATTTAAATGTAAATCAAAGATTAAGCATCAAAGACATGCAGGCTATTTTTTTTGTTTTTCACAAGTCCTAAACCCAGCAGGCCCAAGGCATTGACAGACGCAAAACTAGAAAAGGCAGTCCACTGTATCAAGGTGAACCAGGTTACACTAAACAATCCAGAAAGCCCAAATTTTTTTGCTTTCATTCCCTTACTAGCCCTCGAACTTTGCTCTTCAAGTTTAAAATCAACCACCTAGCCTTCAAAGACAAAAGGGGAGCCAGCGAGCCAGTCAGACTGCCCCCCCCCCCCCCCTTTTTTTTTTGATTCAACAGACAGCCCATTTTTGTTACCTGACCACAAGGATTATGTCCATTAAACCTGTTATCCAGAGCTCTAGTGCAGAAAATTTCCTCAAATTGATATCATCACTCTCCAGCCAGAAAAATGTAAATTTTCTGGACTAGTTTGTGCTTTACTTCTGACAAGCAAATATACCGCTACAATTGAGTTTTTTCAGTTTGAAACAGAATTTTACTAAGATTAAGCACTCCAATATTTCAGAGAAAAAAACAGGTCTATACAGACGCATAGTACGAAAACCATTGATTTCTTAAGTTAAGCACTTCATCCTCATGAGTCATGGAAGTCGTACGAGCTTGTTTACAGCCGTGTCTAGGGCATCTACATTCCTTCTCAGAATTTTTCTTCACAACAATTAAGGAGCCAAAGAAATGCCAAGGATGAAAAGGTCAAATCAATAAATTTCATGGTAGCCCAAGTTCAATGTTGGTTTACCAAATGCAAGGGTTTCACTGCACACCATTAGTGAACTTAGGCATCTGCTGCCCCCACATTAATGGGAGCGAAAGATGTGATTGGCTATTAGGTCCACCATAAACAGCTTAAAGGAGCAGACTACAAGCCCTAACAATGAAAACCTAAAACATACCGTTACAACTGAAAAGGATACAGCTGTGTAGCTAGACTGTCAATGCCCCTCATTTCCTCATTTAATCTGCAATTGGGCAAAAAACTGCATTACAAAAGGCAAAACCTAGGATATGAAAAAGAATGATCTTACTACACTTATTTAGCGACACACAGATCCCACAGCCAAACCTAGGAAGAGAATGATAACTTACAACACATATAGTTTCCACTGCAGTTAAGACATTTATGACCAATGTTTTACTAGATATCATAAATCTGCACAACTGGAAACTTCTATAAACAAACAGAAGATTGAAAATAGTAACATGTTGCATTGACCAATAAATGGAAATACATAATTGTCAAAGAACCAATAGCATTGTTTAGGTTCAAGTAACAATTCCAATTATATTACTGATAAGTTTTATTCGTAAATGACTTTCCCACAAGAGGTAACTTATGTGATAAGCAAAAACATTGATCATCTATTTCTTATTGAAAATAGTAAAAATGCCTACTACAAGACCTGTAAATCTCCTTTCTCCTACCACCAGCTACAGCAATCTCAGAAAATAAACTAGCATTGATGGTTTTCTTAATAAATTATTTAGTTTAATGCATAAACACTAATTGGATTATATGATAGATTGATCACTTCAATATAACATCAAACAGAGTGCATAAACTAAAGAGAACACCAGAAACAAAATGAATTTATATTTGCTTCTAGTTCCATCTAATTTCAGTAGTTTCTTGAGCTCAATGCAACATCATCTAAACAACTAATTGTTTGTATCACCATAGATAAAAGACAAGAGAAATATTATTAAATACATCAAGAGATTCTACTTCAGTTAGTTACATCATATGTCCCCCCCTCCCCCTGTTTTTCCTCTTCTATTCTTTCCTTTTTGCCTGAAAAAAAAGGGTCATGGATGCTACCTGAGACATGAATTTATATACCGATTTCCCTTTGTTGCCGCATCAAGTGCTGCAAATCCAAATGACAATAATAAGTTCACATTTTCTATCAGAATCAGACAATCTAAACAACATAATGCAATACTTCTGTTGGGGAACTGAGCCACAACAATAGCTCCATCAGACTCCAGATGACCAATATGTTCTAATTAAGTGACAGAGAGAGAATTCCGCACTTTACTTCAACTGTATAATAGCGCAAATGCACATTATCCAAGTAATTAGCATCAATTTCAAAACTACACAAAGTGAAGACTAGTAAACTTAATTTAGGATAAGAAAACAAAAAGCTCTAGGGTTGACCAGTTGCTATAATTCTGGCGCTATGTTAATGATTTAGAAAATAGAAAAAGTACCCATAATTACCTGGGTTTAAGACAAAACCCAAGGATGTTATTATATTTTATAACAATGAGCGAATTAGTAAGCATAATACTAGAGCACAAATTTGCCCCTAATCAAACTGATAATTGGAGGAAGGAAGCATTATGTTTAACATTTCATTTACCAGATTCTTGAAGGCGCCCCGCAGCATCACCAAAGCAACGCATATGATCAACTGAGCCGCTAGTAACCTACAGTTGAAGTACTTTGCACGTCACGTACTTATTAAAAACCTAATTTTCACATGTCAATGAATCACTGAATTCACATTAAAGAAATTAGGAAAAGTAACATCAACAATGCTCCAATTCATTGCTAATACTCATATAAAGGAAGCTATACCATCACGTTGGAATTTGGATACACTGTAATGCATAATTTGGAAATTCAAAACCCTAAAATTGAAAAAGAAAAGAAATACCACCGTAATTGCTCAAAATCATAATTGCCTAAAATTTCCAGAATTTTAGCAACAACAAAGCATAATCTTTACGAAATTGAATCAATAATTGAATCAATTCGCATAAATTGACTACAATTTTCTCGAGAACCGTACAGAAAGTGCCTTAAATTAAAAAAAAAAAAAACTAAATAAAGGGGAAATCAGACCTCAGAAAGAGCCAAACGAAGCGAAGTAAAGAGAGAAGAGAAGCTGTCGGCGATAGCCAGAGAGTCTCTCTCAACTACCTCTATTGCTTTCAAGATGTCGCTTTTGTTCAACGGCAGTTTCGATTCGCTACCGTCGAGTCCACAGTCTTCCGTTTCAGTTTCTGGACACGTGGACGTTTGATCCATATCCCGTTCCCTGATCGTAACTTCCTGTTCCGTTGATTCATCTCTCTGATCTCCTGCTGCAGCTGACGGTGATTCTTCCATTTTTTCTCGTGAATTCTTTATTTTCTCAACTGTGCCTTTAGAAGAGTTTTCGCTTTTTCGGATTCTCTGTCTTCTATGTAGTATTGGAGTTTAAAATTTATCATTTTACTTTTTAAAATTTTTTTTTTTTTTTTTACAAATTTACCAATCCACATTGATTTTCATGCAATTCTAATTTTTGACCGTTAAAAATGAATGTCAAAGGTTAAGGTTGATCCATTGCAATTGTTAAAAAAAATATTGATGAATGGATTAAGTTAAACAAAAAAAATATTGACATATCAAAAAGAAATGAAAAATGAATTTTTTTTTATATTTTTCTTGTAATTTTTTTACAATTATAAATTTTAACATTAAAATATAAAATATATAATAAAAAAATTAATGGCATTGTTGATTTTTTAAAAATAGAATCTAATTATTTTTTATTTAATTATTGATATTATTCTTGAAATTTGAAACAAAGCACTTTTTCACCTTTTCACATAATAAAAAATAAAAAATAATTAAAATATTTTTAATTCAGATGAAATATTTTATTTTTTATTCATCAGTAATTAAAAATATAATAGAGTGATAAAATTATTAAAAAAAAATAAATATGAAACTCAAAATTTTTATTTTGTTTAGCTTAAATTGTGGCTCATTAAGGTATGGTCGTCTGGCCTATTGTTTTGATATTTTTTCACTCCATAAAAAGGTATAAATTATAGTACAATTAAATGCAAAATCCATAGCAAAAGTTCATAACCCAGAAAATCAATTATCAAGGATAAATCTTTTAAAGTATAAAAAAAATTACATCAACGTGTTTCCCATACAAAAATATATATAAAATACAAATATTTAAAAAAATTATATAAAAGAGGGTCAAAGCCCACATATTAGAAAATGACGTAAGTTGAGAGTTGAGACTAGATCAGCCCAACCTCGTAGGAAATCTAATCATCTTGGCCGAACCTCATCCACGTGTTCTTTTTTTAATCTTTATCTGATATTAACCGTGAATTCAAATTTTTTTAATATTTTTTTCGTAAAATTTTACACATTCACCGTGTATCAGACAAACTTGCTGAGAAAGCACAGCAAAACCAGTTCTGAGTAGAAGTAGTATACATTAATCCCAAAGGAATAAGGTAAAACCATCCTTCTTACGGTATATATATAAATTAAGCTTTCTATCCCTCCTTTGAGATTCACAAAATCGCAGACTTTCAATTCAGTGTTCTCTTCCGTTTTCCATTATTCACAGTTTTCTTGATTTTTTTTTTTTTTAAGATGGATTATGGTGCATGCCGTGATCAACTTGATGCAAGACTGATGAGGTACGAGCCACTGGAGACGCCAAGATTCTTTATAAATACTTTGTACAATCAACCCACACTAGGAGCTCTTCCCTTTATTTTTGATGACGACGACGACTATGACGATGAGGATCCCGCCGGTTATGAAGCTTTGGGTGATGGGGATAAAGATTATGCTTCGAGGCAGAAACTTGGAGAAAAGAATAGTAGCATGCGGGATTTGGATAAGGTGAAAACTGATGAAGAACGCTGCGTTTCACTTGGTTTCTTTACAAGAGTTTTTGGTTGGACCAAGGATACCATGCTTTACTGTTTATGTTTAACGTAGAATAATAAGTTAGCTACGGCATTGGTTTCATATAAATTTATCGTTAAAAGATAATATTAAATATATTTATAATTTAAATTTCAATATATATATTTTTTATTAATTAAAATTTTGGGCTATTTATTAATATATAAATATATTTTATTTATAAATTTTCAATGGTTAAAATTTTAAAATTTTTAGATTTTAAAATTGAATTTTAGAAAGGATATAAATTAATAAAATAATATGTTAATAAAAACTAACCTAACCCAAACTCAACCTGAGTGTAACTGAAATTAGAAGTTGATTTTTGATGATGTAATAAAAACTAACGTCATGCGTGGCAAGAAAATTGGACCAAATTGACGCCACAATCAACGTAATTGTTTTTTATTATTCCTCTCATTTTTTTTTATTTTTAATTATCTCAAAATCGTGTTTTTTAAATATTTAAAACTCTTATTTTAATATTTTAAAATTATTTTTCATACTTTTATTTTATATAAAAAAATTAAGAAACATCGTATTCATAAAAAGGTTAAAAGTCAAAAAAATTTTCTTCTAATTTCAATAAGCGTATGAAGACAAAAAATTGGGAACGAAGTAAGTTCTTATATGAAGTATGAAATATGAAGTTACGACATATATTTATGTATACTAATAATTTAAATATGAATATAAAAATATATAAGAATGTACTAATAATTTATGGTAATAATATTAATTTTTGACAAACTAATTTATGGTAATAATATATATATATATATATTTAACATATTAAGAGTAAGAATTAACTTGTAGCCGCCTTAGCCTAAAGTTATTTTATATCCACAAACGTTTCATACCTAACCCTAGTTTTGTTTCTTCTCATAACTCTTAAATACTTTGAAATCTAAATTCCCTTGCCGATTTTTCTTTGCAAACTCTTCTGTGATCTCTCCCTTTTAAAATAATTTTCTCATCAAAACCATGTCTGATGAAATGCCTATTGCTACAAACGATATTTCAATGGTGACGACAAGAGACGATGTCGAAGGAGACTTCATCTTTTCTTTGGCTTTGAATTCATCGGGACAAGAGACAACCCTGTTAATATGCACATCCGAGTTGTTCGAGCTTCGTGTTGAAGCAGGAGACAACGAATTCGAAGAAGGGTATTTTTCAGATGGTAATACTAATAATTTTGATAGTGATTTCGACGAGTATGTTCTGGATGATACCGACCCGAAGATGCGGCCAGCAAGTAAAACAGCCGTTGAAGGATTAGAGAAGGTGAAGATCGATGAAGAGTTAGGCAAAGTAAGGACGTTGCACTGTTCGGTGTGCTTGGACAGTTGAGGATGGAGACAGAAGCTAGACGTTTGCCTTGCTCCCACATTTATCATGCCGGCTGCATTATTGAGTGGTTGAAGAATAGCAACATGTGCCCATTGTGTCGCCACAAGTTGCCTGTTGTTGATTTTGATCTGAATTTAAAGATGCCTGAGGTTGATTTTGATCTCAATCTCAACGTAGATGATTCTTGTATTTAGTCCTTAGTATCTATTAATTAACTATGTGCATGTTTCCAGCATATAATTAACTATGTCTTAAAGAAATAGTATAGTATTAATATCGTCATAGTTCATTATACATTATAGACATTATTAATACAAATATTACAAATGATTTTTTTCTAATGTTTTTCAATATTTATTCCTTTATTTTTATGTTTTATATGTTTTAGACGCAATAATTAAGAGGTTCAAGACAAGATTAATGAGTACAAAAAACCCACACAGGAAGAGAAGTTTAGAGGACTCTGAGAATGTCAGCTTGACACCACATGTCCTATAAAAAAGTTAAATGTACATCATTTGCCTTTGATTGAGTACACCACATGTCCTGGTCGTGCAAGGTTCCGCTACACTTGACATATAGGGAAGAGGTTGGAAGGTAAGACATTAGACATCTTCATTTCCTGCATTCTAAGTTCTTTCTAACTTTTCGTACCTTCTTCCTCACTCAAACACTGACTTTAACATCCGAGTTAGGACTTGATAAGTCCTAATGCTCTCCCTTGACCTTTCCTTCTTATGTCATAGGTCAGACGTATGCTATCTTTCCAAGTCACATTTAGATTCCACTTCATTAGCTTAAAAAAAATCTCATATATATATATATATATATCATGCTTCCAATGGACTGACGACTTATATAGTAATGAAGAATTCTTTTGTGTTCAATGAAAAATTAAAAAAAAAAAATTAATAAGAAATGTATAGGGCAACTCATTACCTTACAGAGATTATATATCCAATTTTACGATGGCCTTACTTCAGTCTCCAATTTTATATTGGAATGCTAGCTTTGGTTACTAGAGAGGCATTCATGAAAAAGAAAAATCAGTTTTGAGAATTCGCAATATAGTAAAATTTTAATTTAAATAAGTATAATAAGTATATATATGTGCTTCTATGTTATTTTAAAATATGAACTAGTAAAATCTCTCTTGTTTCGCAACAAGAAGCACCAATATTTTTATTTTTAAAAGTATAAATAAAAAAATTTATATTTAATAAAGTTTAAAAATAATTAGTTTAAATTAACAAATTTTTTTACAAATATAATAATTATTCTAAAATTTTCTTGCTACTTATCTTTATTTGCTTTATTTCTTTCTTTAAAAGATTTTTTTTTCCACCAAGCCCAACGTAGGTTGTCAACCAAAAAGGTAAGTCCGTGACTTAAGGTTTTTGGATATCTTACCCTAAAAGGGAGGATTGCGCTTAGAATTACAAGATTCAACTGTAAATAAGAATACAAGATCGCATCTTCATGATAAAAGATGTGAGGATATAATTGATAGAACTAACATGAATATTTGATAACATTTTTAATTTTTTTTAAATTGTTAAAAATAAAATAATAAAATATATTATATATATAATTTTAAAAATTTATTTTTATGTACAAAACATCAGAAATTATATTACCCAAACAAATTAATGTTTCTTCGAAAAGCCCATTTAACTATATAATATTAAAAACCCAACCGGCTAAAAAATATTTCAGTTACACTTTTCAATTAGATATATAGACCATGTAGTTAAATTTTATTTAAAGTTAGATACTAATTAGATGTTAGATTTGCTATGATTTAGAATCTAAAAAAAAGAATGCGAACCATCAAAATGATGAACGCAAAATGCTAATGAAAGCTTATACTACAAGACAAATCACTTATTAGGGCATAGAAGATCAAAATAGCCTATGGTAACTATTTTTTCGTCTATAATTATAATCTTTTGAGACACACGTGCCTTTAATTTTAGAATTAAATTTGTTTCTAAATTTGAATATTGAGGCAGAAAAAATTATAAATATTTATAAATAACAATAATTGATGAGATTATCGTGAAAATTTTTTAGGAACTTCCACAATTGCCTCTAAATATATTACTCTCTTTGTTAAATGGGGGACTATCATATGAAAGAAAATAAATAATTCATATAGACCTGTATTCATAAACAATTCAAATTATTTTCATTAATGTACCAAAAATGAACAAGTAATAAGTTTTATACCAATGTATAATTTGATCTCTCTTTGTATATATTACCATAACGTGAATTAATTAACTTTGCACCAAATTTATTAGGAAAAAAAAAAGAAAACCTCTACTACTAATAAATTTAGAAAAACAACTTTTTAATAACTTCTTTACTTTATATTTTTTGAATTTAAAATTAAAATTAATTTAAATGATCTAGGTTTTAATTATCAATTAAAAATAATATGTACAACTACATCTTGTGAATTTAAATTAATATGAACATATAAAAAACTAATTTGGATCATGAAGAATATAGTATAATTTTAAGTACAGTAATTATTTGTCATATTATGGAGATCTACCTATATTGGCTAATTACTCTTTCTTTTCATACTATAAGATCAATTTATATAGGTTTTGTTATGTTAATTAGTTTTTATTTAGAACTAATTAATAATTAATTGAAATCCTAACAAACTTCATATATAAATAAAAAGTTATGATTTATAACTTTATACTATTGTGGCATTATAGCATATGCCCCTGCCCCTATAGAATAAAAAATACCAAAACTAAACAAAGCTGAAATAATAAAGTATGCATAACATATATATAATTTAAATTACAAAAATAAATAATTAGAAATTACCCAAGATATAGGAATATTAATAATCCTTAAAAAATAAGGAATCCAAAGGATACAATTCAGACAACCGGTATATATTTTTTGCTGTCTTACATATATATATACCGTACTTTTCAAATTGCAACAAAAATTATGACCTTCTGTTCTTCTTTTTATTGCTTTCTTTATTTGTTTAAGTTTTAAGATGGTTGATTTAGACCAAGCTCTACTCTCTTGTTTGGATTTGAGTGGGGAGGGAGTCGAGGCTTTGTTATGCATGCTATTAGCCAGCCTGTTTCCGATTAACGAAGGGGATGATCAGTTCTCTGATCGTAATCATGACAATGCTTACATGGAAGATATCATCGTCCTCGGAACTGATTTTGTCGAGATTAATGAGGAAGCTGTTACAGAGAAGTAGGATGATCCTCGTGCTCCAAAGATGAGGCCTGCAAGTAAAACAGCCATTGAAGGGTTGGAGATGGTAACAGTTGATGAAAAATCTGGCACAATGTCATGTTCGGTGTGCTTTGAAGATATTTCAATCGGAACAGAAGCGAAACGCTTGCCGTGCTCCCACGTTTATCATTCAGGTTGCATCGAAAAATGGCTTAATGAGAGCAATACATGGCCAATATGCCGCTATCAGATGCCTCTCGTCGATTTTGATCTGAATTTCCCGATGCCTGGCCTTGACTCCGATGGAGATTCTAAGATGTCAGCTCTGATGTTTGATTTGAATGTCGTGGACACTAAGTACTAAGGTTATGTTTGCTTTTCTTTTTAATCAGTGATCAAAGATTTGTCTCTAGTCTGAAAAGAAACTAATATCTAATCAACTCCTTGTCCCCAAATAGTTAAGATCGTAAATGATATTAAAAATACCTAGCTTTTCTTTCTGATTTTGATGTTTTTCTATTTTGTGCATGTTCTGTTATTGTTTCAATAGATTACTCAAACCGTAAACTTTAAACCCTAAACTCTAATTATTTAATCGAACAGGCACAACATTTTTACTCAATTCTCTGCTGTTAATTAGTTAAAATGGGTTAATTTTCTACCATAACTGTTAATCAAAGGCGGGTTTAGTTCTCTTCAAATCACCAGCAATTTTATTCTTCAGCTGTGCAAACATATAATTTGCAATTCAAAATGGAGGGTGTACTGGAAGTATAGCAAAGAAGTGAGGAAGAATATATGTCCTCAATCAGTGATCAGTTTGCCTTAACAGTTTTCTGTTCCATTGCAGGTAATTATGAATTCATGATTAGTGTTTTGCTCCATTGTTCTCATGTTTTATAACTTTGCTGGTCTTTTTTGTTTTAATTCACAGCATCTTTTACCAGTTGTTTCCAGATTTATACTTTTTCTAGCAAGGTTTTATGATATGCCACTATATCAAGTTCACATAGCTCCATTATGTTTGATTTAAATGCGTGATGGGGAGTTCTCTCATTGCACCATGACCTATTTTTTATGATTAGATTTTGGGCTTTCATCAAGCATCCAAATCAGGCCCTAGTCATCAGCTTATTAACATTTACAATCACCCTAATCTCTTGTACAGAAATCTTAAAATTTAAGACAAAAAATACCCTTTGAACTTTGGTAAACAGGATATGGAATAGTAGTACTTTATATTTGGTTAGAAAGGTAGGAACAAGCTACTTTGGCTAGTAGTCACATAAAGGTTAGGCAAACCTTTCTCTTGAAAAGATGTTTTGACTCAATATGTGATCTTCCTCTCTACTTTGTTTTTGTCCATTTTTCTTTTTCGTTGGATTTGACTCACTTCTCTCATAGTGACTTTGCCCTTCCCCACAAAACCATTAATAATCCGTCTTTTTCTAAGACAACTGTTACATATATAATTTGCAGCAGAAAATAAGAATGTATCACTGAATTATAGTACTAGTTTTGATGGCAATACAATTTTAGCAGAGTCCCCCACTTTACAAAAGACTTGGAGTTTTATCAATCCAATTTGATGTAATTAAAGAAACTAATAATACCATAAGGAAAGTGACAGGGAAGGTGACAATCAAACTATGTTTTCAGTGGAAGGTAAGGGAAGTGAACAAAACATCACTAATGGTGGGCCAATTGGCCGTTGGTTGGACACGGACAAACCAGCTTTTTTTTTTTTTTTTTTTACTTTTACTAAGGATGGTTCTTCCAATTTTATTCTATTTCTTAACCAACATCACATGTCGGTGACATATCATTCTTATACTTTGAATTGGTATTTAATTTAATTAATTTATAATAATCAAGTTAGAAAAGTTATATTCATCAATTTTAAATTTTAATATTTTTTATATAAAAAATTATATTTTTATTATGGTTTTATTAACCTATATTCTAATTGTGACAAACAATGCTTCAAAATTAATGCAAATTCATAATGGCATTGTTTGGTTTTCATTGTTTGATATGTAGAATTAGAGGCATTTGTCACAATATTCTAGTGACTTTATATTGTTTTGGATAAAATATAAAAGATCAATTTTAATTAACTCAATGACTATGACATATAAACAGATAATTTATAATAAGTAATGAATAAATTTATTAATTTCATAGATAATTGTAAGATCCATTAATAAACTTGAAATTTTGAATTATTAGAAACTAAAAATCAAATTATATTGGAAATATTAAGAAAAAAAAAATTCAAACTAGTTCCAAGTATCCTTCTGGCTTGTAGTATCCATGGCTCCGTGACACCATTGCATCCTTTTTCTGTTTGTTTCTGTTAATATTACTATATTAGTAAATCACTATTGCTACGCTTAGAAAAATTTAAAAAAATAAAAATTTTATTTATTTTTAATTAATAAAGATTTAATTATTAAATTATTTAAAATTATCTTTAAGTGATATGTTCTTTTGATGTTGAGATTTTGAGTTTAAAATTTTTAATTATTTGAAATCTAATTACTATTAATAAATTTTATTGTTATGTTTGCTAATTATTAAAAAAAATTATATTATATTATATTTTTCTTATTATTTTTTTAATGTTTCATTTATATAATAAATTAAAAAATTTCTTAATTTTGATATTAATAATAAAATTATTATTATGATAATTTGAAATTATTTTGTTTGGGAACAAATTGTAAGAATTTTCTCTCACTTTAGTAAAATTGAATATATAATTTTTCAACTTAAGAAAACATATTAAAAATTGTTCTTACAAATTTCAAAATAATTTTCATCATTAGAGATTTTCTAAATGAGAAGTTTTATTATTAATTCTATCTCTTTTACTATTTAAAATAACATGTAACATATACAAATAAAATTTTAAAAAATAAATATTTAAGGAGTGAAAATGTTTGTAAAAAACAAAATAAAATAAAACAACTTATATTTTGGATTAGAATTGTTTACATAAAATGGATTAAAGATTACTTTTGGGTTTATTTACTTAAAAATGATCAAACTTTTGTCAATATATTTTCTTGAAAGATTTGTTTTAATCTAATAAATAAAATTTTAGCCCATTTATCTTCCTAAAATAAAATTTAACAAATAAAATCATAAATTAAAAAAAAACCATAACTTATTTATCTCTCAAAACCAATAAAAAATCAATTTAAATATTAACCCAATCCATTTAATAAATAAATTAAACCCAAAGTCTTATATCCAAACCCAATAAATCCATAAAAATGTACACTTATTACCTTCTTTAACTTTTTTATGAGAATATTAAATATAAATTAGGTTAGATATTTTTTAATGCCGTTAAACTAAAAAAATCAAATGAAAAAAAAATGAAAAGGACATTTGACATAGAATATTATTTTCATTTGTAGTATAGATTTCAAATCCTAAAAAAATATGATTAAGAAAATAAAACGACGAGAACAAAAGACCAAAAGCACGAAGGCGGGAACTTTACTCCAAAATCGCCGGACCCAAATCCAAAATTAAGCAATAAAAAAAATTGAAAAAGGTACGTTATGTCTTTTTCAAAAAAATTTAAAGAAAACCAAAAACCCAAACCAAACGCTCTCTCGTACGTTCATTGCACTCGCTTTCCATTTTCCATTTTCCATTTTCCAACGCAACAAAAACATTTCTTGCTTCCTTTTTTTTTTTTTTTTCTTTGAGGAGGACAAAAGTAAAAATCTCGGGCTGTTCGAGATTTCGAAATCGGTCGATTTCTTCAACGGATCTGCTTCGATTTTTATTTTAATTCTCTGTCTGGTTTATGATCTTTAATTTTTATTTTTTTTAATCGGAAAAACTTGAATATCTTTTTTCCGAGCTATGAAATGTGTAGACTTAGTTGGATCTTCAAGATCTTGATCTAATCTCCTATTAGATTCCTCAGGTTCGTGCTACATTTTGTTCGTACATGTTGTTTTTCTGTAGAATTTAATGTTTTGTTCGGATCTGAATGGATTTCAATTATTGTCAGTTTAGCGTTTTTTAGCCTTTTTAAATTTATTAGTTAAGAAATTACATAGAGAATTGATAATGCAGCATGATGTTTCGAAATTATGATTTTTTCTTTCTTTTATTATGGGATTGTGATTGTTTGGTTGCTGATAAAACGGTGACGAGTGCAGCTCCGAGTTTCTTTCGTTCGTTCTCTTTTTTTTTTTTTTTTTAAATTTTAGTGTTTGTTCGAGAATTGAACACTCTTAGTTTCAGCTTAGCCTAGTGATTTTATGAAGTTCACTTTATTTAGATGAAGCGTAAAATAAGAAAAGAATCTCCTCTTTTTTTGATTTTTCACTCTTCTATTCTCTTTCACTTTCCATGATAAAACAAAGGCTAGACATTCAAAATGAGTAAACCTTTTTCTTTCTCTTAGTTTCCCTTTTAATGCAATCTAAATTTGTTGAAAGTTCGGTTTTCATTAAAAATTCTCATGACAAAACTTATGCTCTTACTTTGTGCATTTAGGCGTGAATAGATTAGTAATGCAATAAATATTAACTTTTTATCTAAGATAAATGTTTTTATTCCCTTTGTAGGAGTGAGTCCCATGTTATCAGAAAGATAGATTTCAGAGAAGTCAGCTTGAACATTCAGCTAAAAGGGCAGATGAGGGAAAACGGTACAGCTAATGGCTTGAATGGATCTCACGATGTAGATATTGAACAAATGGAAAGCTTTGAAGGCCTGATTAGTGGTAAGCAACAAGATGCTATAGCTCTTTCAGTATTTTTACTCATCTTCCTTTATTAAACTTTGAGCCCTGATTTTCCTAGGTGATTGGCTGTCTTCATTGGTGGAATGGTTAAATGGCATGATTCCTGATTTAAGATTGCCATTAGATGCAACAGAAGAGGAGCTGAGAGGGTGTTTGATTGATGGAATTATTTTTTGTACCATTTTGAACAAGCTGCGTCCTGGTTCTGTTGAAATGGTTCGATCACTCTTTTGTTAGTACTTTGTTTGCTGTATTAATTTGTCTTCAATATAGTTCTTTTTTTCTCTGTTAGACTTAATTGTACATGTTTGCATCTTGTTCTGGGCATCTTGCATCTTCTTCAACTTCAGGATGTTGGTCCCCAATGTGGCCCTGTAAATGTCAAGAGGTTTCTGATTGCTATGGATGAAATGGGGTTGCCCAGCTTTGAATTGTCTGACATAGAGCAGGTATCAATTGAATTTTGAAGGTTCTATTTCAGTGTGCTAGACATGTAAAGTTGGTTGAAACTGAAAGCATTTTCCTACTCATTGATCTTGAAACTGAAAGCATTTTGCTGACTCATTGATCTTAGCTTGTGCATGGTTAAACTAAGGTTGGCTTAGTTTTGGGTGTATAATTTTGGTATATTCCTAACTAAAGTGAACTGTAGTATTATTCTCTTTAGTTATATGTCTATCTCAGTGAAAATTAAGTGTCTTGGCATTTAAACTTCCTATTTCAAGCCTTTTGATCTAAATTATGGAATGGTTACTGGTTGGAGTGGTTTGTTTTTAAAATGATGGATCTGATCATTTGATCATGGAACCAAACCTCTATCTGGTTGGCTCAGTTCTGGGTGTATAGTTTTGGTATGTTCCTAATTAAAGTGAACTTTGGTATTATTCTGTTTAGTTATGTGTTTATCTCAGTGAAAAGTATGAGTATCTTGGCATTTAAACCTCCTATTTCAAACCTTTTGATCTCAATTTTAGAATGGTTACTGGTTGGAGTGAAATTCTTTTAAATGATGGGTCTGATTATTTGATTATAGAACCAAACCCCTATCTGATTAGAGGTGTATGATTAACTACTCATTTTTTGTTTGTCCAGAATGAAATACCCCGTTGGCTGGGGTTGGTTATGAACGTATTCAAAGTCCAAGTTAAAGAGTCCATTGCTATATTTGCTTTTCTTTCTACCTTTTGGTTAATATTTGGGATACGTGCAGGGCCACATGATGCCAGTTTTAGGGTGCCTTAAGACACTTAGGGCATGTTTCAATTCTAATGATGAGGCCAATAGTGTCCAAAATCCTTCCAGGAAGAGATGGAATCTTTCTGGTGAATTTGAAAGCATCCAATTGAAGCAAGGTTGTTATGCTGATCTTTCTGATGCAACAATTTTGGAATTATTGAAATCAAGCAGTTTAGATGTAAGACCCTGAGACCCGTTCATACTTGTGTTTGTATCTATTAGTGAATCCCATTATATTATTGGATTTTTGTTGCAACTCTTCGTTTAGCGCATTCTTATGCATCTTCTTTTGCACAGAATGCCTCTACTCAATCACTATTCAGTATACTGTACAGGATTATGGATGAAAGTATTGAAAGAAAGAAGGGAGATGTACCTCATGTATGTCATTCAGAGTACAAATATTTGCTGTATTTCTCTAGCATCATGGATGTTTTTCTTTTTGATCTCTTTTCAGATACTCATCCTCATACATCTGCCATATTGTACTTCTTTCCTGTACCTTTTATTTATTTATTTATTGATGGTTTTCTATGGTTTCCATTTTGCTCAGCGTGTAGCATGTCTGTTGAGAAAGATCATACAAGAGATAGAATGGCGAGTTTCAACTCGGGCAGAAAACTTAAAAAATGTAAATTACTTCGGAACATTTCCCCCCCTAGAGAATGCTTTCTCTTGTGCTGTGCATGAATAATGAATATTTATAATCTTGAACTCCTGCAGCAAAACAACCTTTACAGGGCTCGGGAGGAAAAGTATCAATCAAGGATAAGGGCACTTGAGACCCTAGCAAAGGGAACCATGGAGGAAAATAAGGTATTTGACAAATAGTTTAGGGTGTGTGCCTTAGTCTTTTTTGCCTTTAGTTGTTTCTCCCATCTCAATAATTCTTGGATCTGTTTTGCTTGATGTAGGTAGTTATAAATCAACTACAGCATATAAAGGTGCGATTCTTATCCTCTCCCCTTTTACTTAATTTATTGCTGATTTTCTTTAAAAAAAATTTTAGTGTCTTGTTCTGGATCTGTGCCTTTCGTCTTCCAAAGACTCCCATTGACATATTGTTCTATGGTTTTCATGTGTGCTGGTAATTGCTTCTTTCATACATCTGAAACTCAAGAACTGCATCTAATTCTTTGAATTGCTTAACTTAGATTTACTATTGTTTAAAGTGTGCAAGAAGGATAAAATATTTTTTCTTTACATGCTATTTCGATTTATATCTTGTGTGAAATTCAACTGGTGCACAAGAGTGAAACATTGATACAAGGGAACTTGAATGTTTAATTTTTCTTGTGAAGGAAAAGCAATCTAATTTTGGAAGAAAATTTTAAGGGGATGATTTAATTTTGTGTTGTTTAGTTTAGGATACTTATATTAAGTTTGTGCAAATCATCTAAATTAAATCTGATTTTCGGTCTTTGTTTAAAATACTTGGACTGAGCTGTGATACTTTTATGTTACCTTAATAAGGTTGGGCTTTCCGAACTGGAGCATTATAATTTAGATAATAGTGAACTTGATCAGAACTCTCTTGTGTGGTGGAATCAAGCTAAGATTGACATGGTCAATCAATCCTTCTAAATTTCTTTATCCCCATTAACAATCTTAATACCATGCCACTTGTGGTGCTTTGCAAGGAATTGTTGCTTTTTTGACCAAAAGCCATATTTTCTCTGTTGATAGTCTTATATGATTGATTTGTATGTTTCTTGAGAATTGCAGATTGAAAAGAGCAAACTGGAGGAGAAAGGTAAAGCAGAAGAGCAGGATTTGCTTCAGCTTAAGAAGGAGAGGATTCAGAATGACTTTGAGATTTCTAGACTAAGAGAGGAACTAGAGAGCAGCAAAAAGATGCATGAAAGGCATTGTCTACAGTTGGAAGCCCAGGCTGAGGATACTAAAGTGATGTTAGAAAAGAAGTTAAATGAACTTGAGTATCTTTTAAGCAATTCTAGGAAAAAAGTGGATGAGCTTCAGTCATTTTCTGAATCTAAACAAAAGAGATGGAAAAATAAAGAGCACAGTTATCAGAGCTTCATTGATCAACAGTTCGCGGCTTTAAAGGTTTGTCATGTTCCTAATTCTTATGATGATATTGATGCATAGTCCTTTGACATGAAGTTTTACACTGTTTAGGAATTAAGGGATGCTTCTAAGTCTATCAAACGTGAAGCCCTAAAGACTAAAAGGAGCTACTCAGAGGAACTTAGTTACTTAGGTAATGTTGGTTATTCATGCTGTTTGTTTTGTTGTTTGGCTTAATCTGCCATCTAGATTTCATTTTTTTCTATGTTGGGTTTTCAGCAATTTCTTATCATTTATACCCCTTTTTTTCTGGAGTAGGAATAAAGCTTAAAGGACTAATAGATGCTGCAGAAAATTATCATTCTGTTCTTGCTGAAAACCGAAGATTGTACAATGAGGTTCAGGATTTGAAAGGTACATTGGTATATCTTAGTTTGTTTGGGTTCTGTCACCAAGTAGCTGATGCTATTTCTTACTTTTTGTAGGAAATATTAGAGTCTATTGTAGGATAAGGCCATTCCTTCCAGAGCAAAGTAAGAAACAAACAACAATAGAATATATTGGTGAGAATGGTGAATTGGTTGTTTTGAATCCCTCAAAGAAAGGGAAGGACACTCATAGGCTCTTCAAGTTTAACAAGGTTTTCAGTCCAGCAGCTACCCAAGGTTTTAAATTTTCATATTTGTTCATTGTTGATAATAAAAAATTCATCTCTTAATTTAATAGCTACATAGTTTCAGCCACAACATTCATGACTGATGCTTATCTATGTAAAATTTTCAATGTAATATGTCTGTAGAGGAGGTATTTTTAGACACCCAACCATTGATTCGATCTGTTCTTGACGGTTACAATGTTTGCATATTTGCTTATGGTCAAACTGGCTCAGGAAAAACTTATACAATGGTGAGCTACTTTTTAATATTTTTCTGTTTGAAATATGTAATTCATTTTAAACGTGTAGGCTATATCTTATGCATTTGTATTTTCTCTTTCCAGAGTGGACCTAATGTGTCTTCTAAAGAAGATTGGGGAGTCAATTACCGAGCACTCAATGATCTTTTCCAAATCTCTCAAAGCAGGAAGAGCTCCATTATATATGAAGTTGGTGTTCAAATGGTTGAGATATATAATGAACAAGTTCGTGATCTCCTTGTAGGGGACAGTTCTCAGAGAAGATATCCTTTATTTTTATATTCTGGATTTCATTTCTTCTTGTGTTTCTCAGTTCTGGTCCGAAATTTGGTTCTATAGCTTGTCTTTTATTGTTATTGTTTCTTTATAATGATTTATCTCTATGTTACCCTAATGATTTATAAATTTGCAATCCTCATTTCTTAAATTTATGTATTTGGTCAAATAGTTACATTTTATTCCTTCTTGCTTTTTTCTGCTGTTAAATATGTTCTTTGTTTCCTATGACTTGCACACACTTGGGATTTGGAGCACCACCCAACCAAATGGGTTAGCTGTCCCTGAAGCAAGTATGCATTGTGTAAAATCAACCACAGATGTTCTGGAGTTGATGAATATTGGGTTAATGAATAGGGCTGTAGGTGCTACAGCCCTAAATGAGAGGAGTAGTAGATCACATAGGTTGTATTTTCACTTACTATTTTGTATATAACTTGTTATTTGGAGTTGTGTCTAATGGGTTTCGGTAAATTATTAAGTGCAGTATTCTCACCGTTCATGTTCGTGGCACGGACTTAAAAACTAATGCTGTCTTGCGTGGTAGTTTACATTTGGTGGATCTCGCTGGCAGTGAAAGGGTAGGTCGTTCTGAAGCAACTGGAGATAGGCTTAAGGAGGCACAACATATAAACAAATCGCTGTCAGCTCTTGGAGATGTAATCTTTGCTCTGGCACAAAAGAATGCTCATGTCCCGTATAGAAATAGCAAACTAACTCAAGTTCTCCAGAGTTCTTTGGGTACTTTTCTGTTTTCAGATTTTAATTTTGCTATTGTGATTTACAACATCATTATGCCCAATAATATGTTAAGTGGTTTTTATTTTCTCTTACTGATTAATTGTCCTTTTCTTTTAATATCAAATTGTAGGTGGCCAGGCAAAAACCCTTATGTTTGTGCAGCTTAATCCTGATGTAGATTCATACTCTGAAACTGTAAGTACTTTGAAGTTTGCCGAGAGGGTTTCCGGTGTTGAGTTAGGTGCTGCAAGGACCAACAGAGAGGGGAGAGATATCAGAGAACTTATGGAACAGGTATCCTTCTTTTCTCTTCCTCTGCTTATTTTCCCCTTGTTTCAAAAGTTAATGTGGCCAGGTGTTGAAACCAAGTAATGGTTGTTACTACCTTGTTTTTCTTATAATTCTTATTTCTATGGACAAAACAGAGTTACAGGCCAAAGTAGGATTATAAAAATCTCACTCAATAATGAGCCTACAACAGGCATCCTTGCAGCAGCATAATCTAGTTTACATTTTCTAGCTTTTGTCAGTCTTCATTTTTGCCAACGATGTGCATGAATCTGCCCGTTTAGGAAGATTTAATTCTCTGTCAGTTTGAGGAGATACTTTTAGGGTTTCTCTTCCTAAGCTCTAGATAAGATACAGTAGCTTTGGTTAGGAGGAAATTTCGCTGTAGCTCAAGATTCTTAACAGAATTGTATCTTTCTTAAAGAAGATTTTAACCTTTTTGGACCATTTAATCTGTCATTTCATTTCTGATCTTCTATTAATCTTTGCAGGTTGCATTCCTCAAAGAAACCATCACAAAGAAAGATCAGGAGATTGAGCATTTGCAGTTACTTAAGGGTAATGGCAATAGTACTAAGCATGGTATGAGCTCACTGAGGTATGGATCTTCCTCTCCTAGGGGACACTCCAGTGGGAATCCTCGACAAAGTCAGGGTTTTTCAAGACGGCAAAGCTTGGGAAATTTTGAGAAAGTAGCTTTTGATGTGGACAATTGCTTGGTTAACAGCGATAAGAATTCTGAAACTGGCTCTCATTGGTCAATGGATGACTCAAAGCATCACATTGAATCTTCTGTGCAGACAAACCTTGCAGGAAGAGATTTGGTTCAGAATATTGCTGATGATATTGAACTCTTGGGCTTTGGAGATGCTGATTCAGAGGAGAGATTAAGTGATATATCTGATGGTGATCTATCAATGGGTGGTACAGAAACTGATGGCTCAATCTGTAGTGCTGTAGAATTCACTCTTTTCCCTGAAGTTTCAAAACCTTCTGATAAACCAGAGAAGGTTGAGAAATCTGACAAAGCTGAAAAATCTGATAATATTGGGAAGTGAGTATCCTTCAACTCCTTTCAGCTTTTATTTTCTGTAGGATCTTGTTTCTGGATTGAGTAGTAGAAGCAAGTTTTTAATCAATTATTCTTTTTGAAGTAGAAACTAGAGTTACTCACTAATAGTTGCTGGTAGCATTATTTATAACCACAAGAATCATTACAATATCTGGTAACTTGCTTAATTATCCTTTTCCTCTCTCCTTTGCTCTCTAAATTCATGATTATTTATTTATAACAAGTTGTTATCTAAAGTATGTGCAAAAGTATTTTAAATAATATATTTTGCTTGGGCTTGAGGACTCTGTTGCTGAAACAGGAGAGTGAGAAAAGTTTTTTGATTTTTCTTGTTGGTTCATTTGTTGCTTGAAAACAGGTCCATCGTCCCTTCTAAGCTTCCAAAGCTGTCTCAAAAGGTTGTGCAAACGAAATCTGCTCGATTGTCAATGCCAAGGAGCTCCTCAAAGGTTTCATCAAGTATGTAATTTATATGGTATTCTATATTTGAACTGTTTTATTAGTCATTTTTCAGGCTAAAAACTATCTGAGCAGCGATACTACGTTATTGCTACAGCTTATTTTTGCTGATTTGTCAAAATTTTTTTTTATCTGAATACCATCTTCTCTCTCAGTTTCTTAAAATTTATTTCTTGTTCTCAGAATTTCGTTTTCTTCTTGGAATGTATATCAGGTGCTAGGAAAGTTACTGCTGCCACCGCTGGCAGTTCTTCAACTAAGCCTCTGAAAAGACGGCAGTGATTTGAATTTATATCTTGGATGGTAGAAGAAATGTGACTCAGCTTAGTCTGTAATTATATTGACAGCTTTACTATGTTTATTGCCGTAGGTTGTTCCTCACTTCCATGGTAATAGTAGAGAACTCCTCACTTGTAACATACATGGCTCAAGGGTCATATCAGCCCCTTCACTCTGGTTCTCATCACATTGCCCAGCTAAAATGGAGGGTATGGAGTGGGCGGAGAGCGAAAGGGGAGGGGAAGAACAACCCAATTGACTGATTATTAAAACGAAAAGAAAAACCAGAAAGTTATTTAGCTATTTGTTTAACGTTTACAAAAATTAAAAATGATGAAATGATGTTGCATTTGTAAGTTTTCAATTTAATTTTAAAAATTGAAGAATTATCCATGCATTTTATGCTAATACCATATTATTTGGGAAGAAGAGGCCACCCATTTCATTGCATTTGAAGAGTTTTTTGGTTTTAACCATATTCCTCTGCTGTGTAAGGACTTATTTTCTTCATTCCACTGCAATTGCGGTTTTGAAATCTATGGTATGAAAACAAGCACACTAAAAATATCAGAAAGGAACAGAGGCACATGCCATCGAATGGCGACCAAATTCAAACTTATAGTAACATGTTAATTGAACATGAAATCAATTGAAGGGAATCATCAGAAAGAGGAAGATGTTCCAACAGCCCCAACTCCAGTTCACCGAAAACCTAATGTTCCAACAGTATGAGGATCAGTTTTAATGTTTAGTAAATAGCTGTAACCGTAATAAAATTCAATTAATGTTTTAAAGTTTCGTGATGTGTTAAGGAAAAAAATTGTGATGTGATTCTTAATTTAAATCTTACAAATTTTTTATGTTTAAGAGTAAACTATACTTTTAATTTGGCAATAAACCAAACAAGGGTGGAGGCTTATGCAGGATGAATCATCGTTATGCCATCAAGTACTAAGAGCAAAATATTTTCCATGTAGCTCGTTTTAAAGCAGTCTTGGGCACTAATCCATCATATGTATGGAGAAGTTTATTAGCTGTAAGGTTAATTTTGGAAGCAGGGTCAAGGTGGCGGGTTGGAGATGGAAAAACTGTGGAGGTTTGGCATGACGGATGGCTCAATAAACCACCCACATTCAAGCCACTATGGACTGAAAACCAACAATTAAAAGTAGCTGCGCTGATGAACAATGATAATAGATTTTGGAACATGGAGATGTTAACAGGATTGTTTTGCCGAGAGCACATTGAATTAATCCTTCAAATACCGTTGAGTAGTAGCCCATGTCTAGACAGATTGACATGGAATGAGTCAAAAGTTTGGGTAATTTTTCGGTAAAGTCTGCCTATCATGTTGCTAGAGAGTGGCTAGGGAAACAGGTAGGAAAAAGGAATACTCGGTCTCCAATGTGGAAGTTGGTATGGACAAGCCAAGGTTATCCCAAAGGTAAAGGTCTTTATGTGGAGGTTGATTTGGGGTATCTTACCAGCAAGGGGTATTCTCAAAGCTCGCAGGAACCCGGTTGAGGACTCTTGTTGTGTATGTGGGACTGTGGAGGAATCTTGCTATCACATATTTTTGAATGCAGGTTCAGCGGTTAGGTACGGGAAAGAATCTGCAACTGGTGCATGGATGGCTGGAAACATGGACCACGGCCCCAGAATTTTGGACTGTTTTCTTGATTAAGGCAAAGCAAGAAGAAAGGTTGGAAACAAGCATGTATGCACGATGCATGCTATGGTTGAACAGAAACAGATGTCTCCATGAATCTACATGTGGAATTATACGTGAGGTGGTGTTTAAGGTGGACCCATTTTTTGCAGGAACGCAGGGAATTGCAGGGAGACACTGATAAGGTGGATACCACCTGTGGATGTGGACTTCAAAATCAATGTGGATGCATCTTTTAATTGCACAAACAAGACAACAAGGTTAGGAATGATCGCTCGAGATAAAAGAGGTACAGAGGTGCTATGGGCAGCAACGAGCACTTTGAACGTAAGCTGCTCTCTTCATGCAAAAATGAAGTCCGTTCTCTTTGAGATTGGTATTGCTAGAGAATGGGGCTATGATGAAGTGGAGGTGGAAACTGATGCAATAATGATGGTACAGAAGCTTGCAAAGGCGGGGACTCTTACTGGGTGGGAACAGGAATAACAATGGATATTGTGAGGGCAGCATCGCAGTATAGAGTTTGTCGATTTCTACATGTCAACAGGCCTATCAATACATTGGCTCATAATGTTGCCCGGCTATCTTGTACTGAGGGTCAAATATATGTATGGAAGCATCTTCCAGATTCTATCACAAATGTTGATGTTTTTCTTTCGTAATAAAAGTTTTCATGTTTGATCAAAAAAAAAAAAAAGAGTAAACTATATTTTCTTATAAATCAAAAACTCATCATTAGCCTATGATTTCAATTAAATTATAAAGATTTGTTAGATTGACTTTTTTTTTAGAGTTCATTTGATTCGCGAAAAAATATATTTTTTTGAAAAAAATGATTCTTCAAATCACTTGATAGATTTTGGAGGATGAACGATTTTTTATTTATATAAATGTAAAATTTACATATTTAATTAGAGAAATGTAATATTATCTAAGAAACTCTTTCACTATATTATATTTGATATCATTGTGAATAACACATGATATACATTTATATTTACATTACTTATCTATTTATTTAATATTTTAAGTTATTTATTATTTATGTAAAATGTGATTAATTTATTTAATATTTTAATTAATAAAAAATAAAAAATTACTAAAATTATTTATATATGAAATAATACTTTTGTAAATAAATATTTTCAAAATATTTGTATATATATATTTAGTTATATTGCATGGAACCTAATTACTATCATAACGTTGATTGTTCCTATACAGAACAAATACGTGGATTGACCAATATTTTGAAACTATAGAATTTTAAAAAATATATTTATTTCATAACATATTTTCATAATAAATTACATTTTTTATTTTAAAAACATAGTATATATTAAAACTGTAAAATTTAGAAAAATAATTATTTTATATTTTTGTATAACAAACATAATCGTATTAAACAAGTATAATTTTAAAATATAATAGATTATGTTTTCATTTTAAAAACACAATCTAATTGAAACAATAAACTTTTAAAAATAATTTTTTAATCAAACAAAAACAAAAATTTTATTATGATTCACAAATTTATTAAATATCTTTTAATTTTAAATAATCAAAATAGTATTTAAAAGTATACATATGTTAATAATTATAATTATTACATTTTTATTAAATAAATTCAAATCAATTATAAAAACTAAATATAAATTTAATTATGTTGAATAAAAACTCAATACAAATAAAAATTAAATTAATTTATATTTCCTAAAAAATGAAATTTAAACTTGAGTATTGCCATATATCAAAAGATAAGGCTTGAAATATCATTGTGTGTGCTAATTTAGTCTCGACTTATCATGTAATTTTTTTATATTAAAAGGTATAATAAGTCGTAATTACCATTTTTTAGAGCAAAAGAAAGACAAATTTTGTATTTCGGGTGGAATATCTAAAAATCTTAGGGATAGGAGAATTTTGAATTCTCTCTATTTTCTCTTTCTTGATATTGTTTAAAATGTAAGATTCTGAATCTAAGGAATTAGATTACAAAATGTAGGATTCTTAAATTCTACATTTTGCAAACCAAACACTCCTTAAGATTTTAGTTTCTACTTATTTTTTTTATTTATTTTAAATTCAAAATAAGATATAGCTTTCGTTTTAAAATTCATTTTGTCTTACTAAAATATTTATCTTTAACTAATTTAAATCAAATACTAATTTAGTTTCTTTATAATTTACAATGCATAAAATAAGATATAAAATATAAATAGGACCAACAACATACTATTTTTATATATATTTTAAATTTTTTAAAAAATTTAAATTATGTTAATTTTTTTTAATTTTAAATTTTGTTAGATTACATTTCTATAACATTATCTTATACTAAATATATATTATTAAAAATTTTAAATAATATTAAATAAACACCCTATCAAATTATCAGTATAAAAAACAATAGGAGAGGGAGGTACTTTGATATATTAAAAATTAATTTTTGTATGCTTTTAGTTGTAGTTTCATTTAACTCATTATTTATATTTTACATTACAAAAATGTTTTAACTTTAAATTTTACCTTTTTTTTTTTTTACAAATACTTTTATGTTTGACTTGGGTACTTTAACATTAATATTAATGAGTATTTCACGCAAGTTAAAAATGAAATCTACAAGTTAAAAAATGTTTTTTCTCTAATAAGTATGCTAATTTATGTAATAACCAATAAATTATTTCTTTATTTTCTTAAATAAACATCTACTAACATACTTAAAATTTATTTTATTAGTTACTTAACAAACTTTTCAATATATTCAACCATTTGGACATAAGTCTTCATTATTGAATTAATTAAAGTTTTGAATGATAATCTTTACTAAATATTGAATAAAATCTATTAAATAATTCACTAACAAAAATTAATGAATGAAATATGAAATAATAATTTTAATAATAAAAATATATATTTATCTCATTTATATTCAACACATAAACCAATTTTTAATAAGTAATACATAAATTATAATCAAGACTCTTGAAATATATTTTTTATAAATTCATATTTTATCTTTAAAGATTTATACAAATATTTAACAAATCATTAATATAAAAATAAAACTATTTCTTCATTGCACTTGAATAAAATTAGTTAAATATATATAAACAAGATTTAGCAATAAGTAGGACTCTACTAACAAAATTTTTCTAGCGTTTTCATTTACTGACAATATTTAACAAAAAAATTAATAATTCCCAATATCATAAATAAAACTAGTTTTTAGATATTAAAATTATGTTTGATAAATATTTTATTTTTTAATACTAAATTAAAATTATGTTTGATAAATATTTTTATTTTTTAATACTTTCTTAAAAGATTATCGAAGATCTTTCTTTCATCTTATACTATTCAAAACACTCAAATCCATAACCTAAGATATATTTGTTTTTTTTTTCTTTGGGTTGTAATTTTTTTTCTAATTTTTTGGTTTGATTTAGGTAGAAAAAAGAAAAAAAATTCTGTTTGTGGGTGATAGTGATTTTAGATGGAATTTTTTTTTTGTTGTAGAGGCTAAAAATAATTATTTATTTATTTGGTTGTTTCATATATTTTATTCTTCAAAATTTTCATTTTCAATTATTATTTATATATATTTCTTTTAAATTTTTTATTTTCTTTCTTGAAAATTTATTTTTCTTATACGTTTTGGAAAACCAAAAATAAAAAGGAAAGTGACTCTTGATAAATGATAACCATTTGAGACTTCAAGTGTCAACTATGTGTATATACATAGATATATAAATATTTTCTAAAAAAGAAAAAAGAAAAAAGAAAATCATAAACGTCTTGGCAACCAATTTGACTTTCAAGTATCAACAAGATATACAGGTATATCTTTTTTTTTTTTTGAAAAAAACCGTTGTGCAATATTTTATAAATACAATCAATTGAACTTCCAAGTGTCAATCATATATGCGTTTTTAAAAAATAAAGTAATAGAAAATTTTGATAAATGGCAATCAAATGGTCCTACAAAGTGTCAATTATATATATATATATATATATAAGTTTAAACAGACAATAGAATATAAATTTTTTTTTAGTTCTTCGACAGTATTATCCAATAAAACATGCATATAGAAGTTGTCTGATAGTGGCTAGTTTTCATAAAGAGTAATAGGTCACCAAATAAAGGAAATTATAAGGTGGAAGAAAGTCTCAAAAAAAACTAAACTGAATTTTACCTACTACCACATAATAAAATTCGAATAGTTATTAAACAATTGAAAAAACCAATAAATGAATATTTATCATGCTTTTTGAAATATAAATTATTACATGGGATTTACTGGAGCATAGATAAATTGTGAAGCCTTTATATTTTAAATGACACAGGAAGTGAAATATATGTTTACTGTTTCACATCAGTAATATTTCACATGTCAAAATCAAATAAAGGCTCACATGTGAGAAAAAATATCCGACCCATTTCCAAAACGTGAAAAAGTTTTCACACATCACACCGGATTTTCCTTCCTTCTATGCAAATATAAGTTTTTAACTTTTAATCTACAAATAACAAAATTCCCATCTATACATTAAAAATATTTAATTGAGATGACAAATCAGCAGCTATATAAATAAGCGAGGAAGTAACACTTTTTGTTAAAACTGACCAAGATTTCACCATTCCTAAATACCATCCAACATAACCAACCTTCCCAAAAGATGTTGGGTCCAACAGGAAAAAGAAAAAGAAGACGTAAAAAGAAAAGGGTAGATCTCATATTCTCTCACTTTTCGTAGAACATTTGGAAACCGAAAATAGTCTCTGGCTTGGGTTTACATTTGGTTCCTGAGAAACGGCTGGATTCTGTTGTTCGGATCAATAAAGACAGTGAATGGTTGGTTCTGTAACAAGTGGATGATGCTAATGTTTCTACGCTGTTTTTTTTTTTGGGTTTCTTTTCTCTTTAAATACTATAGGTTTGTTCAGTTTTTGAAGTTTCGATCATGAAAGGGTTTTGGGGTTTTAAAGGCATATGAAAATAAGATGTGTTTTAATGCTTGGGTTCCTGAGAAACGGCTGGATTCTGTTGTTCGGATCAATAAAGACAGTGAATGGTTGGTTCTGTAACAGGTGGATGATGCTCATGTTTCTACGCTTTTTTTTTGGGTTTCTTTTCTCTTTAAATACTATAGGTTTTTTTAGTTTTTGAAGTTTTGATCATGAAAGGGTTTTGGGGTTTTAAAGCATATGAAAATAAGATGTGTTTTAATTTTAATTTATTTTTGGTGTGTTTACATACAAAACATCAACATGTAGGAAATTTATGACTATTTTCGCCAGTACTAAATGCAGTTGTATTCGTTATTTTAGCATATGAGGGAATTTTGAAAAATAGATTAATTCTAAAAAAATTAAACAATCTAGTGATTTATAATTCGTTACTAACATTAAGAAAAGAAATATTAATTGTAAAATTTGATCTCTATTTGATAAATTTTTATTGAGATTATTTTTTATATTTAACATTGAAAAATAATGCACTCAATTTTATTTTTTCTCTTTTTTTTTTAAAATCGTTTATTTTCATTTCATGTATATATATATATATATATATATTAGTTTGTGATCCGTGCTATTTATAGGTTGTTTTTATATAATTATATGTAAAAATATTATTTTAACAAAGACATAAAATTTATATATGCATATATCCAAATGATATCTAAGAGTAAATCATTATTATATGGATACTACATGTAATCAAAAAGTTAAATGAAAAAAAATCAACTTAAACACTTTTCCATTAGTGTGATCAAATTTACCTTAATTAATTTAAGATTTTAAAGTGATTTCACCTACTTTTAAAATCCATTGAAAGAAATGCATGATTCCTTTTAATAACTATTTGTCTTTTTATTAATTTGAATACACATATATTAGTCATAAATCATATCATTAAAAAAATTATATTGTTATTGAAACTTGAAATTTTAATAATATAGGACATTTGAAAATATGTTTTTGAGAAAAATTTTTCTATATTGAAATATCTACTAAACCAAATATTTTATATATGTTTGAGAAAAAAAGAATCAAAGATTTACTATATATGTATGAAAAAAAATCAAAGATTTATTATATATGTATGAACTTTGAGTTGAAAACCCAATATAAATTCAAATAATATCAAATTGATTAAAATTTCTGTTGAATCACATAAAAAAAATGAAAAATAAAATTGTAAATAAAAATAAGTGAAAAATAGTTTCTTTCCCTACTCATTATAAATGAAATACTTAATAATCAAATAAAAAAAATTAGAAAAGTAGACCTTTAATCATTTGTTTTGACAAATTGAATAATGAATTTATCAAAGAGATAGAAACACATAAGTGCCAAATATTAATAATAAATCAAAAAATCATTCAAAGAGGTCTACAAAAAAAAAAAACTTTTGATCTTTTAAAAAAAAAAAAAAACTTTTGATAAAAAAAACTTTATCATCATTCACTTTTTTTTTTCACATTATAACTTTTTGTTTTACTATGAAAACCTTTCAACTATAAAATTGAAAAGAAAAGATTAATTATCAATTAATTTTCATAGTAAAATATTTAAAAACACTAAACCAAAACTGAAATAAAAAGAAAAAAAATTTCAAATAATCATAATTAAGATTAATTTAATAATTTTAACTTGAATAATCAAGGAAAACATATTTACAAAAATATAATACTAACTAAAAAAAATAAAAGAACATGTCACAAAAAATAATAATACTCGCAAAGTTATAATCTTACAATACTCCTTCAGAGCTTATTATAAAATGTAAAAAATTGATGTAAATTATCAAAAAGTCATACCATTCTTTAAACAATGTATCACAGGTAAAAAAGAATAGAAGAATATAAATAAAAAAATTTTGACATCAGTTGTTGTATGTGTCAATTTCTTCATATCACCATTATATATATATATAGATAACATAAATACTCATAAATGTGAATCTCAATAATTGAGCTATCAATCAATTACATATTATTATGAAAAATTTGTATCTCCTTAATTACATATTATTATAGAGTTTAAATTTTAAATATATAATTTGACCTATCAGTTCTTTTTATTTTTGTAATCAAACACCCAAAATTAAGGTAAAATATAAAAAACTTTAGAGAATTCATCACAAAATTAAAATTATTGAATGCATGGCCGATAAGATTTTTACTGTAAAAAAAAAGAGAGAAATATTCATACTTAGAGTTAAAAAAAATAAAATTAAAGACATTGAATAGGTAACAATATTTTTGGACGGTAATTGAAAAAATATTAAAGATTAAATTAGTTTGTAATTTTAATTTTGAAATTTGAATTGTTGATTATGATCAAAACACATGACATCATTTGACATTATTATGTATAAAAAATTACCCTACATATATAGACTTATTTCATATTTTTTAAGTTAGTATATTGAAGTTATCTTTTGCATGAGTGTGTGTGTATTAGATTATTCTAGCAAATTAATATGTTTATATAATCATAAATTAAGATTAATAAATATGTAAAATTATTCATGATTTATTATATTTCTATTTGAATTTAAATTTTTTGAATTAATGATCAAATTAATTATATCTAATTTATAGGAGCCAAGAATATTGGTATTTAAACATAATTGTAATAAATATATTTAATCCAAAAAATCACAAACTATACCTTTTATTTAAACATATTTAGTCCAAAAAATCACAAACTATAAATATATTTTTGAATAATTCATTTATAATAAAATTTAACATCGATGAATAAAATTTATTACTTTTTAAAGTTTCATTTTCATCTATAATTAAAAAAAAAAAAAAAACAATTGCTTGCATAAATTTAACAAGGGTTTTGTGCCACTCATGATGTTGCACTATTGCAAATCATCATATATATATATATATTATATTTGAAGATATGTATGAAATTATAACCATAGAAAGGTGCGATGGGTTTAGTAGGCATTTTACCGATTTGACAGCTCTTTCAGAATTAGCCGATTTCTTTCATTTTCATCATGGTAACTTAATACTCCTTCGGGATTTAAATTAAAATTTAAATGCTCATTTTGCAATTTCTTAAGTCAAACTTAGTAGTATTGATTGAAATTAAAATTTTAAAAAATTTTAGTGCAGGATTTTTTTTAAATTTATTTTCTGAACATATGATATTGTAATAAATATATCCAAAAAAATAATTGAGTTGTATGTGTAAGTATCCTCTAATTTTCCAGGAGATACTACTTTCTATGCATTTTATTTCCTTCGTTTTTCCTCCACTGCAATCCAAATGTATTCCATGTATTAATTGTTATTCAGTGTGTAATCTTGCTGAGCAGTAGTACTCGTCGGTCTTGAATAAACTCCAATCAAACACTTTCAATGATCTGGAGAGAAGGACAAAAAGTCAATTCCATATGAAACAGTGAATCCATGTAGCTTCGGTGAATGCATCAGCTCACTGCATTTACAACATAATAATGAACTGTGACATCAGTAACGTGATATGGGCATTCATTTGGTTTGGTACTTGAAAATTACTGCGGTAATTTCAATATGATGAAGTTTGCAGTCAGAATTGGCAGAGTTGGGTCTTACTTCTGAGAAGTACAGGTCAGTGCTCAGCGCATAATTTTTATTGTTCTATGAATGCAACAGTTATCTGTCAGACAAGTCAACAAACAATCTGAAAAGACACGCGTGGATATCTCAGATTTGCAGTAATTACTGAATTATTGAAGTAGGAGACAGTTAAAGATAAAAGTGTTGATAGGATAGAAGAAGATAAAGAGAAACTGGTGAGCAAGTTGATGGAATACGGGAACAAAAATGGATAGAGCAGTCTATTATTATTAGGACAACTTTTTGTGAACAATGTTTTTTACCTTCTGAACTACTTTAGCTCCGAACATAGTAAAAGACTAAAAGGGAACTTTCAGGTAAAATTTTCTATGATTTACTACCCTCATAGCTCCATAGCCTCGATAAAATACAAGTAGAAGGAAACAAGATTTTTATCTCCAAAACGTCTCAACAGCTACATGACTACTTTTCCCTTGCTATCAAGTTACAATATGAACAGTATGGTGTTTCTATTTTAATTCTAATTATAGAAGTGAAGAATGAATCAATAGTATAGTGAAGGAATTCTTGTGCGAGTGTAGTAACCCTCTTTGTGGCAGGAACTCGCATATCAATCTGTAAATCAGTTTGACAGTATTCAAGACATGCGTTTCGGATTTACCGTGTAAGATGTGCATCTATGTCTATCCCATTGAATATAGACATCCCCTGTACAGTAACCCTCATGTGAAATGGCAGAATGTGTGACCCCTCTCCATTTTTAGTGCTAAAGCTCCATCCCTTTTTCACTTGCTTTTGGCAACAGCCACTCCTAAGCACATATGGAAAGGCTATTTTAATTCAATAAGCCAGTTGTTTCAGGTCTAAACTCGAGCAATTGGAGAGAATGGAGGGTTAATCACATAGGATGGTGGGATTGCTTCCACCTTCTTGCTGACTTTCTTCTCCTCCTCTGTGACTGCTTCAATTAAGAATTTCACTTCCTCCCCAAGAAGTGCTTTTAGTGAATTGCATTGGGACAAATGCTTGGTTTGTGCCTCCCCAGCAGCAGCGGAGTTTTCTGTACCATGCAATATAGCAATACAAATGGAAAAAGCTTGTAATGCAGATAACTTTGCATGGAAATCAACTGCATACCCTCCTTCAATAGCTGTCATGGTCAATGCTGGTGTATTCTCTTTGGCACCCTACATAATAATTAAAATTAAGTTAGTAATGGGAGAGCTTAATTAAACCTACAAAACGAACAATAATTAGAAATAGTATTAAGAAGCAAAATGGTTTTCAATGATACATTACCCGGTAAATTCCATATCTTAATCATATGAGCATCTGAGCTACAAATCAAACCATCTCGATAGAAAAATAATTCATCTTTTAAAAATATAGCAGAAAGAAAGGGGATGTAATATTATTTCCATCAGCTTCCTAGAACCCCGTTAAAAGACCCTTAGACAAAAATATACATGCATATTTTATAGTTCATTTAACACTGAGCAGGTATAGAAATAGACCCCTATCCAGGCCACAAGCTGCACATAGAGCATTTTAAATCAACACATCTAGAGCTCTAATCCCTACAAAATCTTCAATGTTAAATCCTCTCATCTGGCACCAGCATCCTAAACCTTTTCTTCTAAAAGATATTAATGTGATCCTTACCCAAAATCTGATAGTAGAACTTTCATCATGCAAACTATATTTGTGAGAAATTTGCTTTGGCATAAAACTAAAACCTTACCTGAAGAAAAAGCTCAAAAGGCCGCTCACTGTCCACCAGTGGTTGATCGTCAGAACAATTTATACTGGGATTGCCAAAAACTACAAGGGGACAGGCCATGTCCCAGCCTCCACAATCACAACCTCCACCCATCCTCCACCTATCCAGTAGTGATGAAGGACCCTGTGTCTCAGCACTAGGCAAGCCATGGTTTCCAGATGGAATAACCACCTTCACCTTTTCTTGGCTCCTGTTATCTTGTATGTTGCTTTTACTTTCCTCAATCATAGAGACATTGAGTAGGTTTAAATGCCTCTTATCACCTATTTTATCCCCTCTTCTGTATTTTAAGCTCTCTCTCTTCTTAAATGGTACTTGAATGACTATGGCTGCAATTTCAAGATTCGGATGCAAATCATCAGGTAGCCGTGGAGTTGATCCATTTGGGGATTCAACCCCATCACTGTCAGAAGCAAGATTGAAGTGATCTTTAAGCTTCACCGCACTAGAGCTATCATCTGATGCATAACATCCCACGGCCAAGCCTGGACTAGAACAGTTAGGGGTTCTATGAATATGAGGGGATCCTTGGATAGAAACACGTTGTCTTGCATGTGTAATATCATACAAAACAAAGTCCGTAACCATGAAGTTGTCAAGAACCCCACCATCTTTAATTTCTGAACACAAACAACAGGACACTTGCATCTGTGCAACAATTGATGAATCTTTGTTACTGTCACTCAATCCCCATATGATGGCATTGCTCTTCTTTCTGTTGCCAATAGAGTGAAAGGTATATACCCAATTGAAAGCATTATCTGCCTTCCATGTTTTGGCCAGAAAAACATCTTCTGGTTGATTCACAGAGAACTCAAAAAATGGCACCCCGTGTTTGTCTCCCAACTTGAGATAACCATGTAGGTGAACTGGTGAGCTTGCTACTGGCGAGTGAATGCTATCTTTCTTGATAAACTGGGAATCCAGTTCAGAATTCTGAGGTGAATTTGAGAAGTCAGGTAACAAAGATTTCCGAAATGTCTTATTTCTTCTCATATTTTCCATCACAATAGTTTTGACACTGTCAGCTTCTGTTACATAACCCAAAGGACTTCGCAGAGACTTTGATCTCATAAACAGATCAAACATCTTTCTAATAGGACTAAATCTGGCCCTTGAGCTGGTTCGGGAGAACCAGTCACTTTCTGATGAAGAGGGTGAATGTGGCACTTCGACCTTAGCACAGACTGACTTATGCAGATAGCAAACTGTGTCTTTTTCAACAAGATCATTACCATTGTCTAAAGGATTGACAACTGGTTCACATCCAAAACTTATGTCCCTCTTATTATCTGCCTCTACGGTTTCAGCTGTTTGTTTTTCTCCCTTACCTGAATTTTTATTACCTGAACTTAGACAGATTTCAATGAAGCCACCTGATGAGCATGATTCTAAGTAAGGTTTGCTAATTGATTCTGATTTCACGTTTGAGCCAACAGACATGACTGGATTTCTTTCTGGTGGGCTTTCCTCTTCTGAGTTACAAAGAGAATCAACAATTCTGAAGGAAAAAGAGGTGTCACTACTACGTGATAATTCAAGTTTTTGCCTCCCCTCGACATTGCCTGATTTTTTCATTTTACTTACCTCTTCGGAGCTTTGATATATGGAACCTCGCTTCAGCTCAGCATTACCTTCTGGCCCAACAGATCTACATGGAATGTTCTTACAAGAAGCACTGCGGTAGCGACGAAAGCTGATTTCAGTAAAGGCCTCCTTTGCCCTCAATAAATCTTTACGACATGGCTTTGGATATCTATTTTCGTTGTTTGAAAGTTGTCGAGGAGATGGAAGAACAGTCTTAGGACTCAGATCTAATGTGCAGTTCTTCTCCAAGTCTGACTCCATCTCTAGTCCCATTGATACATTTACAGTCCTGCAAGAAATGCAAATCATAAAAACACGATTTGACATACCAGCTAAACAGAGATTAGCATCTTCACTAATCCACAAAATCAATTTCTCGAATTAAATATTCCCAAAGTAGGATAAGATATGCTTGACTGCGTACACTATTCTAGTTGCAGATTTCATTGAAAATTTGAAGTTATGATTCATTACAACCAAGTTGCTCCATATTATGGTCTCATGCCCATCTGACTATATCCTATAATCCACCAAAAACTGTTTCTAAAATACTTTAGAAGGAAAAACAAATCTAGTCCTTTTACAAAAGGAAAAAAAAATGAAGAACAGACAAAAATCACTAATGAGGCTCCAAATAAGACCTTAACAATCAAACAAATACATTGTGAACAACAAAGCCAAATCTCTGCTCATAATTCATGTATAAGCAAAACTGATGTGCTTATGAAAGAGAGAGGAGGGGAAAAAAGAATTATCAAACAAATTAACTCCAAATTTTCTCACCATGAAACACAAGTATGGTGATCTTAACTTTAGAAATAATGTTCATTGGAAAAGCATGAACCCCATCAACGACTTTAAACTTTAAAGGCAAAAAAACTGGCAGTGATCTCATAAAACTAAAATCCTTAAACCAACAAGGAATCTTGTGATCTCTATAAACACACCGGAAAAATGAGTAAAGTGACAGGGATAAAGGCTATATACAATTATTAAAAAAGCAGCAACTTTATTTTCACTTGCATTTCAAGCCAACCAAAAGTGGCCAAAACAAATTGCTAGAAAAAATGGCCATATCCCACTATAGATCTTACAGAAGTGAATTCAAAGAAAAACCCAACAAACTGTGAGTAGATGCAATCATACCCTTCAAACTCTTGAGCTCAAAGTCTGTTAACGAATCTACAAGAAGGCAAAGAAGAAAACACCAAAAACCCTTCTTTAAAGAAGAGAAGAGTCAGACATGACTGTCAAAGAGTACTTAGAATTCTAAGAGAACCCAATAAAACTCAAACGTACAATGTAAAAGAAAAAAAAAGTACAAGAACTGGACCAGTGACAACAAAAGCATAATAGACACAAAAAGTATGAGTTGTTTGAAAGAGAAAGCATGCCTTAAGCCTTGCCTGGCCTATGTTACAGATTTTTTTTTTTTTTGAAGGAGAAAGGGAGTGAGAGTGAAGTATTGAGTATTGGTTCTCTCTCACGAACTCTTGGGAGGGACAATGAGCTCTGATCATGTCTTGCAAAGAAGCAATCTCGTTTCAACTCATCATATTCTTGCTGGCCATATTGTCACTCATGAGTTATATGTGTTCTGTTTTCTTTTATTTTTTCTACATTATTATACTTCTTCAGCAAAGGATTAGGGTAAATTTTAATGAGGGCACCCTTTCTAAAAAGACAATAATACCAACAAATGATACTGGTTTCATATCAATATTATGGGTACTTTTGGTTTTTCACTTATTCAATAATCAAAAGGGTTGGTTCCTTGATTAAAAAGAGGTCGTTGTCGGTATCACTGGCACAGTACCATTATCTTATGGCTTTGGGAACTGCACGTTAGCAAGTATGGGTTCCTATAATTAGTTTCAACTGTTTCCAACAATTAATGTTGTAAATTGCGGATCTGAACTACTGAAATTACAGTGACACCCCTAATCATAGATAATGTGGATCAATTAGTTGACAAAAATGCCCCAACTATGTTTAGAAAATAAATAATAACGTTCCATTTCCAAACCACTTGGTAACTTCCTAAATAGTAAAATGGTCTCAAGGTCCAAAAAATTTTAGAACCACTTTTTGTTGAGAGTCATTCAACAATAAATTAAGTTCATATGGGAGAAAGAATGAAGGATTAGAACCTTCGTATCTTTCAATGTGTCCAAAAAAATGTACAAAAATCAAGTTAATGTGTTAGAATTAGACATTCAAGTCTCTTAAAGTAAAATGAAAATTTTCTCTTGTGGTGTGGTAAACATCATCAAATTATGATTTATTGGCAATTTCAGGATGAAATGTTAAAACATTTTAGATGTAACGTAATTACCCAATTGGATGGTTAACTTTGTTGTTGAAACACAAAGACAATTGATTCATCTTCAAGAGTAGTTGGAGGGAAAGAAATGAAATGCAAGTGGCAGTCTCATGTCACGTAGGGCAAGAATTTTTGAAGTTTTTTGATGCTTTGTTCTAACCAATTTTTGCACTTTTCAGAATTTTGGTGAATAGTCAAGGGAGAAAATGGTAAAATTTTGGTATATATGCATAATGCATGTGATTGGTTTGGGCGGGAGGAAGCAAATGTGGGGCGGTGAATCACATCTAACCCACGGGAATCTGCTGCCTGTTCGTGTCTCTCATTTCTTTACTCCAATTCTTTGGTTTTTGCCACTTTTCACCTATTTTCTTTTTCCTCTTTAAGTAGGATGGATAACAAAACAAAACATCATATTCCGGTAGTATTAAATCTAGTAAAGAGTTTTGAGTAATTGATACTCCGAGTAATTTATGCCTTTAAGGTTGCATAGCTGCCTGCAAGGCTAAGAAGTTATGACTTTTAATAGGTGAAGTAGCATTAACAATGGCAATTGGGCAACCACCAGAACAGAGCATAGCCGCCACATAAATTTATCCATTCAAAGGTTGATTGCGTAGACGCCAACCTACACAACCCCACTCCATAATGTTTAGCCCAACTTCAGAAGGCGCTTGTCATGTTTCTTAAAAAAGTTGAACAGATAAATTAATTACAGCATCCACTGTCATCCACCCATAACAGAAACCAGAAGAAGAAATTGGTGAAAATGGGCATATGTTCAATGCAAAATCATGACCCAACAATGTTACTACTAACAATAGTTTCGGGAAAAACCGCGAAGTTGCCACCGTTCCTCTAATTCAGTTGGTGGTAAAAGTAACACCGGTTAATTCAAATTAAGGCCGCTCTGCATGCGTGAGGTTCCGGCACCCACATCGTTACGTGAGTAAAATTGTTAATATCATATCAAATGATATTTTAATTTAAATACAATTACATATTTATGGATATCAGTTATTTTGACATATTTCAAAATTCTTGATTTTATACAAATATATATAGATATATATAAATTTGTACATTAAAATATTATTAATAAGCTACAAATTAAATATATAATATCTTCAAAAATAATAAATAAATTTAAAAATATAAAAAATAATATCATTGATTTATCATCATATTTTTAAATATTTAATCTATTTATAAGATATTTAAAAGAATATTTTTCTTTTTCATTTAAATATTAAGATAAAAATATTAAAAAAATGAAAAAAAACTAACTTTAACTTCACAATCGTTATAGTTTAAAGAAAGAACACAATTGTTTTATTGAAAAAAATTGAAATAGTTATGACTTTTAATTTGAAAAAATAAAATATAAAAAATAAAAAACCCAAAATTTAAGAATTATTTTATCAATTAATTTTATTTTATTTTTATTAAATTAAAAATAATTAAACAACAAAAGACAAATTAAAAATTATAAAACATGTTTTATATTTATATTGTATCATCCAAAACAGTCTAATCCACCGAAATTACCCAATATCAAATCCCACACCATGTTTTAGTATAATTAAAATGTATCTACCAATACAATCAATACCAAAACAAAATTAACAACATTGTGCGAGTCTCTTCTATCACCCTTTCAAACGCGTATCAAGTTTGAGAGTAAATCCAGAATTCTTGCTCAAATCTCAATACTTCCTTCACCTTCATATAGATGTGTATATGCCTATAACGCAATGACTAACTAATGGTACTCTTGGTTAACTAAGACTAGGTCACATTCAACTGTACAAAGGTCAATTTTGAATCCTAACCGCAGCAACTATCCTACTCCTCATTTTTTGAAGACTCTGACTCACGAGGACTAACCAACTTCTTCTCAGGAATTTCGGGCTTAGTCATGGCAGATCTTCTTGTACCAGCACCTTTTGCGGAACTTGAGGGCTCTATTGTAAGTGAAGATGCCTCATCTCTAGAAGCATACCAGGAATTCCCACAACCAATACATTCCAACTGAAACACAAAAGGAAGTTTAAACAATGTTAATGGTTTAAGATAAAATTTATATCAGATGTCTATTCAAGAAAAAAAAATTATAATGCCTGAAATAACCTGGAATTTAGGTTCTTAAACCAATAGGCTTTACAGTGCAAATGGTAGTACTAAGCTGCATGTGTCATGGGTCAAGATTTAAGCTCCGACTCGCATAGCTCCGGGACTCAGGCATCCACTCATCCGGTGTCCCAAATCAACCTAATTGCTACGGTTCACACCCTTGTGAGGTATTATTCACTCTGACCCCCTTGATCTCACAGTTTTATCCTACAAAAGACACCTCACAAAAAAAGGTAGTGTGAACTCTTTTATACCCCAATAATCCTCTTTTTATATCCGATGTGGGATTCAAAACTCTTTCTTAAGTCTATGACATTCTCTCCTACCCAACCTTGTGACACCCTCATCATAGAAGCTGGTCACCCTGCCTACCTCTCTCGAAGAGTTTAGCATAAATCAAATGATTTAAAGCTGACTCTAATACTACTTATCACGAGTCAAGACTTAAGCTCCGACCCGCACGGCTCCGAGACCCAAACATCCACTCATCCAGTGTCTCAAATCAACCTAACTGCCATGGTTCACACCCTTGTAAGATATTGTCCACTCTAGCTCCCTTAGCCTCACATTTTTGTCCTACAAAAAGTACCTCACAAAGGGAAGGTGGTGTGAACCTTTTTATACCCCAGTGACCCTCCTTTTATATCCGATGTGAAATTCAAAACTCCTCTTTAGGTTTCTGACACATGCACTTACCTCGGTATATCTAGACAACATGGTCTGTATGACATGATGCCAGTCCAACAAACCCAATAATTACTAGGAATTCCAGTCATAATACTCATCCTTGAAGTTAAATCATACACTAGAAATTCCAGTCATAACACTCATCCTTAGAGTTTAATCATAATTGGCATCTTTAACTTTTTTTCATAAGCTTCAGTGTCTCTTACTCTCTTTCCCCACCCCTAATATACAATTACCCTTTTGATGCTGATTATACACTTTATATAATATGTCCTATCTTATCAAATTTTTAAATAGCAACTCAACCAGACATTCACAGATGCAGGATCAATGCATGTCTATATCCAATTCAGACAACAATGAAAAAATTATGATACCATCTTGTAACTCGGATATATTACACCTGTGCCAACACTGTGATCTAATAAAAAGTAATATCTATCCAAAACAATTGTCCTATTGTTCAATATGGTTATTGAACTTTTTGTCATTGGTCTGAAATCTTGTACAAAATTCTAAAACTCAAAAAGCATACAGACAAATAAGCATGCATAATCCAGAGAGATGTTGACAACATTATGCATAGAGATCCCATACCCATCTCTGCAGTTTCACATGGATGACTCTCATACAACAAGTTCAACAATTGGTGCATGTACGTGTCTAGCTAGACAGAAAGACAAACAAAGAAGTACTAGTTCAATCAACTTACTACCATCATAGTGATCCCAGCCTCTTCTAATTAACATAGTAACAGTGATTGAATAGGAGAAGAAAATATGAGATAACCTGGTAACGAACCTTGTAACGATCTCCATGTCCTGCTTGGATAATGTCCCTTAGACCAACTTTAGATTCCATGCATCTTGAGCACCGAGCATCAGTCATCTGCTTTCAGAGCAGTAGAACAACCAGTAAGCAAATGTCAACCACATAAAAAAAGAGATCAGATTTTATGCTCAAAGAAAAATTAGGTAGAGAAATGACCTGCATGCGCTCTGACTCATCAGGCTCTTTTGTTGCTGTCTCTTCTGCAGTTAAACCGTCCTAAAGATGAAACCATTAGGCACAAAATTTTTCTACTCAGAATAAAACAAAATCCTAAAGACACAAATGCAATAAAGTAGGGAATTAATAATTACATGTCATAGTTCAGAAAAAAGTCAAAATTTCAACTACAGATAAACTACAAAGTAAGCCACAAATACGATAAGTAAGAAGATCGCATATGTAAAAAAAAAAAAATAAGACTTCTAAAGCCACCTCATCTATATAGAAAGATTATGTCAAATTCTATTTCCTAACTCGTAAAAGGTACATTTCATAGCATTGTTTCATTCTTCTAGATGTAAAAGAAAGGAGTAAGAACATATACCAAAAAACAGAAACCTTGTTTCACAGTGGGCTGCCCTCACCCTCAGAATCCAAGTAGACTTGGATTAAAAAAACATAGTCCCAAATTAATGTGAGGTTAAAATTTCCCAAAACAGATGGGCAAGTCCTTGAGATATTGAAATCAGTTAGTAGGCTAACAAAAGGCCAGCAGATAACCATGTTCAAGAGTGAACACCTTTCCAACCACATGAGGTAGCTATCACTCTCTTAAACAAACATGAAAGAAGAGAACTCAAAACCTAACAGACTACCTTCAACTCAATAGGTGACATGTTAAGTATTGTTGAAGGTTCTAATTCTCCATTTAGTAGACGTCGAGCTAGCAATGGATTGTTCTGCCAAAAAGAAACAAGTATCAACATTATCTTAAATGCAAACGATGGAAGATATCTACAGAGGTTTATAGGCTGAAAGCCCTCTACCTTCAGATTGAACACAAGCTGCCTTAACTTCTGGTTATATTTCTGGAAATCAGAAGAAAGAGTATCATGTGATGCCTTCTCAAGAGCAGTTACAGCAGGAATAGCAGCATCAGGCCACGGAAAAAACTTGCTACTCTGCAAATCAAGAAAGATAATAAATATTGTGCAAATCATAGCATCTCTTTAATCATTGATTACCATTCAATAACGCCTATTGCTATTAATAATCACTGGGGAAAAAAGGAAAGATTTTCCTACAATAGAAACTAAACATAGGCAAAAGAATCACTGCACACATTTGAACTCTTCTCTAGGGATCCATTTGCAGTTCCCGAAGTCTTAGTGTCTCTTTCACATTCCAGGCTATCAGAACCACCTTTTACTTTGTCATCGATATGCATGCTATCAGGAGAACTACACATGTATTGAACTCCTTGGAGAAGCCTCTCCATCCACTTATCACGATGAGTTTCTCCAGTTAGCACCTTAGATTTAGACAAAATTGTGTAATATTCAGTGGTATTACTTGCACAACTTCCCGGAGTTTCAGCTCTCAGATGTTGATCAGACTTTGTAGTTCCTTCATCTTCCCTCGTAACATCAAGAGGTGAAATGTTCTTTTTCCTGAGTGTTCTTTTCGCCTTCAACTGCTCTTCCTGATCAACAACTGCAGCAGCATCATCAATCTCAATGTCAGGGAGCTCTCCCAAACGTGATAAAGTTTTTTGAACAAGAAGATCAATCTCATGCTGTTTATTATCCTCATAATCTTTATCAGTTAGCTTCCAAAGCTTTCGCTCCACGGTATCATAAACTTTCTGCACAATAAAACCAGGATGCTGTTTACGGTTTGGAAGTTGCTTGTGTATGGGAACAAAGTGAACCACACACTTGTGCATCACAGATTCTGCTGGAACCTCATCCCGGTGGAAGCTATAAAAGAGCTCCCTTGTATCACGTGATTGCCAGCTTCCGCCACCCTTTCTCTCAGCCTCTTCAGGGCGATAAAACCACTGCCCAGTAACCATAATGCTTCCAGCTTTAGTCTGACTAATGTCCTATCAATAGATAACAACTTAATTATTTGCAATAGAAAGTGACTAAAAAGTCCTTTGTAAATAAAGAAACTCAAACTGTAATAACAGGCAATGCAGTTACCTTAATGATAGCCACATAAGGCTTCTGTTCTGTATCTTCAGGAACTAAAAGAACTGGATCCTCCTGTAGACACATTAGTAAACATAAATAATGACACAAAAATGCAAAGGTAAAAATCAGCAAATAGACCATGTATGCAAAGAAATAACTAAACCCAAGTCTCCAAACTAATTGCAGCAAACAAAATAAAACAGAAAGCCACAAAAATGGGCCACTTAAATCTTCAGTAACAACTTTTCTCAAAGCAGCTCCATGCCTCCACATGTAAATGCATTTTAAACATTCACAAAAGATTAGTTCTATCAGCATACACTAAGACCACACTCTTAAATCTCCCTAGTGCTATGAGCACCATCCAAATGCACCAAAAAAAACAAACAAAATAAACATAATCCGAAAATCAATTTTACTTATTTAAAAAGGAAATTGCAAAACATGAAAACAAAAACAGAAGCAAACAGTATTTCACTTCAGCTTTCTTTGACATAATCCCTAAGAAGCCACAGAAAGTGTTATCACTCTTCACAAACTTGGGAAGACAAGCACAAATAACAAAACTCACAAAGCCAAAAAAAGAAACCCCTTGGTTTTCCCCAATTCTAACTGAAAATAACAAAAAAAACCCCCAAATTACCATTCAGATTTGAATAAAACCAAAAACCCTTTCCATTGAACTCCTCAAAATTCAAAAACGAACCTAGGGCAGGCACCTTCAGCCATGCAAAGAGGCAAAAGGACTTGATAAATTAATTAAAAACATAAAAATCACCTAACCGATCAGACTATTATACGGCAACATGCATATCAGACCATATATTCATATAAACAGAAGTAAAAAGCCCAAAACCCTAAAATCCCACAAAACCTATCAAACAATGCAGCACAAAAACCACAAGCCCTAGGAAAGTAAACTTAAATTCAGAATTCAGACACTTAAAAAGAGATTCCCAAAGAAAAAAAAAACCCTAAAAATCCAATCCAAAATTCGAATATGAACGTACAAGATCATATCGATTGCCATCAAACTCAAAAGCCTCATAATGACTCCTCCTTCCTCTCCCTTTCCCAGAAACTCTAACTACCTCCCCTATCGGCTTTGCATCCTCCTGAACTCCCCCTTCCTCTTCCTCTTCATCTTCTTCCTCATCTTCGTCCCGCTTTTTCTTCCTCTTCCTCTTTCTCTTCATTTCCCTTTCTTCATCCTCTTCATCGTCTGCTTCTTGTAGTTTCATTTTCTTCCTCTTACTTTCTTGCCTCTTATCTTCGGACCGCAAACGTCGGGGAGGTATCGGGACTTCGTCCTCGTCGTCGCTCGTGGATACCTGAGCAAACCTTCGGTTTCCCATTTCGGACCAAGACTGGTGAATTTTGCGGAATTTTTTCGGAATTTTTTTTCAAGCGGTTTTCAAATGATTATTAGTGGGAAATTTTGGAGATGAAAGAGATGGAAAACACTAGAAATTGAAAATTGGGTTTCTCCAATTGTAAGCCCGCCACGCCTCTCTCCGTATGCTCTTTCTGAGGTTTATATGGGAAATGGCTTTTGGTTTATAGAATATCGGGCTTTGTTTCTTTGTTATATTTTACGAGCGATAACGATTCGATTTAATTTTTATATGAAAATTTAAAATTTAATTTGAAAAATTAAATTAGATTAAATTTTATCGAATTCGATTTATTAATTTTAAAATTTTAAATTTTAAATTTTTATATATTATTTTAATATAAAATTTTAATTTATTTAAATAAATTTTAATATAAAATTATTATTTTTATTTATTAAAATTTAAAATATATATATAAATTAAAAAATATATAATTTAATTCATTTTTTTTATTTTTTTATTTTTTGATTTAAAATTTAATTTAAATTTAATATATTCATTTAATATCTAAATTTAATTTAAATTAAATAAAAAATTGAATCAAACACTATAATTTTAAATCGATTTTTAATTTTTTTAATTTTTTTCTCACCCATAATAAATGCGATGACAATGATCAAATTTTTTTATTATATTATCTTTATTTATGAATTTTTTTATTGTAAAATTTGTTAATTAAAAATAAAAAATATTTTAAAATAAAATATAATGACATGATAAACATATGAAGTGATATCATTTTTCTCATAAAATTTATTTAATTAAAAAATAAAAAAAAAACACAAAAAATAAGAAAAAGAACTCATAGAAATCATTATATAAACATTCTCATTAAGTTTAAAATATTAATTTTATAAATTAAGATATTAAATAATAATTTTATTAATATAATATATAATAAAATTAATAATAAAATATATACTTTTATATATAGCTCAAAATGAGTCAAAACATAGTATCATACTTTCATTCTAATCTTTTTTTTTTTTTAATTCAACCTATCTCAATACAATCCTTATTTAAAAAATTTATCTTTTATCATATTAAGATGGATCAAAACTTATCAAATATGAATTGTTTTGATATTTTTATCAATTGATACATTTTACCATAAAATTTATTTAATTAAAAATTTAAAAAAAAAACCAAAATGATACCACTTGTACACTTTGGTGGCTTATTTTTCATAAAATTAATTTAATAAAAAAAATTAAAAAAAAGACAAAAAAAAAAAGAAAATAGAATTCATCAAGTACTATATGATCATCTTAATTTAATTTAAAATGTTAATATCTTAAATTAAAAAAATTAAATAATAACTTTATTACTTAAAATTGGGTAAAATAAAAAAAATAAAGAAGAAATAAGAGAAATAAACAAAAAAAAGAAAAAATTTATTTTCAGGATATTATATGAACTTTCAAATTAAGTTTAAAATATCAATATTTTAAATTAAATTATAAAACAATAATTTTATTAATATAATAAATATAAAATTAAATAAATAATAAAATATATAAATATAATAACTTAATGTCAAATTAAAATCAGATTGAATTATTAAAAAATGAATTCGAGTTAAAACGAGTATAAACTTAACCCAAACTTAATGCGTTACCATCGTTAAATGATAGTGTCCATGTGCTATCTCATTTACTATCTCATTTAGGTTTTTTTTTTAGCTTTAGTTTATTTTAGTTATCTATTTTAGTATTTCTCATCAATGTTTAAAAAGATAAATGGATAATTAAAAGTCATCGTATCACCTACATTTAGATTCATTTTTTTTCTTTTTTAGCCACTTTTTTTTTCTTTTGTTTTACTTTTTTTTTTAAATAGATAAATTTAATAAAAAATAAGATCAATAAATGTTATGATGATAAAATAATCTATATTTAGTAAGTTTTAACATGTCGATTCAATAGGAATTATTTTTTAAAAATTAGAAACAAAGTTGAATTGAAGACGGTTTAAGATATTTCATCCAGCTTCATCATTGAGTATATATAAAAATATATATTTTTATTATTTATTTAGTTTTATATATATATTATATTAGTAATTATTATTTATTACTTTATTTTAATAAAATATGATATTTATATAATTAAAATATAATTTATATTAAAATTAATATTTTCATTATTGTTGTACTATTAAATTTAATTTTTTATTAAGTTGAATATGATGCGAGTTATACATCTCTATATATATGTTAGGTTAGGTCAAATATAAAAAATGATAACCTGATGTTGGATTAGAGTCGAGATGAGTATAAAGCTAACATCATTCATAAATAGAGATCTCCGCATACCATCCTTATTTCTCTTTCTTTCCTTGCCTTTTTTTTTTTTTTAGTATTAATTTTTTAATTATTTATTTTAATATTTTTAATCATATTTGTAAAGATAATTTTGAAAGAATGGATATAAATTTGATTTGTTATATAAGTTATAAGAATAAAATGCATACATGATTTAAAAATTAGTTGTAAATTTTTACTATTAATTGCTTTTATTAAAAATTACAAATGGAATTATTCTTATTAATTTATTAAATTTATTATAAATATTATTAATTATAAATAAAAAATTTTGAACTCGTAGCAATGTGTGGGCGTATTGCTAGTGTATATAAAGTGAAATTTTTTTATTTGATTAGCATGCAATAAAGGAATTTAAATATCCTTTCAATTCCATTTGTTTCCAAGAAATCAAATTTTCAAAAATATGTTTTTGAAAAATGTTGATATTTTTCAAAAAAATATAGACTTTCTGTTAATTATACAATTTTCTATCAAATAAAAAAGAGATTATTTTTTGTTTATCATAAAATCATTTTGATCATATAATTTTTTATCAGATAATCATAAAAATACAAAAAATATTTTTTAAAATTAATTTCTACGAAATAAATGAAACCTTAGAATCCACCATGCAAACTAACAATGTAATTTTAATTTCTCATCATATTCATCTAATAATTACATAAAACAAGTTAAGCAAGCAAGATCGATTGTGAGAAAAATATTTGAATTGAAAAAATATGTCAAAAGGGTAGTTAGTGGAGAAAATTTGCGTTTATGTGGAATCCTTATAAGATAAAATCAACAATTCAACATTTTCCAGCGGACGATAGAATTTTCCGGAACAAAAAGCAATATTGTATATCCAAATAGTTACATGATTCAAGCGTGGCACCATTAATTAACTTGCAAATTGCCTTTGGCGATAGATTTGCATGGGGAAGTTATAATTTTTGAAACAATTCATGCAGATAGTGAGTCATTGATCGATCCCTTATATTAAATTTGATGACTGTATATTGAACGATCTCTTTGGAATGCTCTCCAAATTTATTTCCAGGCACTATATGTGTGACCCAGCAGTATATCTAAGGATGTTCAGGTTTCTTCACAAGCTTGAAATTATTCTGTGAAACTCCATATGTTTTCTTCAAGATGTCATCATATTTGGGTGCTGGTGCTGCTTGTAGGAAGAGAAGGAGAGGGGGAGAGAGGGTTTTCAAGTTCAAGAGTTTTGGTGAGAATGGTTGTCCTGTTGAGTTTGATGGATCATTTAGGGAGAACGTTAAAGCACTTCTTGAATATGGCCATCTAGAAAATAATCTCTGCAATGGATTATTGATCTGGTCGTTTCAGCTTGAAGTCCATCGCCATCCTCCCTTGCATGTACTTTTGTTTGTTGTTGAAGAACCGATTGAGGCATCTATCAACCTTCATTGCAAGCATTGCCAATATGTTGGTGAAGTCTAAATTCTCCCCTTGATTCACGTTTCTTTCTTCATTAATTAGTTTGATATTGACATTTAATAGATGATTTCTTTCACATTGCTTAGTATTCTAGTAATTGTTATCTGACATATAATACTCAAATAACTCAACCCACGGATATGAGCACAAACAAAGGAAGTTAAATCATACTAACCTATACTATTGTATATGCACATCAATTGTTGTTGGGTGACACAAACAACCAAATTATATACTATCAGATTAATTTACGGTCATTGTCAGTTAGGATAAAGTACAAGGGAGTTCTTGCATCCTATCATGATTTTGTAGAGACATAACATGTAACTTTGTCTCAGAAAACAAGATGAGTTAATTTTAACTTGTAATCAAGAAAAAGTTGCACATTATTTTTCCTGTATCTGTAGAGCTTAGTAATTTTTCATCATGGTACAGGCTGGGGGCACCATCTGATCTGCAATAAGAAGTACCATTTCTTGCTCCCATCTAAAGACACAGTAGCAGCATGTTTCAACCGTGATGAAAGCAACTTTGATGACCCAAATCCAGAAAAGGGTAAGTTCAATTTAGTGGAATTACAAGGCCATAAAATGCACGGTGTCTTTCATTCTAATGGATTTGGGCATTTACTATGCGTCAATGGCATGGAGATGGGTTCGGACTTGGCTGGCTACCAGATCATGGAATTATGGGATCGTTTGTGCACCGGTTTGCAAGCAAGGTTAACCTGTTTCTTTTATCTTTCCTTTTTATACAAGAAACATCATTTGTATGGATAAATCTTGAATACTTGAATTACTATTGTTAATTCAAATACCAATGTAGCAGAGTTCATGAATAGTTTACACACAACATTTTCCTTGCATAATTTCTTAGGAAAGTGAGTCTGAATGACACCTCAAAGAAACGAGGTATGGAATTGAGGTTGCTTTACGGAGTAGCATATGGCCAGCCATGGTTTGGCCGCTGGGGATACAAGTTCGGACGCGGGTGCTATGGTGTGAATGAACCAATTTATCAAAAAGCCATAGACGCAATCCGAGGGATGCCTTTGTGCTTACTAGATAATCATCTCAGTATTTTCTATAATAACATTTCAGTCATATTCTTCAGGTATCAAGCATTATCTGACCATTCCATGGTGACCCTTGGTGACCTGTTTCATTTCATGTTAGAGCTGATGTCACGACTTCCAAAAGAAAATTCGATTGATTCATGTAACCCTGCGATCCTGGTGGAGACTAACTGCAGATGGTCTCCCAAGCGAGTTGAAGCAGCCACTCGGGTGATTGTTGAAGCTCTGAAAAGGGCTGAGTTCAAGTGGGTTTCAAGGCAAGAAGTAAGGGATGCTGCACGAGCTTATATTGGTGACACGGGATTGCTAGATTTTGTTCTCAAGTCACTCGGAAACCACATAGTGGGGAACTACTTAGTTCGTCGTTGCTTAAATCCAGTGACAAAAGTACTAGAATATTGCCTGGAAGATATTTCCACTGTATTTCCTAACCCGGAAGCCCTCATTCTAAACAATTCCAAAGTAAAGCCTAAATGTAAGATTACAAAGGCTCAACTAATGAAGGACATTTCATATTTGTACAAGCATATCCTGAAAGATCGGAAGCCAACACTGACCACCGGGATTTTTTCAGCAATAACAATGGCAGCCAGGATAATTCTTGACACCAAATTTCTTGTCAAAGAATATACAGAAGAACTTTCTATGGAAGTCAAATCAGGCTTGAATGGGAAATTCAAGCTCTTCTGTACAGTTTTATTGAGAAATAATGAAGAGATTGATCAAGGGTTAAAGAAGCCAATGCACCCCTATGAATGTGTCAGTTTAGAAGAAGATGCTACATTCAATGACCTCAAGCAAGAGGTTGAGAAGAATTTCAGAGAAGTGTATTGGAGACTGAGGAGTTTTGTTGTGGAAACCATAGTGAATGTGAGTGTCAATGGATCAGATGTGGTCCTGGGATCGCTGGAAATGGGTCAGAAACTTGTTTTTCTTGGCAGCAACGAAGATCAGACAGGAATCATGAATGAGTTAATGATATATGAATGTGGACTAAACAGTAGTCGGGTTGTGGATTGCCCTTGTGGAGCCAAAGAGGATGATGGTGAACGCTTGATCTCATGTGATATTTGTGAAGTTTGGCAGCACACCAGGTGTGTTAGAATTCCAAATAATGAAGAAATCCCACATGTTTTCCTCTGCAAACAATGTGAGGAAAAGATTGTGACCTTGTCTTCTCTTCCCTAAACTACACATGTTTTAAGAATGATTTATGCTTTTCTTATTATACATTGTCCCCCATAAATAACATTTCTTTGAAGTGGAAAAAGATCCACAGTTTCATTCTCTTCTCCGATGTAACTTTCTTTATAAATAATATAAAAATCGATTGCAATAATAGAATTGTAAATTTAAGTATGCAAACATTTTCATTTGGAAAGAAGAATTTTAAAATGAAATTCTCTTTCTTTAAATTAAATTTACTATCCACTATTTAAGCAAAATAAATACTTTTTTTTTTTTGCAAAAAAACAAATACTAATTTTTAACTCCCAAAAATATGTACTTAGTGAAACATAGAAAAAATTCTTTAACCAAAAATATAAAAAAAAAGAAAATAACAAAATTAAATTTTGAGCATTCTTGATATACGAGAGCCAACAGATTTAAATAAATAATAATAATATGTTGTGAAAAATATATATAATTTAAAATTTTAATAAAAATTATATAAATTAAATAAAAATAAAAAAATATTTTATCTTTAATATATTTACATGAATTATAATATAATAATTTTATATTTAAAATAAAATAAATACATAAATTATCAAAATTTAAAATTTCTTAATAAAAACAATCCCCGAAAATGATTTCATAAACCGGTAAGGCCATAACACCGGTTATTCCATGCCAAAATTCGAAGGGTAAAAGAAAATTTTTACGGAAAGAAGTTTCAAATAAATTGGGTTTTGTTACCGAAAATTGTACCGCCAGCCGGTTACTTTCTCTTTATAATAAAGATTACTATTGATATAGTGTAAACCACGCACGCCAAAAAAGGAAATAAAATATTAAAAGAAAAAAAAAAACCAACTTCAGCTTCTTCAAGAAACAAATACAAAGGGAGATTAACGGATTCTTTTAAAAAATCTAGTTTTCTCTCTTTCTTTTTTTTTTCTTTCTCTCGTTTTGGTGCACGCTTCCTTCGTTCTCAGGTTCTTCTTCATCATTCTTTTTTCCTTTTATATGTAGTTGGTTACAAAAATAAATGCATATTTTCTATTTATGTAATCTTTTTTTAGCATTTTCTTGAACTTTTATTTTACTGGCCAGAAAAAACACTTTTTATTTATGGGTTTTTATATGTATTGCTTTTCATACCTGTTTTTCTGTTTAAGTTGAGAATTTGGGTAGTTTGGGATTATAGGTTATGCTTAGTTTGACTTGAAAGGGATGCTGAAGGTAGTTAGTTGCTTGATGTGGGAGAAGCTGTTTTATTCTTTACCCTTTTATGGTCAAAGAGAATCATTTGAGAACTTCCTTTCTGCAGCTTTTTCCCAATAGCTTGGTCGTTTGACTTGAATCTTTGATCCTTTTTGGGATGTTGATGTGTTGATTGGCGTGCAAATTCGAGGGAAGTTGAGCTCTTTTCTGGTTCTTTATCAAGAATCACCAGTTGTATAGTTTTTGCTGTTATTTTGGTTGGGTTGTGTTCACTTCTGCTAAGAACTTACAAGGAACAATCATTTAAAGGGAAAATCGTCGAGTTACAATTTTGGTGGAATATGGCAGTGCTGGAGTCAATTGCAACAATTTCTCTTCTTGGGCATCGTTCGTTGCATGGTAGAATTTCTGTTAGGGATATTCCCTGCAAACAAGAATCAAGAAATTATCGACTCCCAGTAACAGAATTTACTGGTAAAGGGGTTGTTCTTTCACTTCCTTTACCAAGATTGAAAGGCTGTGGGTTAGTTAATTCTTCGATAGAGGCTCGGGCAATAGAGCTGACAAAGGAGGTGCATGCGTATAGAGAGGAACGAAAATCTCCAAGGAAATGGAAGGATGAAATTGACGCTGGTATAGATCAAAAACCTGACTTGTGGCCACCAGAAAATAGAGTTGATAAACCCTCCTTGCATAATCCCTTGCTTCGTCAAGAAAGGATGGGTTGTGGTTGGTTAGCTGCTATATTTGAATGGGAAGGAGTTATAATTAACGATAACCCTGAGCTTGAGAAGCAAGCCTGGTTGGCTCTCGCTGAAGAAGAAGGCAAATCCCCTCCCCCAGCCTTTACACTCAGAAGAATAGAAGGAATGAAGAATGAGCAAGCAATTTCTGAAATTCTGTGCTGGTCTAGAGAGCCGGCATTAGTGAAAAGAATGGCTGCAAGGAAGGAAGACATTTACCAAGCTTTACAAGGTGGGGTGTATAGATTTTGTGCTGGTTCTAGTGAGTTTGTGGATGTTTTGATGAATTACAAAATACCAATGGCTTTGGTCTCTACTCGACCAAGAAAAACTCTGGAGACTGCAATAAGAACAATTGGTATTGAAGGGTGCTTCAGCGCCATTGTGGCAGCAGAGGATGTTTGCCGGGGAAAACCTGATCCAGAGATGTTTGTATATGCTGCACAGCTTTTAGAATTTGCAGCTGAGCGCTGCATTGTATTTGGAAATTCTAATCAGACTGTTGAGGCTGCCCGTGATGCACAGATGAAGTGTGTGGCAGTTGCCAACAGGCATCGTGTGTACGAGCTTGGGGCTGCAGACTTGGTGGTAAGGCGTCTAGATGAGCTTTCAATTGTTGATCTAAAGAATCTTGCCGATATAGAACCAGCTGAATTTGGATCTGGGAAGCCAAAGCCTGAGATGGAGATGGAGAAGGATGAGGAAGAAGATGGCCCGTCCGCCTCAACTGCAATGGATGATAGTATTTTCTGGTAACTCCTAAAAATTGTACAGTTTTCAATGTGTTTCCTATGATTCTTGATGCTAATTGTTCCATTTATGTGTATAGAGCATAGGAGCAAAAAGAGAAAGAAAATAAAAAAATGTGGTCCGCATTGGACAAGATTAACATGGATGTATGGTTTGTATCATATACATGTTTACTTTTTAGAATTTCTAATACTTGTTTGGTGCTTTCTAGTTCCTTATATTTCAATCTAACATTTAGCTTGCAAATTGGCCTATTTCTCCATGAGAATTCAGAATGCTATAAAAAAGTCTATATGCAATTTCTTTGCTTTTTTTTTTCCTGAAACCAAAAACAAAACATCTCTAACAAACAATCCGGACCAAGTGCATGAATATATAAAACAACAACAATACACTACACCTTATATCTTATACTCTAGGGTCGGCTGTATAAAAAACCAAATAAGGGAATTATGTTAAGTTATAATTTGAATCTTCTTAAATCACTCATTTCTATCAACAACAACATTTTCATCTAATTCTTTAACCATCATATCATTTTTTGTTACTTGCATTCATATCTTTTATGGTCTACCTTTAAAAGTTTTGATCTCTTTTAAATCTAGAGACTCAATTCTCCTAACAGGTGCACAGCTTGGCCTAAGTTTCATATATCCAAACCATATTAAATAACTCTTTATCATCTTTTCCTCAATTCAGACTATCTCTAAATTTTCTTGAATCTCTTCATTTATGAGTTTGTCTTTTTTAATCTTATCACACATCCATTTAAGCATCCTCATTTCCGCTATGTTCATTTTTTTCTCATATTATTTCTTAACTGCCCAATACTCGTTCCATCTAGCAATACAGGCTTTACAGTTATTTTATACAACTTCGTTTTAAATTTTAAAGGCATGTTGCGATCACACAACACACCCAACGCATTTCGCCACCTCACTTATCCTACTTGAATCTTATACTAGACTTTCATTTCTATATCAGTATCATTCTGAATAATTGATCCCAAATATCAAAACTAGCTATTTTTTGGCACAACCTCATTATCCAATTTAATCACATTAGTATCTGTTTCTCTATAATAACTAAACTTACATTCCATATATTCAGTTTTAGATTTGTTCAATTTATAACCTACAAACTCCAATGTACTTTTTCATAATTTTAATTCTCATTAAGATCATCAATCGTTTCGGCAACTAAAATTATATTGTCAACAAATAACATACATCATGGCAACTTATCTTGAATACGTGCAGTGAGCTCGTCCATAACTAATGCAAAAAGAAATGAACTTAGTGTGAAGCCTTGATGTAATCTTGAGATAATAGAGAAGTTATCTGTCATGCCTCCAACCATCCTCATATTTGTTACAGCTTCTTCATATATAATTTTTAACTGTGTTGATGTACTTTCAAGGGATTCTTTTTTTCATTAAGGCCCAATAAAACATCTTTCGATAAATTTTATAGTATGCTTTTTTCAAGTCAATAATTACCATACGTAGATTTTTTCACCTGAAAATCTTTCATTAAAAGCCTCAAAAGGTAGATCGCTATTGTTATGGAACATCCTGACATAAATCCAAATTGATTTTCAAAAATAATGACCTTATGTTGCACCCTACATTCAATTACTCTTTTCCAAAGCTTCATAGCATGACTCATAAGTATTAGTTCTCGATAGTTTGAACAATCTTATATATTACCTTTATTCTTGTATAAAGACATTAAAGTGATCTTCCTTCATTCTTCTAGCATCTTTTGAGTTCGTCAAATTTTGTTGAAAATATCCGTCAACCATCTTATTCCTATTTCACCAAAATATTTCAAACTTTAATTGGCATTCCATCTGGTCTTATAGCTTTTTCTACTCTCATCCTTCTCAAAGCTTCTTTAACCTCATAGTTTTTAATATTACTTTTAAATACATGATTTACATACTTAGAAGATATGTTCAGTCCACCTATATCATGTTTTAAACTACTATTAAAGAGATTATCAAAATAATATCTATGTATCTTCTTGATCTCTTCATCATTCTCTAAAACTTTTCTATCATCACCTTTGATGCATATAATGCCATTAAGATCCCTACTTTTCTTATCCTTCATATTAGCAATTTTGAACAGTTCTTTTTCTCCATATCTTGTCTCTAGTTTTCTAAATAACTTATCATGGATCTTACTTTTTTAATCTTGAATAACCTTTTTAACTTCATTTTTTGTTATCTCATACTTCATGTAACTCTTCTCATCCTTATTGTTTCATAAATTTTTATAACACTATCATTTAGCTTTAATTGTCATTTTCATATCTTCGTTCTACCACCAAAATTCCTTTCCTAATGGTGCAATACCCCTAGATTCACCAAGTGTCTCTTTAGCAACCCTTTGAATTTCTGACATAATATTTTTTCACATTACTTCTACATTCTTATCAAACTTCCAATCAATTTCTTTTACTAGTCTATCCCTAAGTGCTATCATTTTGTCCCCTATCAAGTTTCATATGGTTCATGACTCTTACATATCTTCTTTGACTCCCTGAGGTATAATAAATCGAGTACTAACAATATATGTTGTGTTGTCACACACTCATTTGGTATAACCTTACAATCTTTACAGCTACTTCTATCCTCTTTCTTTGTAAAAAAAAATAATTTTATTAGCATTTGACCCACTTTCTAAATGTCATTATGTGTGATTCTTTTTTTCTAAAACACTTATTTAATTTGGATAGGTCAAATACAATAGCAAACTCTAAGATAGTATCTCTAATATCGTTTCTTTCTCCAAGCTATATATTTCATGTACCCTCTGAAAGTCATTACCATCATTGCCTACATGATCATTCATATCTCCTTCAATAAATAATTTTTCTCGGTATGGTTTGTTTCGTACTATCTCTTCTAAATCTTTCTAAATTTTTTGCCTACTTTCTTTATCCAAACCTGTTCGCGATGCGTAAACACTAATGACATTAATAATTTCTTCTTCTAATATAAATTTAATAAGTAAAATTCTATCTCTCTTTTTTTTAACCTTAACCATATCATCCTCAAATTCTTAGATACAATTGTCCCCACTCCATTTCTACTTCTTTCCTTACCTGTGTACCAAAGCTTAGAATCCTATGTTTTTATCTCTCTAGCATTTTTCCTTACCCACTTAATTTTTTGGAGGTATATAATATTAATACCTCTTCTAGCAATTCATGTCATATCTTTACAAGTTTACCAGTTAATGATCCTATAGTTCAAGTAGCTAAGAATAATTTACCCCTATGGACTAACTTCTTTACTCGTGTTTGTCTATCAAAATATGAAAACCCTTACTTATTTGACACTGCACTTGGCTGGCAATGCAAGGTGTCGCTTTCGGGCAATAATCTATCAACTTTTACCCATTTAACATTACATTCAAACTCCGATGTAGCGCATCGTTAAGAGGTGACGACCCAACAAAAATTTTTATTTTGGTGTTTCATCATAGTTTGACTATATTTTACATTAGCTATAAACTTATTGCAATTCTTTTTCTTTATTTGAGCTTGGAACCGACAATGTGACAACACACAAGCGGAGTTTCCAAATGCATGAATATAGTAACTTTAAATCCCAACTATTAGGGCTACTCGTATGTTAGGATTTAAATTTATTTAATAACTATATAGCATGTCAAAAAATATAAATATTTGAGACAAAAATAATAAGATTTTATTTTTCAAGAATGAATTGAATGGAAATGATGAATAACCTTATCCCAAAATTAATTATGGCATTGAATATTTCTAATCTTTCTCGGCCACTTAAGCTAATGATATACATTGAATGTGATAATAAAGAATCCTTGCTTGGTTTATTTGGATGGACACTAAATTAAAATTAGTGATAGTGGTAAGATTTTGTATAATAGTAATGAGATCAAAATCTATGATAGAGTATGTTTTTGGATATAAATGCAATAATAACAATGAGATGAAGTGTAGTAATAAAAAAAAAATTATCATTAAAAATATTTGATTAAAATTTGTACATAATAAAATTTATAATATATATTTGATATTTTTAAATTAATAAATAGTTAAAAATTATTAAAACTAATTGATATCAAATTGTAGGATAAAAATTTGGGATAATGATAAAGAAGAAGAACAAAAATGAAAAGAAGAAAAGAAACAAATTTTAACTTCTTTTTTTTAAAAAAAAAACCTCATTTAAAAGCATGATATAAATAAAAAAATTAATAATGAAAATAAAGGAATTCAATTGAGACATCGATGATTCATCAAAAAAACTCAAATTCTCAATTGATGTGTTGATGCTCTCTGAAGACCCAAACACAATAGAAATGTTATCCAAACATGACTAAACGCACCACACTGGGTCCAATCAAATACCAAATGAGGCCATGGTCAATAGCCTTCTTATCGTATTTTTTTTATTTCAAAACTTATAATCAAAATACGAAAGAAAAAAATTAATATATAAGTGTTAAAAAATGAATTAAAATAAATATTAGTTTTTTTTATAAGAATACAATTATAAAAGTAACAATATACCTTTCAAAAAAAGTTATAAATTGAAAACATAGTAATGGTGGAACACATACCACTTATAGGTGGCATGACAATTAAGTGTCTATATAATTTTTAAATTTATAGATATATTTTGAATTTAAAAAATATAATAAGTGATTTATTTTTAAAATTTTAAAAATTTTAAAAAATAAATAATTAAATATAAAAAAATTATGAAGGTAAAATATCCAATTTTGAGATTTTAAAATTTAAAAAATAGATTTATTTAAATAACTAATGAAATTTGAATTAAATAAGATTAACTTTTAAAATTTAAAATTTATATTATAATTTAATTTTTAAAATAAATGGATAATTTTATTTATTTTATTTTTTAAAATTTAAGTTGACCGAAATAAATATTGATAATGTGAAATCAACACTTAAAAATTTAAAATCAAGACTTCTTATAAAAATATATAGTTAAAACTAGAACAACACTTGTAGTAAACAATAATAAAGAGTTAATTATAGATAATATGATAAATTTTTATTATATATATGAATTAGTCTTCCATTTAAATTTTGAAAATTTTGGATAATTAAATACATTTTTAAATTTATATTTTTTTGATAAATAATCTAAAATTAAAAAATATTTTATGTAAAAAATGTTTAAATTTTTTCTATGTGTCGAAGTTGTCTACATAAATGTTATCATAAACAAATCTTATTTAATAATTATGTATCTTATAATATAATATTATATATGATATGATATATGATAACTTCATTTAAAAATTTTTAAAATTTAAAATTATCTTTTCAAACACAATCTTAATTATTTATGTAACTTTATTTTATGATTCACACCTAATTTTAAAGGCACATTGCACCATTCAATATTTCAAGATTTCATGTCTTTTTATGAGTAAAATTATTAATTTGGGTTTGAAATAAGGTGCAATTCTCATTTGTTAATTTAATTTGATAAGATTTAAAAAAATTTTCGTCCCAAAATAATTAATTTTTAGTTGATTTATTGTCAAACCAATTTAATTTAATTTTAATTTTTTTAAAAAATTTGGAACTCAAAATTTGAAAACTTTATTTTTAAAATTTTTTTAATTTTATTAAAAATAATAGTCAAAATTCAGGTAATTTGATAAAAAAATAAAAAATAATAATTTTTGAAATAATTATCTCAAAATGATTTTGAAATTAGCAAATTACAATATATATATATATATTTTGGAATGTCAGGAAAAAAAAAATCTTAATAAAGCCAAGTTGAACTCTCACTATATTGGATTAAACTCGTAGTATTATTAATTAAATTTAAATATTAATTTTAATAAATTTATTTAATATTAATTTTTTATTAATTTTTTTAATCACAATTATAATTATTTTTTAATCATAATTACAATAATAATAATTATTATTATTAATATGATCAGAATCAATTTCTCTGAGTTAAAAATATCATAATTGTGCAAAAATGAAAAAAATGTGAAAAAGGAAAAGCATCCGGGAAAGAAAAGCTGACACGTCAAGAGCGAATGCAAATGGATCATTAAGGGCAATAACGTGCCGCAGTATTTAATTCCCTTTCCTGGAAGGCACCAAAAAAAAAAAAAGAAAAAAAACACTTTCTTGCTTTTTTTATTCGGTTCCACTTCAAAGTGTATTATTGGAGTTGTCAGCTGTCGATCTGCACCTCTCCTTTTCCATTTCACTACAAAATCGGATAAAATAAAATAACAAATTTCATCCCAAAATAATTATCTTTAGTTGATTTTTTCTGTCAAACCAATTTAATTTTTATTTTTATTTTTAAAAATTATATTAAATTAAATTTTAAAATTTTTGGAACTGAAATTTTGAAAACACTATTTTCAAAAGTTTTTTTAACTTTATTAAAAAGAATAGTCAAAATTAAGGTAATTTGATAAAAAAAATA